GTGTTTGTCTAACGCGGTGAATACCCCGTGTCTGTCCACGTCAGCGACTTCACCGTGGCCTACAAAAACGGTGAAGTCCTCACCGTTTTTGATTAAAACGGTGATTTCTTCACCGTTTCAGTTTAAAACGGTGATGCATTCACCGTTTTAGACTAAGACGGTGAAGGCATCACCGTTTTACTTTAAAACGGTGAAATTTTCACCGTGTTTATTAAACGCGGTGATTACCTTCACCGCCTTTGTCTAAAGCGGTGATGCTCAAATATGTGTACTTTTGGAAATTTTTTTATAACTTATGTATTTTGGGAATTTTTTTTAATAACTAGTGTACAGTGGGATTTTTTCCCCTAGAAGTGTGGGGTTGTAGAATCTACAAATATATCATAAAAGAGTTGTTAGCAGTTTTCAGCATTTAAAATTTCCTCCAATGAGAGCGAAAAAATAGGAAGGATAATTATGCCTTTATAATAATTATTTATTTTTTATTCATAAGAAAAAATACATTAATATCGGGATGTGAGCCATCATCTTTTCAAACAAAGACAACAACCATTACCAATTACATTAAAAAAAATTTTGTATCTTTTTAAATACAAAATCTAAAAACCTAAAATCTAAAAATTATATGACTTTTCCTCTACTGTTAGCTCGCCCATAACCCTCCCGTAAGTACTTTATTTATATAATATTTAAAATTTAAAATTTTGATCATTTTCATTTGATTTTAATAATAAGTTTAATTTATGTCTATCTTAAAAATCGAGGATAATTTAATATTGCAACCCAAATATCATTGATTCGAATATTGCATATTGAATTTGCAGTATTTAATGTGTAGATGTGATGTAGCATTCTTAACTTGGTATTAATTTTTAGAACTATTAAAGCAACGATGTTGTTATGCAAATTGTAAGTGACCCTTTTTTTGAATTTTTTTAGTTTGCTTAACTGTTAAATGCTATCTCATGATAAAATGGCATGATTGGACAAATGGATGAGTTTAAAAGAACAAAATTTCTGAATTCCAATTTTTATAGATGATTTCAATTATTTAAATCTTTTTATCTTATATTAATATTGACCATATGTATCATTCATGGTACTTAGTTTAATATGAAATAACAAGACAAGACAAATTGTGAAAGTCGGATTGGAGTTTTCATGGACGCATTTATGTGGTCATGTGCATTAGAAATGTCGGTACCACAAGATAGGTTCAATTTTTTTGTTGAGTGAATAAGATTGTCCTTCAACTAAATTTAGATTATGTTGGTTTTTTTTTTGACAAATTGATTATGTTGGTTGATAAATAATATTTTCATTGCATAGAGTATGGATGAAAAATGTTATTTTCTTACTAATTTTGTTATTGTATTGTGCAGAATACTTTAAGATTTAGATTTAATATGAAGTATTGCTATATATGTATTGTTTCTCAAGTAAAATAAATAAATATTGACTAAAATTTATGTTCATGAGTTTCTTATTTATGCTACGCTTTTTCAAACAAACACTTATTTTGTTATGTCAATTTTCTTTTCAACCATAGACAACTAAGTGACTACATTAAATAGACAAGTCATGAATGATTATTCACGAATGTTATAACCAAGGTGGTTACACCAATAACGAGCGGCTGGTTGGACAAGGTCCGATAAAAACCGAGCTAAAAACAGGCTCTACAAAATCAAGGTTATGATCGTTAGAGTGGGAGAAGAAGAGAGGGAGAAGGGGGAGAGGCAAGGGGATGGTGAGTGGATCTTGAGATCGGTATGTTTTTTTTTTACGTAATTTGAGTTTTCAATAGATATAAGTCACTGCATTCCTTTTCAGTCACTAAATTTCTATCTTATATGTAAATATATTTAGAAAAGGTATAAAAGTGCTCAAATAGGTTGGATCTCGATCAAACAATTAAACTTTAAACTGCTTGCATGACCGGCTCAATTACTTACACCAGTTTGACAACTTGCGTTATAAGTTATAACCATTAAGATTACAATGTTCATCATTGATGAAAAGTTATAAGAATTTAAAAAATGAAAAAAATAATTTCCATGTCATCTTAATGTCATACGAAATTCAGGATTTCAAATAATTTAAAATTTAAAAACACATCATAATTCATAAATATATTGTATTCAAATAACATTCCGACCAAAGAGTCGGACAACAAGCTAATAACTAAAGAAAAGCTCAACAATCATGACTTGTACGCAGAGTTCACAGAGGTAAACAATACACGACAAAGAAAAGAAATATGAGAAATGTAAGTGACTCGCTACGACACAACACCTAACAATGGCCAAATGTAACCAATGGAAAGGACTGCAGTATAGTGGCTCAATTGATAAATATCGAATCCACCGGTCTCTAGAGTTACTATTACTCAGCTTCAGTTTATTATTTAGCAAACCAGATTAAGATGAAAGAACTAAAACTACTCTAGCAAACTACAGTTAAAGTTAATCTAATTACAGGTTGGGAACTCACTTAGGTATGATTCCCCCTAGCCACTAGCCAGACTAACGATCGATGATTTCTAACTTGTTTCACTTTCATTCACAATGCGGAGAATCCTTGACTAGACCTTGAGTCTCGACTAAAGGAACAAGGCCCTCTTGAGTCAATTGCCTAGAGGGACGTATCCTTCTCTAGAACAACTGATCAAGGCGTTCTGAACTAGACTCCCTCTATCGAAAGAGGTTCTCAATCGATACAAAGCAGTGAATCAACCCTCGACTAAAGCAATCGATCCACTACTATCAATCTATGGTGCTCTATTGACCTAATTAGGTATTCCCTCTCATAGGATCAAAGCAGAATCAATAATCTCGACTAAAGCAGAATTGAATCATGAAAACATGCATAGATTGAATATGAACTCAAGATTATCAAGTCAGAGTACTCATACAATCATCCAATCGATCAAGAAACCAACCTAGCGTAAAATAGGCCAAAGACGCGATAATTAAATCTCAAACGATCAAGAAACCAAGGGGAAAACATGTGCAAATATCGAGTCATCAAATCCCCCCACACTTAATCGTTTGCTTGTCCCCAAGCAAACCTAACTCAAACCAATGCAACTCTCCAGACCTCTATAGCAACATACAACCCCGATCGTCGGTAGAGGATTTCCTAGATCATATAGCAGCTTACGAGGTCAACTGGTCTTCTAAGACGTTCCCTATCTCTCTCAATGCGAGTACTAGACTCAAGCCAGGATCATGAGAAGAAGTATAAGTAAGACAGTCAGTTCATGGATAAAGGGACTCACACCATTCACAACCAAGGACTCGTTGTACCGGGGTGCTCTTTCACTTCATTTCACCGTTGGAACTCCTTTTTCGCTTTCATTTTACTTTTTTTTTCTTATTTCATTCACTTGGCGGGGGTTCCAACTGCCGTCTTTTGCACGATCGACCCTTATTAGTCGAGCAAGAGCAATTTCTGTACACCTGGCGCTCGCCAGAGTACTTCTTTTAACTCTTTTTCCTCAACTCGTGTGGAGGGTCAATGAAATTAAGGGGGGTCGGAAGCTCTATCCGTGCCCTTAAAAACACATCCTCAAGTAGGCAAACCGTTCAACGGGTGGAAGTTTTACTTGTACTAGAGACAGCTTAGCTTCACCTTGTAGGAGTACCCCACTAAGGATCACTAAAATCTCTTCCAAAACCCGATTTGGTGCAATGAACGGTGCCGCACACGTTGGCCTTACCCCATGTTTAAGATTTTATGATTTTGACATGGAGGACCAACTGCTTTTCATTTTTCACATGAGCACCCTGTTCGATACACGAGTCCATAACACAATCCAAACATAGTCACCATTACCACATGAATTCAACGGTCTTAGCTCCACTAATTCACAAAATCAACTGGCACATCAGAGAGCTAGATAGGAAAAATCTTATACTTCAACATCCTCCATAGTGCTACACTACCTCCCTAGGTTGCACATTACTATAGAGACTGTCAATTCAAAGCATACTGAGCAGGCCATTTGCAAGGAAACACGTACTTGGAGCCCTCAAATTTAAAAATTTGGACAGTGGACTAGGCTCCAAGCACACAAACAGCCAAACATTCACCCGCATACATAATCGAACATTCCCCCACACTTAAGCACGACATTGTCCTCAATGGAGGAAAGATAAGGAGGGTAAAACGAAGTTACCAGATCCAGGATGAATGATGGTGGACGGGGCAGGCGGTGTATTCCAGAAGGAGAGAGTGGTCAGACCACAAACACCACAAAAAATCTCACAAAGTTTGAGTTATTGACTCTAAAATCAAATAACAAAACTGACTCAACCGAGGAGAAAAAGAGAAAGAAATGCAAACCGACTGGTTGGGTTGCCTCCCAACAAGCGCTTCTTTCACGTCGTGAGCCGGACGATGGCTCCTAAGTTTCGGTCCACCCCAAAACCTCCTTGAAGTTGAGGTTCTCGTCAATGAGGTGGAGTCTCAAGTCACGGGCATGTGGTATGACAGGTGATGTAATCTCGTGCACTTGATGCGGATGAAGTCTCCACCCTCGAGACCTCTTCTTCTCTTCTCTCGTCTCATTGCCCCAAACCAGATATGACAGCATCGATTGACCACCATCGCGTCCACCAAGAGGGACCGATGTCGACGTGACCTTGGTATGGCAAAGAGACACTGCAAATGGATCCTTGCTAAGTAGTTCCTCGAAGTTTGGTGGATATCAAATGTAACTCATGGCCGGTGCAAGCCTCTTCCACCTCAACTTCGTCCTCAGCCTGGACGCCAATTGCTTCTTCAACCTCCCTTCCTTGTTCATGTGGTATTACCCCTGGGAAATGATCAAGAACTCCTCCTGCTTCACTTTCGTCATCCTCCACAACTTCTTTCTGCACCCTTTCTTGCTCTTCTTCTTCTAGCACGGATTGGAGAGCAAGTTGCCAAGCAATTTCTTTCATGAGATCTTCTTGCATCTCCTCACTCATGCCCGCCTCTTCAAAGCTCAGTTTGGGATGTGGGTAGGTGTGGTCGGCTATGATATGACATTCCTGATCATGATCATCACGGGAGCTCTCCGTGACAACTTCAGTGTGCTCCACTATGTCCTTGTAGCCTTCTTCTTCCTCCTCCTCTTCTTGTATGGTAGTAGAAGGGTGATCTGGAGCAGGTTGTGCCAAAAATTGCTCAAGATCATCGGCGCTCTTCTTAAGGCTCAGGAGGATCGCCTCTGTTTCACGATAGGCCTGGACACAATGATCCATCCTGGAGCATGATCTCTCACAATCTCGAGCAAACTGCTCCATGAGAAGCCTCAATTCATAGTTTTGATCTGGCTGTGGAGTGTATCATGGCTCTGCAGAATGGCTCGTGAAGGCCGCCATGGGTAACTCCAGCGCCGATGGCCCTTCTGGTTGTGGGAGAAATTCTTCTTGATAATGACGTTGTTCTTGATATGCCCAGGGGTCCGGTTGTTCTCCGTAGTAAGGGGGTTGGTACTGGAACCCGAATCCATAGTCTTCTCCTCCTTGATTGCTCTAGGGAGTCTCGGGGTAATACCAGTCGGGTGGTGGTGGATACCCCCAATTGTTGGAGAAGCCATGAGGATCCATGATTCAGATCTGCACCAACAAAACAAAAACACCCAAGTGAAAAGCAAGGGTGGAAAAGAAAATAAAAACGCTAAAGTAACAAACTTCTGCCTTTCCTAATACTCTAGAAAGTCCCCGGCAACGGCTCCAAAAAATTGACTCGCTACGACACAACACCTAACAATGGCCAAGTGTAACCAATGGAAGGGATTGCAGTATAGTGGCTCAAGTGATAAATATCGAATCCACGGGTCTCTAGAGTTACTATTACTCAGCTTCAGTTTATTATTTAGCAAACCAGATTAAGATGAAAGAACTAAAATTACTCTAGAAAACTATAGTTAAAGTTAATCTAATTACAGGTTGGGAACTCACTTAGGTATGATTCCCCCTAGCCACTAGCCAGACTAACGATTGATGATTTCTAACTTGTTTCACTTTCATTCACAATGCGGAGAATCCTTGACTAGACCTTGAGTCTCGACTAAAGGAACAAGGCCCTCTTGAGTCAATTGCCTAGAGGGATGTATCCTTCTCTAGAACAACTGATCAAGGGGTTCTGAACTAGACTCCCTCTATCGAAAGAGGTTCTCAATCGATACAAAGCAGTGAATCAACCCTCGACTAAAGCAATCGATCCACTACTATCAATCTATGGTGCTCTATTGACCTAATTAGGTATTCCCTCTCATAGGGTCAAAGCAGAATCAATAATCTCGACTAAAGCAGAATTGAATCATGAAAACATGCATAGATTGAATATGAACTCAAGATCATCAAGTCAGAGTACTCATACAATCATCCAATCAAACAAACATAGCTAGGGTTCCTCAAAACCTAAGTGAAGGGAAGTTACTCCATAGAGAAGAGAGAGACTGCAGTAAGAATCTTCAGATGATCAGTCTTCAAGTCCGGGCTTGTTCCTCGAGCTTCCAAGGCAAAGAAATCCTCTAATTCCACTCCAAGAATGCCCTCAAATCGCCCTCCCTCTTTTTGGTTCGTCCCTTGGGTGTTTGGGAATCAAAACCCAGCTCTCCCTCTCATTTGGCTCGAATTTGGGTTAAAAAACTCGATTCTGGGCAAAACACGATCGAGGGCACGGCCGTGCTTTGGTTTTGCCTGCCCGTGTTTTGCCCCGTGTTAAAATCCGCCCGCGCGTGTCGTCCAAAACACGGTCGTGCCTAAATATGGGCACGGCTGTGTTTTGATTTAGGCGCGCCCGTGTTTTGACTGCCGAACCTGTTCCCCTATATTCAATGTTTCGTTTCTCCCTCGTCCGAACTCCGAATCAGTCGCCGTTTGATCCCACACGCTCGTAGTCTTGTAATCTTTCTTTGCATGAGAAGCTTGCATTATTCTTTGTCCATAAAGTGAGGTAGAAATCCATTCTTCTTCAGGTCATGCCCGAGTTTCTTCTCCCTAATCGCCAATTGATCTCTGATTGACTTGAAACTTGCGCCTATGCTCCACTTTATGTGCTAGGACCTGAAATGTGACAAAGGAACACAACCTAGCGTAAAATAGGCCAAAGACGCGATAATTAAATCTCAAACGATCAAGAAACAAAGGGGAAAACATGTGCAAATATCGAGTCATCAGTAAGCAAACAAGAAAAACAACAAGCTTTTAATCTGGTATCGTCAGGATGACACTAGTTTATAGAAAGGGTATCTCTATTTTTTTTTCCATTTTTTCTTATACTCCATAACAACATACAATACGTTGTATATATAGTTTGCTAGTACAAACCCTAACTACCTACTTAATAACTATTTACAAAATGGTACCTAATTAATATATAATTTACACCCTCCTCGAATTGATGTTAGGTTCTTAACAACAATTTGAAAGATAGGTACTAGTGCTTACTTAAAGACACAACATCCAGGTTTGATACCATGTCAACAGATAACTAGCCCCTTGTACCACCAGCTGACGAGTATAGTGAACTTAAACTTCTATGTGATTCGTGCAATAGTGTAGACCTGGATTTATATATAGCTAGTTTGAACGCTGCCCGTATTATCTCCATATAATTCCACCATACATGATTGAGTTACGAAAGTTTCTGGATATGTATCCTACATCTGAATTGAATTATTTCTGGTTAAATAATTATAAATCCAAATATGCTACTCACAAATAACTCCCAATATGGAAATTTTTTTAAAGGCAAACTATCTCCGAACTCATCTGACATAGACATATCCTCTGCTTCTGTCAACAATTTTGAGTTTTGAAAGGCATAATGTACTAGCATAACACAAAAATCCAAAAACCCTTAATTTTGAAAGGTCAAGATGATTGTCGTACAATATTTTTTCATAGGAATTTAATAACTTGACAACAGATGCAATCTTGTGGATCTTCCGCTTTAAGGGGCAAGGTACACTTGGAGTAGAGGAGGGTTAGCAAACTTGTCTTCTCATATTGATAGAGCTTTAATTAATCCGAGTTTTGAAGAGCTGTTATCTCCTCAAGCGCTAATTGCGCTGGATAGAGTTGAGTTGGATCATAATCCGATTCTACTGCAATGGGGTACTATTGATCGTCTCATACATCCTTGGAGGTTTGAAAAAATGTGGTTTCAGGAAGAATCTTTTTTGGAGAGCTTGGTGGGTTGGTGGTGCGTCCCTGTCAATGGGACTAGTCATCTGGTCAGATTCGGTCAGAAGTGTAGACAAACTAAAATGATGATCAAACAATGGAATCGAGAACATTTTGGGAAAGTTGAGAAGCGTATCTCTGTACTTCTTTTCGGAATTAAGAGTATCGATGAAGCTGAAGAATCTGGGCGGTGTAATCCTCTGTTGTCAACCGAGAAAGCTATCCTTAAATACGAACTTGAGAAGGTACTTATCATGGAAGAAATCTCTTGGTGGCAGCGATCTAGAGAAATCTGGCTTCAGGTGGGAGACAAAAATACTGGCTTTTTTCACAGAGTCGCTAAAGCTAATAGAAGAAAAAAGAAGATCAAAAGATTGGTGTTTGATGACAGAGCAACTAAGGATGAAACGGAGATAAAAATCGCTTTCCAAAATCACTTTGCTGCCAAGTTTAGTGAAGAAGAAGACAGACCGTTTCCTTCCAGGTATAGAAATTGCGTGGTAACTGCTGAGGATAATGAAAGACTGGTGATGCCCTTTTCAGAAAAGGAAGTTTGGCAAGCCTTAACTCAGTGCAATGGAAGTAAAGCTCCAGGACCAGACGGGTATTCGATCGAATTTTATAAAAAAAAGCTTGGGGCATCATCAAATTGGATTTTCTTAAGGCGTTCGATGATTTATTTCTTGCTGGTTCCCTCCCCTATTCGATCGCCCATGCCTTTATTTGCCTACTGCCGAAAAGAGATCTTCTCGAAAAAGGTCTCTGACTTCCGCCCAATCAGCTTACTAGGAAGCGTAAATAAGGTCATCGCCAAAGTGCTGTTCAATTGACTTCAACCCCTTATAAACACTCTCATCTTAGATTATCAGTTTGCAGAGAAAAGGGGCAGAGGAATCCATGAATCTTGTTTGATTGCCAATGAAGTAATTGACAGTAGAAGAAGAAGCGGGAAGCCCGGATTAGTAATTAAGCTGGACATTGAGAAAGCGTTTGACTCCATCAGTTGGGAGTGCATATATAAAGCTCTTACTCATCTTGGATTACATTCCAGGTTTCGAAAATGGATTAAATGTCTGATTTCTTCGTCGAGACTCTCGATTTTAATTAACGGGAAATCTGTTGGTTTCTTTGGAATGAGTCGCGGGTTTAAGCAAGGACATCCACTCTCGCCCTTTCTTTTTAACCTTGCCATGGACATCCTTTCTTTCATCCTTAGTGCAATAAACAATGCTGGGCACATTACCGGCTTCTGCATTGATGAAGAAAGGCGTCGTGGGGAAGTCACACACTTGCTCTACGCCGATGATGCTATCCTCTTTTGTGAAGCTAATGAATCCGAGGTGCGTAACATATTGGCTGCTCTCGTGTGTTTCCAGCCAATTACGGGTCTTCAGATCAATCTTGAGAAAACAAAAATTTTCCCTGTTGGTAAAGTCTCGAACATTGATAGGCTGGTTGAAATTTTTGGGTGTGACTGGGCTTTCCTACCAACAATCTATCTCGGAATGCCCCTTGGATGCCAGTCTCCACCTACCTCGCACTGGAATAATGTCTTAAGTAGAACTCAGACCAAATTGGAAGGATGGAAAGGAAAGTTTCTATCTCTGGGGGGCAGAGTTGTGCTCATTAACGCAGTGCTTGCTAGTCAATGCACCTTCATGAGTTCATTGTTCTTGATGCCTAAAAGCGTCATTAATTCTCTGGAGAAGATACAACGAGACTTCCTATGGTCTGGTACTCACGATAAGGAAAGACTTCATCTTGTCTCATGGAATTTCTGTAAAACAACCAAAATTAGAGGGGGTCTGGGTATCTGTGATCTTGAGTTGCACAATCAAGCTCTTCTATTCAAGTGGCATTGGAGATTCGCGTCTGAAAGAAGTGTTTGCTGGAGAGAAATCATTGACATTAAATTTCCAAAGTGCTATTCAGAGTGGGTGCCGGGAAGTTTGTCGGGAAGGATAGGTGGGAGCCCTTGGGCCAACATCATCAAACTTTAGTCCGCTTTCTGGAAACTGATCAGCATTGAACATGGTAATGGTTTTTGGACTTCGTTTTGGTTTGACACTTGGGTGAATGGTGTTCGCTTGGCTGATGAATTTCCGAGAGTGCTGGCCGCGGCTGATTCTCCGAACTCCACCATAGTTGATTACTTATCTGTTTCCGAGGGAAACTGCACTTGGAACATTCCTCCAATTTATTCACTTCGGGGTGGGGCTGAAAGAGAGCGCGTGAGATTGTTTAACTTATTTGATTCTATCCCTTGTCAGAAATTTTTTGTAGGAATGAAGAGGAGTCCCCAAATCATATCTTCATCAGTTGTGTCTTCTCAAGGCGGGTCTGGAGCACTTTGAAATACTTCGTGAAGATGGAGGAAAGAGGTGACGAAGCTGGTGACATTTCGGAGAAAATCAAACTTTGGCAACATACCAAACCTACAAATACTGCAGAATGGTGTTCGAAAGTGGTTCTTCATGCTTTCTGTTGGCATATTTGGTTAGAAAGAGAATCTAGAATCTTTAGAGAAGAGGAAGGACGGATACAATCGATTGTGATGAAGATTGGACACACTATCTTCTGGTGGTTGGTGGCGGCCAAAAAGGTCGATAAAGGAGTTGCGGAGCTATGGATCAACGAGATGAAAGCGAGATTACAACCCCCTACTGTCTCTTCATCGCCTGCGAACCTGGACTTGGCGCTTTCTAGCGTGGCATCTTGAGTTCTCTGTTGGCAGGTGTCTTGCTTGTGCTTGTGTTTGCTGCTTGTTTTGGTTTTGGCGTTCTGTTGCAGGTGGCAGATTCCCTTTTTCCTGGCCCTGCTATTGTGACTTGGGTTTGTTTTTCTGGTGTCTGGGTTTATGCCCGGGTTTTTGTTCTGGGTGGGAATTGTTTTTCCCTGATGTTTTTCTGTTCGTGTGTTCTGCTGCTTTGCTGGTGTTTCTTCCCTTTCTTTAATAAAAGTTATATCATCCTTATAAAAAAAATATTTTTTCATAGGGAGTGTTGTTGGCAATGACATTTTTCTGCAGTGTTTGGACACAAGACATCTGGTGAACTATACCATGTTAACAATAAAACTCAGGTATGTGAGATCAGGCTCTCCTTGATTAGACCTTACTATCTTAACTCTTTTATCAAACTGTGCTTGGATCATAACACAAAAGTTTGGTAAAATTTCTCTTGCTTCATTTTTAAATTCCATAATATAAGCCCAAACACACTTATACTTGTCATCAACAATGGTAATTAATACTGAAAATCATTTTAACTGGGAATGGCTAAGGGCCCCTAAATATGAACATGAATGGGTTCAAAAACTCTCTTTGCTATAGACTGGCTTGAAGAAAAAGAAAGACATTTCTATTTAGAGAAATAACAAACATCAAAGTGATGCAAAGACTCAACATCTATGCCATGTACAATTTTCTTCGATTCCTTAGCTCTAAAATTAGAAGGGAACCCACTTTGTCAATGTTAAAAATCAAATAACTCGGGTCTGAAGTTGTGAGTCTTAAGAGAATTGACGTGGATGAAATTATCTTCTATGCAAGGGTATAAGTTGGCATAAACCTCTGATCTCTTAAGCAAAACCCATAATCTTCATAGTTAAAAGGTTCTGAATAGAACATATGGTTTGATTTGAAAGTGAGCAAGCTATGTATAGGCTAAGTGAGTTTACTCATTGATATAAGCTTAAAAGAAAAGGTTGGACTAAGCCTTAATGGCTTGTTTTAAATCCATTTGGTGGAGCTTAGTTGTCCTACAGTGGGAACGCTTGTGTGTTTTGTTTTTTTTTTTTTTTTTGTAGGGGCACGCAGAAGAGCTCCCGATATTGGAGAGACTTCCTCAGACAGGTGACTTGGCTCATTATCAGGATGGAACTATCTTGGAGGATGCTCAGAGCTTGGCTTTTCTCTTTAGTTGGGCTTCTTACTGTTTTGTTATCCGCTGTCTCAATAGGGCTGCCCATCATGTGGCATAAAAGGCCCTCTCATCGGGAGTTCGACTATTGGTCGACTCCCGCGCTCTTTTTATTTTCTCTGTATGACTGATTTTATAACAACTGACTTTGCGAAAAAAAAAAAAAAAAAGGTTGGACTGGAACACAAAAACATCATTGATGACAGTAAGACACTACTAAAATAAGTGAGACATGTCTTAATTAATGCCATTAGGTAAGGAAGGCATATTGAACGGGTACATGTCTATTGAAGGTAGAAATGGTGCAAGTAGTAACATGATCAGTTGCACGTGTATATATCTTGAAACCACACACTAATTACTTCTAATGGATGTTGTTGGAATATGAAGTGAGAATGTATTTACACGATAAATTGGGATTCATGCTGTATAGCATCATGAGCTTGCTCACCGAACTTGACCTGGCAATCTGCCACTCATGCTGTATAGCATAGTGGAAAGAAATTTCCATTTGAAGGTAATAGAATCATCACGAGCATATTAGTCATAACTCATCCATATGAATCATCCAGCCCATTCAAGAAGCCACCATGCAAAAACGTAACATAAAAAGCAGTCAAGATAAGACATATATACTTACTGGATATGCTGCAAACTAGCTATGTGGGCAGCAAGCAGCCATAGGAATATTTCAATCTCGAAAAAGTGAAAATATTCTTTCCTGTAGTGCTCTTTTCCCTCCAGTCAATTAACCTAGCTCACAATCCCGTCCAGTTTCATATACTCGATCTGTGGCCAGCAACCTATCTCTGCGTGGAAATTAAAGCACATGAGCTAAAAACAAACCAGCTCTAATACGTACTATGTCATAGACCCTTTGATATACTAGCTAATGGAATTAATGATCATCAGTCAGAAGCAACCCCTTCTCACTTCATTTCAATGATCCTTACATAAACTTTCTAATATTTTTGTATAAGTGTCACATATACCTGTTTTTATTATTAGATGTTATTTAAATGATTTAAATATGAAATCTTCAGGTTAAAAATTAGTGATAGTACAACTAGACAAACCTTAGCTAAACCCTTTAATTTGTACCTCCCTTCTCACAATGGTTCACTAACTAGCCTTGTTTCTATAGAACAACTGTCACTCAAGTTAAGTTATGGAAGTTGTCTTGTGTACCCAGAACAAAAATTATTATATTATAATTATTATACTTATACTTATAATTATAATTATAATTATAATTATAATTATAATTATAATACTTATTAAACTTATAAGTAGGTTACTGTTGCTTAAGAATTCTGCTAATTTGTACCGTGGGTCATTATGCTTGGGTCACAGTCATTGGTTTGTCTGCTCCCTAGTATAAGAATTTTGTTAATTTGACAATACTAATTAAAGTTATACTGTGATTACTAATTTGTACCATGATCATTATATTGTGATTACTGTTGCATAAGAGTTTTGGTATTGTGCACACTTGTCACCCTCTTTAGCTCACTCGCATGGAGGACGATGATGACATTGATGAGCATATTATTATGTTCATGATGATCATTATAGAGCAATTCTACTATGCTATATAGTATTGGTGCTTTAATGTACAACTTGAAGTTGTACCATAACATTAAATGTACAAGTTTAGGTTGTACCATAAAGGAATTTGTATCATTATGTTATGGTACAACTTTACAACTTGAAGTTGTACCATCACATAAGGTACAAGTTTAAGTTGTACCATAAAAGAATTTGTACAAAAAGTATAGGTACAATCTGAAGTTGTACCATAACATTAAAGGTACAATTTCAAGTTGTACCATAAAGGTAAAAACCTATAGCACCAATGCTATATAGCATTGTAAAATTCCTCGATCATTATAATATATAATCGGAGATAATTGAAAAGGAGGCGGGATAAAAGGAAAGAGATAATGATTATTGAGGAAAATGTTTTAAAGCATTAGTAGATTAGTTTGTGTTTTTATTTTACTATTTAAATTTGTATTTTTAACGTTATGATATAATTATAGATTGTACCTATACTCTGTTGTATAAATTATTTTATGGAACAAGCTAAAGTTGTACCTTTATGTTATGATACAAACTTGAAGTTGTACCATAATATAAATGTTCAAATTCCCTTATGATATAACTTCAATTTGTACATTTAACGTTATGATACAACTTCAAGTTGTACTTTAAAGCACGAATACTTTAAAGTATAGTAGAATTGTTCAATTATTATTAGCTTTCATGTTTCACTCGCCCCGCTTGCTTTTGCTGCCGTTTTAGTGCCATTTAAGATTTCTTTGTATTTAAGTTTTTTTTTTGTATTTTCATATAAACTTTCAGTATTTTCTTTTATGACAATTTAACACAAATCCATGAGTGTTCGACCTAATTCAACCAATCAAGGTGAATTGAACCGATGTTCACAAAATTTGTGTCGGGAGCTAGTTTTGCCCGCTTATGTAATTGACGGGTTGAGTCAAGTGTGAATTTTGTTAAAAACCCGGCCTGATTTTCATCCGATCCGCACCTAAACAACAAAAAAATCGATATGGACAAAACAGGTTGAATTCGGTGTCGATGAGCTTTGGTTGAGACCATTAGTATTAGCATAAAATGCACCCAAGAATCACAGTCGAATTTCATAGTAATGGTTTTGTTACGTACTATGTCATAGACTCTTTCCACATAAACTTTTTGATAGTTTTTGTACAAGTGTCACATAAGCCTGTCCATATTGTTAGATGTTATTAAAATGATTTAAATATGAAATCTCCGGGTTAAAAAGTAGTGATAGTACAACTAAACAAAGCTTAGCTAAACCCTTTAATTTGTATACCTCCCTCCTCACAATGGTTCACTAACTAGCCTTGTTTCCTGTCGCCTCTTTGAAGTTAAGTTATGGAAGTTGTCTTGTGTACCAAGAACAAAAATTGGTTATACTCCCAAGCAAATGATAGGGCACTGGTGAATTTGAGTTTTGAGGAGTCTTACTCCCCTGGCCCTGTTCAGGCGTTCGAAAGAGCCGAATCCGATCATAGCCCGATTCTGTTGCGAATAATAATCGCAGAAAAAATTTTGTGCTTGAAATAAAGGTTGATGGAGTTCGTGTTCAAGGCAAGGAAGCTCTGAAGAGGGTTTTTATTAACCATTTTCGAAGCAGGTTTCAAGAAGATAATGAGCAACGTCCTTTCCCGGAAGACTTCAAAAGGAATTCGTTTAGTCTGGAAGAGAACTTTCAGCTTACAGTTCCGTTTTCAGAGCCGGAAATTTGGAAAGCTATTTGTTCGTGTGGTTGGGATAAAGCGCCAGGTCTGGATGGTTTTACGTTGGATTTCTTCAGGAAAGCTTGGAACATCATTAAAGCAGATATTATCAAAGCTTTGGATGAATTCTACATTACAGGTACCCTTCCTGATTCGGTGGCTCATTCTTTCTTGTGCCTGATTCCGAAGAGGGATGCAGCTGTAGAGGTTGGAGACTTTCGTCCAATCAGCCTTGTGGGTAGCCTCAATAAGATCATCTCGAAGCTCCTTTTCTTGCGGCTCCAGCCGTTCATGAAGAATTTAATCTCTAGGCAGCAGTTTTCGGGTATTAGAAAGCAGCAGATTCATGAAGCAGGGCTCATTGCCAACGAATTGATTGACAGCAGGTTGAGGAGTGGGCGCCCAGGCCTTGTCTTTAAACTTGATATCGAAAGAGCCTTTGATTCCGTGAACTGGGGGTGTCTTTTCAACGTGCTCTCTAACACGGGTCTTTCCCCGAGGTTCCAAAAATGGATTCGTGGTATTGTTTGCTCTTCCAAACTGTCTGTCTTAGTGAACGGTGAAGCTGGTGGTTTTTTCGGTGTCCAAAGGGGGCTGAAACAGGGGGATTCCCTATCTCTCTTCCTATTTAATTTGGTCATGGATGTCCTTGCCTTCTGTCTTCACAAGCTGCAGGAGGCTGGTTCTCTTAAGGGGTTCCACATGGATGAGTCAACTGGTCGTGGAGCGGTTAATCATCTGTTATACGCGGATGATGCGATAATTTTTTGCGATGCAACAGAAGATGATGTTTTTAATCTTGCTGTTGTGCTCGTCTGCTTCCAGTGTATCACGGGCTTGAGGGTGAACCTTGCGAAGAGCATGCTCTTCCCGGTTGGGGATGTGGAGGGCATGGACAGGCTGGCTGAAATCATGGGCTGTAACTGGAAATTTCTGTCCTCGAATTACCTGGGTCTGCCCCTTGGGGCTTCTCCTAAGAATGCCTCAATTTGGAATCAGGTTATTTGTAAGGTTGAAAATCGACTGGAAGGATGGAGGGGCAAGTACCTATCCCTGGCTGGCAGGATTACTCTTTGCAATGCCGTCCTGGATGCTACTCCGGTTCATATGCTAAGCTTATTTTCGGCTCCAACATCAGTGATCGAAGCCCTTGAAAAAATTCAAAGAAATTTTATCTGGTCTGGTTCGAGTGGTGAGAAGAAACTCCACCTTGTGTCTTGGGATAGATGCAAAGCACCAAAATGTCTTGGAGGGTTGGGGATTACTGATATTAGAACTCGAAATCAGTCTCTTCTTTGTAAATGGTGGTGGCGATTTGCACAGGAAAGAGATTCTTGGTGGAGGGAAATGATCAATATTAAATTTCCTAATCCGGTATCAGAATGGATGTCGGGTGATCCCGGAGGCGGCGCAAGGCTTAGCCCTTGGAGACAGATCCTGAAACTGAAGAAAATCTTCTGGAATTTGGCGCATATTGATCCTGGAGCCGGTTCCGGTACTTCTCTTTGGTTTGATGTGTGGTTGAAGGGTAGGACTTTGGCCAGTGACTTTCCCAGAGTTGTTGCTGCCACGGAAGTGCCAGGATGTCGGATTTCAGATGCTGCAATTTTTGAGGAAGGGAGAGTTAATTGGGTCATTCCTCTGAAACATAACTTGAGAGGGGGGCAGAGAGTGAGAGGGTGAGGTTATATGAGCTTCTTAATCATCTTCCATCTAACATTTGTTTTGCAGGTCCTGCTAGAGTGGTTTGGCTGCCCTCCCCCTCCTTGGGCTACTCGGCGAGGTCCTGTTACAGAGAATTACTGCGTGAGCGCTTCCCTGGTGTGGCGGATTTCCCCTGGGATGTGGTGTGGCAGTCGGTGATTCCCCACAAAGTGTGTGTGTTCATGTGGCTTGCTGTACAGAAGAAGATCCTCACCCATGATGCTTTGAAGAGGAGAGGCTGGGTTTTTCCGAGTAGATGCTCGTTGTGTGAAGATTCCGAGGAAACCATCGATCACCTTTTCATCTCCTGCAAGTTCACCAAGGAAGTTTGGATGATGTTGGCTGCCTTCGTGAAGTTTAATTCAAGGGTCTGGGACATTTCTGATTTCAAGGTCCTTGTTGTTTCTTGGAGTAGAGCCAAGCCGAACAACCCATCTGAGTGGTGCACTAAGGTTGCGCTGCATGCTTTTTGTTGGAGAGTTTGGCTCGAAAGAAATGCTAGAATTTTTCAGGATGAGAAGGTGTCGTCAAGAACCATTTGTTTTCGAATTGCCAGAGATATTGCTTGTTGGCTAACGGTGGGAGGCAAGGTGGACCGAGATATGGCGGATTGTTGGCTTCATCATCTGAAACTCCGCCTCCTTCCCAGATATATGCAGACTTCTAATCTCTTGCAGCTTTAGTTTGCGTTACTGCTGCTGCGTTTCTGGGTGCTGTTTGGCTTTACTGCTGCCTGCTTGGCTTTGTTTTGCTGATTTGTTTGTGTTTCCTGTTGGCTCCTGGGCGCTGGCACTTTTGTTGTCCTTGCCCGTTTCTTTGCTTTTCCTTTGTTGCTTTGTCCCCTTCCCCTCTTTTAAGGACTCTTTTTATTTAATTTATTTCACCATTATAAAAAAAAATTGGTTATAATAATTAAATGGCTCAATTAGACGTAGAACCGATAAATCCACTTCATCGTTATTTGTATGAATATGCACTACTTGTAAAATGAGGGTTTTCATTTAAACGTGGGATTTAAAAACCTAAGGTTTTATTTGGGATTTGGGGCATTTTGGATTTGGAAAAATCCTTTGTTTGTTTCTTCATTTTGATCATGGATTTAATAATTTGGGATTTAGAAATAAAAGAATTGTATTTACATTATTGCCCTTTTTAGAAATAAAGTGTGTTTCCCCTTTCTTTCCTTCAGCCAGGCAGACACTTCACAATGCATAAGAAGCCCAATATTTATGAATCTTGCAGCTTCTAGAGTAAATCTGGGGGAAATATCACTTGATCAGAGCAGAGGCTTTCCACTTACATCACGTCGAGCAAGATCAAGGCGATTCCAAATGACCATCAGAACAAGTTCGTTAAGTTCCCCTTTCTCAGCAGCTTCTTCGATTCAAATCTGAACTCCGATGGAAGAAGGTCGCCGAGCTGGATTCTGCACTTTTCCGAGCGGGTGAGTCTTCTTCCGCAGCTTCTCTATTTGAGGGGAATAGAACAAGACTGTGGGGAATAGAACGATAGATAGGGTTAAGGGATAGAGAGGGTATTTTTGGTTTAATGAAAAATAATGGGGATATGAGTGTCATTTTCGTTCTTGGTTTTTCATCAGCTAGCCAAATCCCTAATAAGCATGTGGGATTTATAAATCTGTGGGCCCCACGGATTTGGGGCAAAAAAAAATCTAAATCCGTGGGCCCCACGGATTTATTTCAACAAATTTGGATGAAGCAAACAACGGATTATACCTAAATCCTTGATAATTGGTTTTTTGGTACCAAATCCATGTACCAAATCCTTGAAGCAAACGATCCCCTAATATCCTCCGATATTGTAGAAAGCGCGATGTCTTTTCCAATGTATGCTCTAACTACACAACAAATTATTGAGCAAAGGTATTAATCTATGTATTGTAAAGTTGGTTGATTGTATTAAATAATGTAATCAAATTAGAGAGTTGACAGTGAGTTAGTTTTTACTTTTTACCCAATGAATCACTCCATTAGATGAATAGACAATAAGACTATCGTCCATCATGTACATGTACCAGCTTTCTAAAGATTCTATTCGTTGTAAGATTAGGATCACTACAAGAAAACGTAGGATTTGCAACCAAACTAAAATTGGTTGGAAAAGACTAGTATTTAGAATCGGCTAAATTACACGTTTGGTCACTCAAATTATACAAATCTTTCACGTTTGCCACTCGAATTACTTTTCTTTCTTATTCGCCACTAACTTTACGAATGATTTCACGGTTGGTCACCGGCTGTTACACTCCGTTAAGTTTGTCCTACGTGGCAGTCAACTATAAAGTTTGACCGTTAACTAGATGACGTGGAAATTAAAAAATAATAAAATAATTAAATTTTCTTTCCACCTCATAATTGCACTTATTTTGTCTATATAATTTATCATATTAATAATTTAATAAAATTTAATAAATTACAAAAATGGGCAAATCCAAATGTTCATCATCCTCACCCTCACCATCCACTCCATCTGGTTCAACCCACACGGCCTGCAGATTACCCCTGAACCGCCGCACCAGTTCTGAGAATCTCCATACACGCCGCATTCACCGCAAGGACCTGGCAGAATCGCAGGCAAAGGAAGTACCTGGAAGAGTTGTGAATTCGAATTCGACCCTGCACTGGGCCATCCGGTCCCCAACAAATTGTCGACAAGTTGTTCGACAAAATGCCGCAGAGAAAATTCGAGCCAGAGACGATGGATTCGAAGAAGATTCCTTCGATCCCGTTGACCCCCAGCCCTCCGTCTCCACCCCAACAAACCACCGACCCATTGCTCCGACGAAGAGCGCAGCTGTAATTGGCTCTCACCGTTCCTGAATTCGAATCCAAATCCGAATCCCCATCGGCCGCCGCCGTGGTCGAGCAAACCCGATCACCACCAACAGACACGCTCTGTAACAGAACCGAGGTGTTGAAATAGATTCGCTTGACTTGGTTGGGAATGGCAGAATTGTTATCCGGTGAGAATGTATCCTGGCAGAGCAGAGCTTAGCCGACGGAACGGACCTCGCAGAAAAAATCCTGCCCGTCGGAGATCGAAGAGAAGGAGATGTTTGGTTGAAGCGTTACGATTGGTGGTGGTGGTGGTGGTTGCAGATACCCTCCTCCTCCCTCGCCGCCGCCGGCTCCTGGTGGTCTGAAACAAACGATGCTCTGAGTGGCCTGGTAAGAGACGATGCTGCAGGCGGTGGGGGAGCCGGAGATTGAACGATGGAGTGGATGGTGAGGGTGAGAATGATGAGCATTTGGATTTGTCCATTTTTGTAATTTATTAAATTTTATTAAATTATTAAAATGATAAATTATATAGATAAAATAAGTGCAATTATGAGGTGGAAATAAAATTTTATTTTTTTTTAATTTCCACGTCATCTAGTTAACGGTCAATTATATTTTGCAAGCCAAAATATTAACAATTTGATTTCCTAATAAAATTAAAGTATCGATAATCAAATAAAACTTTACGAGACCATATAATTTAGTAGAAAAATTATTTATATTGTTTCCGACCAAATAATTTTGATAGCAAATTGATTTTTAGTTTTTTCAATCAAATATTTTGGTAGCATAATTATTTTTTACTTTTTCCAACAAAATATTATTGGCTATGAATTTATAGAAGAAATTTTAAAATCTTAGATACTAAATAAATGGTTGCGTACCAAATAAAAAAATTTCAGCAACTAAATTATTTGGTTGTTCTTGCATTGGTAGTTTATAATTATTTAGGTACCAACTACATTTTTAAATTTGGTTGCTAGAGTATTAATTGCGAATAACAATTTTTGAGGAGACATATTTACAATTTTTTCGCTCTCTCCGATCTCCTTCCTTCTTCCGGCTATACACGCGATTTTCGTCTCTCCTCCTATTTCAATTCCGTCCAACTTCTCCTCTTCTTCTCAAATTTGATTTCGAGGATGATTGTTGGACATCACAACTTCTCCACTTTTTATTAATTATGATCCGTCGAAGTGTTCCTCCTCTTGTTATTTGATATCCTCTTAATTTCGATTCCCTCTTTGCTTCTTTGATATTCGGCTACTCCATTCTCCAGAGGAATCGTGTCAATGATTATTATTGACATTTTAACTTGAATTTGCTTGATAAGTGCTAAATTATTTGTTTAGGAGCTCGTTAGTTGTGTATATTTCCAAATCCTAAAATTAGACGATGTAACATTCGATTCTTGGTTATATATACAGGTCGTGTTTTTTTAATATGTCTTATTATATTTATTCTTCCAATGTATCATTTCTAGGTCCAATGAAATTCTTTATAAAGTTTGGTCGTCTATCTCGGAAGGATATACCTTCGGCGTAAATGCAATACACATCCCGACAACAACCTTTTCTCTCTACGAGATTGAAGTGCACACGTGCCTCACTGCATGAATCCCACACTAGATGATGGCCTTGCAAGATATATAGGAGCATAATGAGTGGAGGAATTTTTTGTGGATTCACTCAACCATGTAGATGTATGACCAATATGGGAACAAAGTGTGTCTAAGGAAACTCTAAAGAGAGCTTAGGTATGCACAATGTAGTCAAAATCCCGATTTTAATCTTAAAATCTTGCGATTTTACGATCTTACCTATGGGTTCCGATCCTGATTTTACTGTAAAATCTTTGAACCTTAAAATCCCATAAAATCCCGATTTAAAACTCTAAAATCCATAAAATCTACGATTTCTACGATTTTGTACGATTTCAAGGTTCGTATCAATTGGATCAAAATTAGGCCGGTCAAGTTGGGTTATGCCCATGAACCGAGTCAAATTTACTTTCCCCAACCCAACATAATGAACAACACAACCCCAACCTGATAGTTAACCCTCAATTTATTTTCATTCTCTTCCTCGTATCTTCCTCTTTCGCACGTTGGCGCCCAACTCCTTCCATCAACGATATCTTCCACCCTCCCAATTAGCTTGTAGTTTGTTCCCACCACCCTCACAATAATCCAAATCTCCATTACATTGCAAGCTTTTGTGTCATCTCCCAATCCTTCAGCACCACTAACCCTACCTTTTATCAATTAAGAAGGGAATGCATCAATCAATGAGTTATGTTTTCCAGATGATGGTAATCAAGGAAATATGGTTAATGGTGAAAGTACTTCAAGTGATCATAAGAGTAATGATATTAGTCCTTAAAAAAATAAAAACGATGAGAGTGAGGGTGAGGTTGAGGATGATGACGATGACGATGATGTGTAAGTGATGTTAATGTTGATCCTAACGATCTTATGTGATTTTCTACTCTTAACAATTAATTAACAGTGATATCTATAATGTTTCAGGTTTCTTATTTGTGTGTTTCTATTATGTACAAGAAAAATATATGGATTAGTTGTGTTTGTTTAGCAAACAAACTTATCTTGGGAAGTAATTATGCTTTATGTGGTTGATTGTTATTCAAGATATGCATTATTATTACTATCTAGTGTTTTAAGTATTTATTTTAATATGAACCTTAAAATCTTACGATTTTACGATTTTAATCTACGATTTCGATTCTACCTCAGTTTTCGATTTTACTTAAAATCTAGATTTTGACTGCATTGGGTATGCAACACCTTTCCTTATACTTTCACTCATCCAGTAGTGGGGTTTTGTCTTCAAATCCTTTAGATTTTCGAACCAAACAAGGGGAGCTTCAAATCTGAAAGCACCTCAACCTCAAAATTTGATTTACAAACCCAATGAACAGGTCCCTAAGAGAGCGGATCCCATGACTAAGCCCCTCCTAGCCATTAGATCTGAACACTTCAATCCAATGGTTAAAAAGTGGGAAGGGCTATTTAATTAATGACATGAGTAGTTTGGGTATTATGGAAAATTACGAAGTATATAAACCGGATTTACAATTAGTACAAACCATACAAACATACGAACAGTACAAACTAGAGCGACAAAATTTACAAACAGATTTACAAACGTATGAACTGTACAAACAATACAAACTAGACTAACAAACAATACAAACCATACAAAAAGAAAAAACAACCGGGTTGACTTTGGAGGCTCCATCCCTATATAGAGGGGCTCCTTCCCAAAGTCAACCCGGGTGTTTTTTAGACATACAAACATGGTGGACAAAAATGACAAACTAGACAAAAAATTCATACAAACTCGAAAAACACCCGGGTTGACTTTGGAGGCTTCATCCCTATATAGAGGGCTCCGTCTCAAAGTCAACCCGGTTGTTTTTTAGACATACAAACATTACGAACATGGTGGACAAAGATGACAAACTAGACCGACAATCCATACGAACTGGAAAAAACACTCGGGTTGACTATGGAGGCTCCGTCCCTATATAGAGGAGTTCAATCCAAAAGTCAACCAGGTTGTTTTTTAGACATAAAAACATTACAAACATGGTTGACAAAAATGATAAACACGGTACACAAAAATAACAAAGATTACAAAAAAAACGACAAACATTACAAAATAACAAAGCGTACAAACATTACAAAATAAACCGACAAACAATACAAAGCATACTAACAGTACAAAATCTCTCTCTCTCTCTCTCTCTCTCTCTCTCTCTCTCTCTCTCTCTCTCTCTCTCTCTCTCTCTCTCTCTCTCTCTCTCTCTCTCTCTCTCTCTCTCTCTCTCTCCATGGGATGGGGAAAAAATTCCCTCCCTCCCCCCCTCTCTCTCATGATTGCATGGCATGGGGAAAAAATCCCCTGGTCCCCCGCCGGAAAAGGGTAGTCGATGCCTGCCTGAAACAATTCCCCCGCCGGAAAGGGAAGCGGGACGTCGGCGGGCGGAGTGGACGCGCACAGTCCACAGACCTTATTTTTTTTAAATTAATTCATAAATAAAAACTATAATTACCACCTTACCCTTCATTAAACTAGATAAATTTGAACCATTGGATTTTAATGAACTTCAATAGCTGAGATTGGCTTAGTCATGTGACTAAGGGACCGTCCCTTAGTCACCTGATCTTGGCCCGGTCCCTAACTAATTGTGTAAAGACACGTGCAAGGCCAGGAGGAAACCCGATATTAGTTTCCGATAAGGTTATTGCAACTCCTATTTTATATCAGATCATTCGTTGTAGCTTCTGGTGATGGTGCCCCGTCCTAGACTAGGTCACGCAACACGTGAAAAATATTGGGAAAATAAAAAGACATATAATCGGTTTCCTGAGGTTTGGCCTCACTTAAAATCAAGGATATCAATCTGGTCATCGTTGAATCAGTGGATTGCCCCTCATGGTGACTTTCCCAGTGAGCCGTGGACCAGACGTACATGTTCTACTGGCTGTTGGGTTTCACCATCTGGGACTGTCTCATCCCTAAGTTGCGGAGCTCCTAGATATGAGAGATGCCTTATTAGTCATTGTTTTCTAAACTCTTCCTTGCTTTATCCCAGATGACGATTCCGGGGTAGTGGTTTGTTAGCTCCTCTTACATGTGGTTGCGGATTCTCTAGGATGACCGCTGCTCCAAGATTGTCGTCAAGTCATCTCCTCTGCTTCCTTCTGCCTAGTCTTTAGGGCGGTTTCTTGAACAACAGTTTGGGGTGCCCATAAAATGACGCGTAAAACCCTTACACTGTCTTCTTTATAGTTAGTTTCTTTTGATTTTATAACATGACCTTATTAATGAGTTGTTTCTGTGAGAATTTCAGAGTTAAGAATCTAGTAAATTTTGTAACTTTTATTTTATTATCATGAAAAAAAAATACTACAACAAATATGTATAACGAAAGATTATATACCCTATCTTGATCCCGAGAAAAGTGTACATACAATTTGAAAGTGCTCTCATGTCAATGTTATCCCCTGCCACCCCGACTTTTCCCCCATTCCTTCTCTCTTCACTTACCCACTTTCTTTGTCCAAGTTCACTTACAAAAAAAAAACGAAAAGGAAGCAGCCAAGAATATGAAAGCATAGTGTGCTCATAGAACGTGGTTTGATGACAACCTAGCTATATACTAATTGATCATGAATCTCATCAAGTCATTAATCAGCTACATCGGTGGTACATATTTATATATGTAACAGACATCTTAATATGTTATAGCAAACTGATCCCATGCAATTTCGCTACGCAATTTAATTATAACAAAACCAAACTGCAAAGCACATGAATGTTCTTCCTTTTTATTACATAAATAGAAGCAATTAGTTGCAGTTCACGTGTTGATGAGCAAATCTGACGCATCTGCAGAGCTAGACTTACTTATCTTCCGAAAGACAACTAGCTTGAAATTAGTTGCAAGACAAAAGGAACAAGAACTTGTAGGTGAAACAAATAATATTCCCTTCATCTCTTTTTCCTTGGATCGGCCTAGCTATATTCGCTGTCCCTCCAACTCCGAGGTTTCAGTATAAATAGGAAGGGCTCTGCAGCCATGTAATATCGAACATTCAGCAGCTAGCATCAGTTCAATTCCATAGCTCGAAATTTTGGAAATAAAAAGAAACCCAAAGTAGGAAGAAGAAGAAGAAGAAGTAGAAAAGGATCAGGCGACCCCTAGAGTTCCTCTGAACACTTCACTGATCAGCTGGGGCGGCTGGGATTATGGCAATGTGATTATGTCTCCCGTTTTCATTACTGAAGTGTTTGGAGGAACTCCTGGTATCGCTTGGTATGTACGTAACAGCCAATATAATGGTTCTCAAGTCCTGAGGTTTGCTATGTTTCTGCATCCTCTAGCTTCCAGTTTCAGTCTGTTGCTTCAGTCTCCACTTTCCAAAGCTATGCATATGCTGGTAAATTCATTCTTCCATCATACGTACTACGAACATCATCGTGTTACATGTCGCAGATATATATTACAAATGTTAGCGTACGCGTGGCTTTATTATATATATATACTTTTTATATTCTTCAACGAATCAAACCTATCGATTATTAGGTTGTGATTAAATTGATCTTATGGTTTGAGCTCGATGAATTAAGTAATGAGGTTCATCCATAGTATAAAGTCCAAAATTTCTATTAATTTATGATCTAAATATAGCGAAACTCAATAGACATACAATTCATATAAAAACAATGTGTCAATCGTCAGTTGTGGTATGATGCACGAGAAAATGAATGAATTTGCAAAAGAAAAAATCATTCAAACGTTATCAGGTTAAGTATGTACGAATTCACGAGGAAACATCCTATATATTGTGGGTCATATATACTTTATACAATTGAGACAACAAAGAAATGTGAATAGGTAGATGGACTCTTGCCCTAACTATCTTTCCCCGCCACTTCCTCCGACGCGCCGCTCGTCCCTCCATATCCAACTCCGGCCACCGCCGCCCCCACCGTCGGCATCTCAAATCGGCACACCGGACAGTAATGACTCAGCTCCAGCCACTTCCGAATACACGCGCCGTGGAAAAGGTGACCACACGGCATCTCCGCGCCGCCGTAACAAACCTCTTCCAAACACACCGCGCACGCCTCCTCTCCACCTCCCTCCACGTCCTTGACGAGCGCCGCCACCGCTTCCCGAGCCGCCGGCACCATCCCGCCGCCGTCCTTGCCGAGTCCCGACAAAACAGCGCCGCCTCCTCGCCGTCCAGGAATTCCGCGTACTCCCTCCCGAAATCCACCCGGACGGACAGCAGCGTCCAGTTCGACCAGGGCCCGACCGGCCGCCGCTTCCTTTATTTTCGGGAGCAGGTCGCGGTACAGGTGGCAGTGGAACTCGGGCCCGATCCCCAGCGCCTCCCAGATCGGGGACAGCGCCGCGCAGCCGGCGCCGCTCTCGTTGTCCCACATCGCCAGGGCGTCGAGGTACGAGGAAGAGAGCGAGGCCCGGGCTGTCTCGTCGCGGAGGAACGTCGTGGAGGCTCCGTCTGCGGACACGTGGAGGGAGGCGTGGCGGAGCGTGTAGTTGACGTGGAACTGGATCAGCCTGGACGGCGGACCGCGGCGGGTGGGGTGTTTTTGTTTGGAAGATCTCATGGCGCCTGAGACTATACTGGTCATGAAGATGTGATCCTGCCAATGCATTATTGTCCGATTTCAGAGATCTTCGAATTGGAGAATTCTGGTTTTGGGTTTGCTTCACGAGAGAGGGGGGAAAGATTTATAGAGTATTGGGGTAATCCGTATTTGATGAGGAGACGGACTGTTCTTCGGGACGTGTATGATTTGCTTTCCTTCCTTTCCGAGGATTGCTTCTCTCTAAACCAAACGATTTTTTTTTAAGCATAAGCCAAGAAAGGGAGGGGGAAGAGAATTACAAGCTAGACGTACGCCACTACTACTTGGCGCTCAAAAGAAACACCCATTACATCGTCACGAAGAATCCGACATATCTTGCTTGGCGTGTTAGAGAGTTCATGCATATTGTAGAGATAGACAAGACTGTGCTTCGAGAACTAGTTTGCGGCTCTATTCCCTTCTCGATATGTATGAACAATTCTAACGAGCTGGTCTTGGACAATTCTACTCCTGATAGAATCCAGTTAAGAAGCATGCGGATGAATAGGATCGCGGCGGTTGTTGATCAGCTGAATGGCCAGTTTAGAGTCGGTCTCAATCACCGGGTTCTCACATCTCATCTAGTGCACCAGGTTCAAACCATGATGGAATGCCCATAACTCGGCGTGTACGGTCGTCCCTTCACTTATCTTAGCCACAAAACCTGCAATCCATCTCCCTTGGTCGTCACGGATAACCCCCACCTGCTCCTGCAGTACCTGGGTTACCTGCCGATGCTCCATCAATGTTCCGCTTATGCCTCTACTAGGCGCGTGCCACCGGATGTGAGATAAAACTTCTTTCTGTCCTCATATCTGCCCTACCTGGAGAGAGGGATGGTGCATGCCAAGCCTTATGCCACAACAAAGACTTGTGTTGGATCGAATGCGCCAAGGTAGGAGGTGAAAAAGCTTTAGATTCTCCCTTTAAGCACGGGGGGTTAAAGACAAATTTAGTCACTGAGATTACAAAATCGGGACATGTTTAGTCACTAGAAAAAGTTAATATCAAATTTGGTCACTACAATTACTAAAACTGGACACATTTAGTCACTCGCCGTTAGTCTCCGTCCAACTCCGTTAATGAAGTCCGTTAAGTGCTGATGTGGCAAACAGAATTGCCTAATCAGCCGGATATAACCCAACAAAAATAAAACCCGACCCGCCACGTCATTATAACCCGCCACCTCATGAAACCAACTCATGACCCAACCCCACCCAACCCCTTCTTCCTCCTTCCTCCCACCTCGGCACCTCCCTCCTTCTTTCCCCAAAACCACCGCCGCCGTGACCCAACCTGTCACCGGACTCTTACTGTTGCTTCTTTTCCGGAGAAATTAGCGTTTCTGGAACCCCACACCTCAGCCGGCTCGACGAGAACAACGACGATGGTCTCAAGAACATGGGACTCGTCATGAATTTGCTCCATCTCGAAGAACCGCCGCCGCCGTGGTGGTGCGCTGAGAATCGCTCCGAAAGAGGGAAGAAACCGCCCTCACCTCCAGATATCCGTCTTATGAAGGCGATTTGCCGATTCGATTCCTAATCTGTTGTAGTACCTGAATGACGATAACAAACTGGGCTTGGAACTCGACAGATACAATCCAAACGGAGACGACCGCTTGCTCCAGATCTCCACGGCGACAACGTCGCCGGCTCCGTCACCAGCATCCTCTCCGACCGCTCGAATTCGAACTAGTATGAATGCTTCAGTCGGATGATATTGTTGCTACTGCTGCTTCCGTTAGTGGCTCTATCAAAGTCGCCGATTTCGCCGAGGAGAGTTAGGGATTTTTTCATGTATGCTCTGCGTTTGGGTAGGGTTGGGTGGAGCGAGTCGATTAGGGTTTTGAACCAGTTGATTTGGACGGAGAGGGAGCAGTTTCGACAACCGGAGGCTCCTCCTGTTTCGTTGGAATCGAAGGCGGTGGCGGGGACGACGACGAGGTTGGCGCCGTGGGAGTAGGGGTTGTTGGCGGTGGGCATAGGATCTCCTCAATAAGCCGGGAGGAGAGGAAGGTGGAGATATTGAGCAAGGAAGTCGACGATGGTGCGGCCGTCACTGCAGCGCCCGATGGGTTTGTGGAAGAAGGATTCGTCGTAGGGAGGGAATGTGCAGTGGGGGGATTTTGCTCCAGCCTCCAGGGGATTAATTTGTCCACTAGATAGAATAAATTTGGTCGAACAGGTTTGCGGGAGGAGGTGGGAGGAAGGAGGAGAGCGGCGGCGGCGGTTTTGGGGAAAGAAGGAGGTGGGAGGAAGGAGGAAGAAGGGTTGGGTAGGGTTGGGTCATGGGTTGGTTTTATTGACGTGGCGGGTTATAATGACGTGGCGGGTCGGGTTTTATTTTTGTTGGGTTATATCCGGCTGATTAGGCAATTCTGTTTGCCACATCAGCACTTAACGGACTTCATTAACGGAGTTGGACGGAGACTAACGACGAGTGACTAAATGCGTCCAGTTTTAGTAATTTTAGTGACCAAATTTGATATTAACTTTTTCTAGTGACTAAACATGTCCCGATTTTGTAATCTCAGTGACCAAATGCGTCTTTAACCCGTGAGAGAGGGATGGTGCATGCCAAGCCTTATGCCACAACAAAGACTTGTGTTGGATCGAATGCGCCAAGGTAGGAGGTGAAAAAGCTTTAGATTCTCCCTTTAAGCACGGTGTATACTCATTCGATAAGAATTCTAGTTTTCGCACTTCTGAATTCGATAAGAATTCACAATTGAATGCACACCACTATTGTCTCAATAATCAATACATATCATTATTGTTTGAATGCGCACTATTAGCATTAGTTTTGGAATGTGCATGTGCATCATCAAAATTCTTACCAATTTCTAACAAATGCATTTCAACAACTAAATTCTGCAAAATCTCTCCGCAGGACTCTGAAATGCTCTCTGCTCCTCAAACGACCTGCGACCCGCCGGAGGCCGATATGGCTATTTCGGGGAGGCCGCCGGACTCCTCTCCTGCGTTTCCACCGATCACGACACCAATTACACATAGTGCACCAAGCTCACCCCCTTTGAATTACAAGTTGGCGCTGGCGGGATCCCCGGCATCATCCCCGACCAAGGCTCAACAGTGGACATTCATCGGAGAACACGATTTGGAGGTCGGGCTCTACAATGGAGAACCTGAGCTTAGGATCTCCTCCCAGCTGAAAGAACGACTATGCTTACCTTGGAAGCGGACGTTGGTGGCGCGGCTGCTGGGGAAATCAGTTTCTTACCAATACATATGCTCGCAGCTCCGTTGGAAATGGAAACCAGCCGGAAGTATGGAAATCCTTGACCTGAATAACTCAACCTTCCTGGTCAATTTCAGTAATGAGAAGGATTATCTTAATGCCCTCACTGGCGGTCCTTGGGTGATCCTTGATCATTATTTGATCGTCCATCAATGGTCGCATACTTTCCGAACATCGGACAAACCTCATCGTTCGGTGGTAGCGTGGGTTCAGCTACCCGAGCTACCGATCCACTTCTACCATCGGGAGGTACTTTTCGCGATGGGAAACATACTGGGAAGAACGATCAAGCTCGATTATCATACAGAACACAGGGAAAGGGGAAAATTTGCGCGGATTGCCGTGGAACTCGATATGACCAAGCCTCTGAAGACGCGGATCCGGCTCGATGGGTTCTGGTAACAAGTTGTCTACGAGAACTTGCCGGACATCTGCTTTGAATGTGGCCGGATTGGGCACTCTGAGGCCGACTGCCCCACCCGTTGTAATCCCCCGGCGAGTCTGTCTCAGGCGAACGAGTCGGTGCTGCCACAGTTACCGGAGGATAGACCGCCGGAGCCACCGGCCGGTTACGGTCCATGGATGCAAGTAAGCCGGAAATCACGGAACCAGAATAGGAAAGGGCCGCCCAACCATGGATCCGCCCAAGGCAATCAAACGGGCAGAAGCGTGGAAGCCGGGAAAGCGCCGCTCAGAATGGGAAAGAAATCGAAAGATGAACAAGGTAATTCTGGTTTATTGAAAGACAAAAAGGGGAAGGATGAGCTGAAAGGGGATCCGAAAAAGGGTAAGGCTAACGTCTCTGATGCTATCCTAACAAAGGAAAGCACTGGCCCAGGCCCATCTCAGGTCTGGCGAATGGTGGGCCTTAAGCCCAAGGTGACCCCTAATGTTGCTAACTCACAGCCCATAGGTGAATCTACTAATGAAGCAGACTCAACCATGATGGACCAAACAGAAATTGATCCTGCTAGTTTGAGGCCGACCCACAACCCCTTTGTAGCCCAACCTGACCCTCCGATCGGAAATCCTTCTTCGGCGCCAGGGGAAAATGAAACCCCCCAAAATATCAATTCAATTCGAGAACACCGCAGGGGGAAAGCAAGTAAGCCGCGCGACTCTCCAAAGAAGAAGAAGGACTCCATCCTTCGAGTAGCGAAAAAGAACCATGAACCACGTTCAGGTACGGGGAACAACAAGCGACCAGCTAAGAAGCAGAGCAATCCGATCCACCGCCAAGCTGTCGAGGAGCTCCTTGCCCAACTCCAGTCCATGCCGACTTTGGAACGTCGAGTTCGGGGTCCAAAGAAAGCAAGGAATCCATGGATGTCACCGCCGAGCCTCTGTCTACTGGTATGGGAGGGAATCTGGAGCCGGAAGCTACCGCCCTGGTGGGTAGTGAACCCCCGCTGGCGAAGCCGGCGAATTAAGCGTCATCTCGTGTGCTTCTGCAAGTCAGGGAAGTTTGTGCTTTTTCTCTTATCTTTTATTCCTTATGTTTAGTATTTTTAGTTGGAATTGCCGGGGGGCAAAACACCCCAAATTTCTAGCAACATTTAAAGAGTATGTGTTCGCCCATAGACCAAATATTGTCTTTATTGTGGAACCACGGATCAGTGGTAAGGATGCAGAAGACGTTATTAAATCCATGGGGTTTGATAAGTACATTGTGGTTGATGCTATTGGTTTTTCTGGTGGTATTTGGGTGCTTTGGAAAGATACTCACCTTGATATTACTGAATTGGATCGGGACTCACAATTTCTCCACCTTTTGTGCACAGATCAGAACAGATTCTCAGTGCTCTTGACTGCAATCTATGCCAAGCCTAATGAGCATGACAGGCAACCCCTTTGGGCGGCCATTCGAAGACTGGAACAAAACATTGAGAGGCCGTGGCTATTAGCGGGGGATTTCAACTCCATCACCTGCCCTTCGGAGCGCAAAGGAGGTGCTGCGTATAATCCGAGCAGAACGGCTAGTTTCAATGCTTGTATTCGAGACTGTGGGCTTATTGACGTCGGCTTCACTGGACCTAAGTTTACCTGGAGCAATGGTCGGCTCTCCCAACGTCTTGACAGAGCTTTATGCAACCAGGAGTGGATCAGGCGGTTCCCTGACACTGTCTCAACGAACCTGCCAAAGCTCCGCTCAGATCATAGACCAATCCTCATCAACAGTAATAATGACCATGTCCCCCCTAGAATGGTAAGACCTTTCCGGTTTCTCGTTCCGTGGTTAGCCCATAAAGATTTTCATGCTACACTTGAGGCCTCATGGAACCGAGGAAGGGACTGTTTATTGTCTTTGCAGGATCTCCAAGCTCACCTCACTCGGTGGAACAAAGAGGTTTTTGGGAACATTTTCTGGAGAAAAGCGAAACTGTCAAAGCAGCTTGCACGCCTGGAGGTTCTGAATGAGACGGCAGCGAGTGATGCATCCCTCAGAAGGGAAGGGGAAGTTCGGGAGGAGCTGGAGCAGACTTTATGGCAGGAAGAGCTCCTATGGCTTCAGAAAGCGAGGGAAAACCAGATTGTGAACGGGGACAGGAACACTCGATACTTCCACACTGTAGCTCTTACAAGACGGCGGAAAAATAGAATAACCAAGTTACAGCAGGAGGATGGGACTTGGATCGAGGATCCCGAGATGCTGAAGCTCATGGCCAGGGAGTTCTATGTCCGGCTCTACTCTGAAGACGGAACGGGGCAGCAAGATATCCCAGCTCTTTTCGATGCTTTGACAGCGACCATGACGTCGCATCTTACAGCTAGCCCGCTCCCTGAGGAAACGTACCAAATAATCAAGGAGATGGGTGGTCTTAAGGCGCCAGGGAAGGATGGCTTCCATGCTACTTTCTACCAGAAATGTTGGGACAGGGTGGGAGCTGACCTCCATGAGCACATGGTTGCCTGTTTCAGGAATCCAGAGCGGATCGAGAGGTGCAATGAAACCCTTCTGATGCTGCTGCCCAAGGTGGATTTTCCGAAGCAAGTAGCTCAGTTTAGACCCATTGGTCTTTGTAATGTGAGCTACAAGGTCGTGGCCAAGTGTCTGGCAAACAGGCTCAAAAATTTCATGCCTAAGCTGATCGACCCTAGCCAGTCAAGCTTTGTCCCTAAGAGACACATCACAGACAACATCATCATTCTGCAGGAAGTGGTTCACACTATGTCACTCAGGAAGGGAATCAAGGGACAAATGATTCTAAAGATTGATCTGGCCAAAGCCTATGACAGGATAAACTGGAAGTTCTTGGAGTTAACCCTGCAGGCGGCTGGCCTACCTGATGAATTCGTCAAACTAGTTATGGCATGTGTGACGACTGTCCGTTTCCAGGTGCTTTGGAATGGTGGCTGCACCGAAGCTTTCCAACCTACGAGGGGTCTTCGGCAGGGATGTCCTCTGTCACCTTATCTATTTACTCTTTGTATTGAAAGACTTAATCACTGCATCAAGGACTCAGTAGATAGGAAAGCTTGGAGACCTATTACTTTATCCAAGGATGGACCTGCACTGACCCACTTATTTTTTGCAGATGATTTGGTCTTATTCGCGGAGGCGGATCCAAAACAAGGAGAAGAGGTCCTAAATTGTCTGAACCGTTTTTGTGAAGCCTCGGGGGAGCAAGTTAGCAAGGATAAATCTTGTGTCTTCTTCTCGAAAAACACGAGGGAGAGCCTGAAGAAAAGTATCAGCGACATGTTGGGGATCAAACAAACCAATAATCTGGGGCGCTACTTGGGTGTTCCGGTCATCCACGGCAGAGTCACTAAAGATACCTACAAGTTCATCTTGGAAAAAATTGATCAACGGCTCTCTGGATGGAAGGCGAGGAGTCTTTCCCTGGCAGGGAGAGTTACCTTGGCAACCTCGGTTCTCAATGCCCTCCCGAATTATGTCATGCAGACGGCAGTCCTCCCAGTTTCTGTCTGCGATATCATTGACAGGAAAGTTAGAGCCTTTATCTGGGGAGCAGAAGACGGAGTATCAAAGACTCATTTGGTCAAATGGGAAACCATTTGTAAACCAAAGGAAATTGGTGGTCTGGGCTTGCGGTCTGCAAGAGCTCTCAACTTATCCTATATTATGAAACTGGGATGGGCTTTCCTTAACAAGTCGGAGGAGCTCTGGATCCGTGTCCTGCAGAGCAAGTACTTCAAAGTCAATGAGGCAGGGGCCTTGGAGATGAAAAAAAGTAACTTCTCGCGGCTATGGAAAGGAATTGTTAGTTCATGGCCTATCCTTAAGCAGCGGGTGGTGTGGGACATCCGGGAAGGCCATAATGTTCAATTTTGGACGGATCCTTGGCTGGCAGAGGGTACTATCTTGAGTAACCACATCACAGGTGCTGGCGAAGGGATCAATTGGCAGGCTACCGTTGCTGAGATGGTCACTAGTGAAGGTGAGTGGAATTGGCAGGATATTGAGACACACCTGACTGAGAATTTGGTGGCTTTGATTGCAGGTACGGATCCTCCCATGCCGGGAACAGGTGAAGACATTACGGCCTGGGGTATGGAGCCAGATGGGAAGTTCAAGCTTCGTTCAGCCTATTTTGCGGCAGTAGAGTGGCTAAGTGACGAAACATGGGAGGCGGAGGAGGACAACAGGCACCACCACTGGAAGCGTCTCTGGAAATGGACAGGCCCGAATCGCATTAAACATTTCCTTTGGTTGGTGTTTCATGACAGGCTGATGACGAATGTGCAGCGTAAGAGGAGGAGACTGACGACAGATGATACGTGCCCGATGTGCAAAGAAGGACCAGAAACGACTGAACACATTCTGCGCCAGTGCCCGAGTTCACTACAGGTATGGAACAGGCTGGGTATTCAAGAGACATCACTAACTTACGGCCTTGGGTTTGCAGCTTGGCTTGATGAACATCTCAAGAGGGATCAGGAGGGGCTTTTGTTCGGTGTGGCAGCTTGGTACCTCTGGAAAAGACGGAATGAGAAGATCTTTCACAACCTGACTCAAGAGGACCACGTTCTGGCGCAACGCATTGATTGTTGGACGTCTACAATCAGGCAAGCTCAGCAAAATGACACTGCTTCACATAAGGACGCGCATGAGAGGTCCTCACAGCAGCTAGCTTGGATACCACCACCACAAGACTGGGTGTGTGTCAATACCGACGGCTCAGTGAAGCAACCAGGATCTGACGCAGCTGGGGGTGGCATTATCCGGGACTGGACGGGAAAATGCATGGGAGCCTTTGTGGAGAACCTTGGAGTGTACACGATCACCCGGGCAGAGATTATGGCGGCCATTCGAGGATTGCAGATGGCGTGGAAGAACGGGCATAGGAGAGTTCTACTTCAATTGGACTCCACAACTGCAATCAACATACTTACCTCGCAGGATCAGACGGAGCACAGATACCATAATCTGATTTTGCAGTTTCAGAGATTGCTCCAGCAGAACTGGGAAGTCAGAATTTCCCACATCTATAGAGAATGTAACAAAGTGGCAGATTTCCTTGCCAATAAAGGCCACTCTACTAGTATAGGTTTCCATGTTTTGGCGAGTTCAGATCCGGGTCTGTTCTTCTGGACTCTGTATGACGTGTTGGGTATTTCCCAAAACAGGTTAATCTAAGTTTCAGGCTGGGGCGCCCTTCAGCGTCCCTCTTTTCTATAAAAAAAAAACTACTAAATGTATACTCGTATTAGTCAAACGCATACCGACTACGAGCAAATGCATATGAATATTTGTCCTATACATACCAATAAATACCACATACGTACCAACTTTACTCGAATACATACTATTAATTGGATAAATAAACCAAGATTGTATCGCAATTTAAATACGTACTAATTATAACTACTTGCCTTGAGAGGATTCCAAAGCTCTTTGATATACAAAGATGAAAGAACAAATTCTTAATTTGGTATTTCAAAAACTCTAGCGTTGCATTATATAATGACGATTTGTTTTTTTCTAGAAACTTCTTTCAATCGATATTTGCCTGTACGAATATACCATCAGTATTATACTTTCGGATGCTTCGACAACTTTTTCGATCTTCGGCAGTGGAATTTATTAGTGGAATTTATTGTCGGTGTAACAATTGGGTGGCTCATGAATCATGATGTGGTCAGGATTGTCCTTTCTTTGTTTCCTGCAAGTGTAGAGAATTTTGATTTTAGACAGTGATTGTGTTTTGATGTATGAACATAGTTATCTATGTTTTCTTGGTAATGTAAGTGAGCTATTGACAAAGAAAAAAATCATAACTTTTAACCAAACTACTAGATTAGCTACGGTGGAAAGTGGTGTTTGTAAAATAGTGTCTTATTAGTGGTTAGATCGGAAAATCTATCTATTTAGAGTTTAAGTCGGTAAGTATTTTAAATGGTATGAAACAATTGAATCACGATTAAATCATGGTTGCTATTATGGCCTATGGGACAATCCAAGTACCACATCCGAAATACAAGGGAAGGAACCCTTGTATAATAGTGTATGGTGAAATTTTTTATGATGTGAATGGGAATGAAAACAGAGGAGCCAAGAGGAACTCTTGAAATAGCATATTGATTATATATGGGAATGAGACCTTTGATTCAGTTGATTGAGATGATTGAATCTTTTGGTAATTGGTCAAATTGGTTCGTGTAACCAACTGAACCAAACAAATATTAGGATTATATGTATTTGGGGTTTAAATCATATATGTTATTGATACTATTAGATGATATATATATATATATATAAAAGGTAGTCGATGAAGCTAATTGAGGTAAATACAAAAAGCTACAATTGAGGGTGAGGCTGGATTTGTGGTGATTAAAATGACTCAATTATGATTTTGAATATCTATATTAGTTAGTATGCATTTGCCTAATACTAGTACGGCATTGAGACAATAGTGGTATGCATTTATTCTTTCTCAAACTTTGACATCTACAACCCGAAAGGGAATCTTCAAATTGAAAATGAAAAATAAATAAATTGAAAATGAAAAATATATGGAAAATATTGAGGGGTTGTTTGGAGAACTGGATATGTGTCGTGCATTTATTGAATTCGTAGATTTTGTAGAAAGTCATGTTTTTTTGTTTCTTTTTGTACTATGAATTTTAGCTTTGGTGAATTTAAATCTTTGAAATATTTGGATATCAATTTCTCATAATCAGAGAAATTTTATATCTTGATTTGTGAGATTTTGTTTCTCCTAGTTTTTCTCTTCCTTTTATTTATTTGACACATTAGATATATTTATCAACAAAGTTTTTTTTATATTTCTCGAACTATTCTTATTTTTAATTAAGGATAAACAGGTTATTAAATATAAAATTATAATTTTTATTTTCATTGAATGTTAACAATCATAGTTACCAAACAATAATCATTTTAAAATCTATTTTCAATTATCCGAATAGTTAAAATCTATAGATTGTTGACAATCTATAAATTTGAACTCAAATTCTCCAAACTACCCCTGAATTTCTTTCTTTTTTTCTTGGTAATTACCCCTGAATTTCATATAGTTAATTTTTCCGTGATTTTTGTATGCCACTAATTCCTAATTTTTAATCTGGTTCCTATCCTTTCATAATTTCTATTTTTGCTATATTAATGTTAACCGCATAACAACACTTTGTTGTTTAAAATATGTATCTTCTTATAATTTCTATTTTCCTGAACTTAATTGCCATCTCAACGCCACGTCCTCTCCCTGCTACTAATTATCATCATTTCCATTTGATCATAAATAAACAAGACAGCCGTAAAATCAGAAACGATTCCTTTCACTCAGTAGCACCAGAACAAAATAGACGACGGAAGGAGTACGTCTCAGTCTCTTAGGAACAAGTTAAATTGACGACTATTTTGTCCCCTGTTGCGTACGTGTACATATTTATCATCGTTATATATACAATGTAAACGATAGTGCAAACGCTCATCAGCAGCACAACAACTAATTAATACTTAAAATCATAATACCATGAAACACTCCAACTCATGTTCCTCCCACCGTTCGTGGTCGTGTTCTTCTTCATCTTCTTCAGTGTTGGCAATTTTAGTGGTCGGATGCATTAGCCAAAACATGTTTGCCGCCGGATTGAGCCTATGCGGCCGCGGCGTTCCGCAAAATCCCAAAACCTACTTCGCATCCGTGGAGAAGGTTCTGGGAGAACTAGTGCATTTGACGCCGGGGAAGGACAGGTTTATCGACAAGGCGAAAAGCGGCAAGGTCAGTGGTGCCGCAGCTTGTTACACCGAGAAGCCAGCCACATGTAAGAGCTGCCTCGAGCATACCAAGGCCAGGCTGGAGCGTTGCAAAGGCTCTACTTCCGGCGGCAACTTCAACGAGGTTTGCAACATGGAGTTCTGGCGAACTGGTGACAATTAGTGACCGAAAATTTGAAAGACTAAGCTTAGTGGGTGCTTCTATATGATCACAAAATATAGTTTAAGTAGTTTGTGTGAATGAGCTCCTGTGACGGAGCCAGTTGATCTCAATAATTTGAGTTGTTTAAACTTTAGAGTGATCTTGTATGGATTTGAAGTTGCATACTTACATGTACAGACATGTCATACCATGTGCTCTAAAATGGTATCATTTCCTTTCCACTCGTAACTTTTGTTCTATAAATGAAGCCTACACAAAGCCATCTGATGCTGATAGAGCTGGTACTGATAGTGCGTGGTGGCTTAAAAGGCTATACACGTAAATGCAGTTAGAATACGAACATTTTTTACATTGCACGAGAAATGCAGAATCATATGTTATTTGAGAAGTGTTACAAATATATTAGTCTAAAAATATCTACCATATATATAAATACACGAAATCATTTTAGTTGTTTAAATATTGTAGATTTCAAATGCATAACTGTAACTAGTGAGACCCAAAATGTTCATTATTTGTCTAGAATCGTAAAGAACTATGAACTATACAAATATAAAATAAAATAAAAACAGGTGATTATTTTTCAAAACAAATTATATAAAGAGCAAAGTAGGCGACCAACACTAAAGTGTTTTAAAAGAATATTATAGACCTACAGTCAATTCTGGAAGAAAATAAAAGTTATCTGTCGAATACATTTTATTTACGATTAAATTAATTAAGCTGCCGCATGGATCACAAGAATAACATAAGTCCACAGGAAATCCATTGCCGTATGAATCACAAAGGAATACGTCTTCAAACATAGCAAACTGATTTATACACAATGGACGAAGCGTTTTGTCCATTTCCACATGTCGGCAAATCTAGTCTGCCGGACGAAATAGTGGAACCCCACGTACACAGTGGATGATCTATACACACCCTTAAAATTTTAAAAAAAAACAATTATCCAACCTAGCTTGTGTGTCCAACTGACAACGACGGATTCAGGTCACAGCAGAACACTGGACAACATTTCACTAAAAAATTAGATACGGTAAAAAAATCAAATTTTTTTTTATAATATCAATTGTACATGTCGATCTTTTAAATATTAATATAGTGAATTCATCAATAATGGAGTTTACATCCATACCAATAGCATACTCTCTTTAAGATAAAATAGTTAACCAATTGGCGAGAAATTCATCGGTCATTTTGTTGTGCAAATAATTTTCCACCTATTTCATTGTCGAAAAGGTTCTCTCCATAGTAGTTGTTGAAACGAGCAATGTCAACACTGGACAAATCAATCGACTAATCAATATATATTGTGTATCAATTACTATTTTCACCAGCTGCTCTAGTAATTTCTTAAGGGAATAAACCTCATATTTCTTTTTTTTTTTTTTGATAATGGTGAAGATGCATTATCAAGGAAATACACCAGAGGTGTATACAAGTTCAGGAAACAAGATGAGAAAGGGGAGGGACACACAAAACGGAACCCAAAGAAAACAAGAACAGCGGAAAAGAAGGGAGGAGAGGAAGACCGAGAAAAAAAAAGCAAGGCTCCTGCAGGAGCAATCAAACCATAGACAACATAGGAAACCCACGCAAACCTCATATTTCTTTTAGTCGTTTACGTTTTAGAATTATAGGTTTCATTGTTTGTTTTTCTATAGATGGGAATCATTGGAGCTAGAATTTTCAGGCTAAATTTAGAGTTGTGATTTGAATATGTTCATCTTACCCATTTTCCTAATTACACACAATCTTATTATAAAATAACACTGGGCCGAATGGCTAAACTCATAAGGACTATACTAGCTCCGGATCCAGTGGAGGGTTGGGCCGTGACCCGGGGTGGCCACCCCCTGGATTCGCTACTGCGACCTATCACTTGAAAAAATCACGCTCACAAGCACAAGCACAGGCTCACCCTCACCCTCACCCTCACCCAATGCTTTCTTATTATCCTAACAATTTTTCTAAAGCTGCAGGGGTTCTAGGTACTGGGCCCTCCAACCCATATGCTGTTTTGAGCCATAAGTGTGAGTGCAAGGTTCATATTAGGCCTAATTGTCCAAGTTCACATTATCAAGCCTGCAACACTTATTTTTCTTGCCCAAGTGCTTTGTACATCACTGAATCATTCCAACCTATTCACTCTTCTCAACAATCCATTTTGGCGCAAATCATCATCTCACCGTGGCTGGCATCTCAATAAGTTAGATGCTAATAATGTTTTTTTGCATGGAGATCTTCATGAATAGGTGTATATGAAACTCCCTCCGGGCTTTGCGAAACCAAGGGATACTCGTGTTTGTCGTCTTCACTTTCGTAAATCTCTTTATGGCTTGAAGCAGTCATCTTAGAATTAATACATAAAATTCACCAAGTCTCTTGAGGGGTTCGATTTTTAGCAGTCTAAGGCTGACCACTCTCTTTTCATGTATCATTGCAATGGAGTTTTCACCTTTGCATTGATCTATGTTGATGATATTATCTTGGGAGGTGATAATCTTCCTACTATACAGCGTGTCAAGGACTTCTTGCAGAATCAATCCATCATTAAGGACTTAGGAACTCTCAAATATTTCTTGAATATTGAGGTAGCTCGCTCTCGTAGTGGACTAGTGTTGTCTCAACAGAAGTATATGTTGGACATTTTAAAGGATGCGGGAGCCCTTGCTGTCAAGCCATGTGCATTTCTAATTGAGCAGAATTAGCATCTCACTCGTATTGAAGGACCTGGGACTAAGGATCCTTCTAGTTTCCGGAGTCTCATCAGGGGGCTGGAGTACTTGACGGTTACCCGCCCTGGCATTGTCTTACTACGTGAATGTTCTCGGTCAAGTGTACTCGTCAGTTCATATCTGGTTATTTATTCGCTTAGGGGACTGTTCGGTCTCATGGCGCACCAAGAAATAGTCTGTTGTCGTTCGTTCATCGACTGAAGCATAATATAGAGCCATGGCTAGTATGGTTAGTGAACTCATTTGGCTTCGATTGTTACTAGCTGAGCTGTGTGTCTCGTGTTCGTCCTCGACTCCACTACATTGTGACAATCAGGCGGCCTTGCATATAGCCGCTAATCCAGTTTTCCATGAATGTACGAATTAAGCATGTTGAAATGGACTATTAATTTGTGCGTGAGCATGTCACTTCCGGAGAGATCTCCCCCCACAAGATAACTTCGCAGGAACAGGTTGCATATAATTTACTAAAGGCTTGGGTGTAGAACAATTTACTTACCTCACTTCCAAGTTTGGCATACATGATATGCACGCCTTCGCTTGAGGGGGCATGTTACGTATGTAGCATTCCCCGATTAGGTGGAACCCATTCTCTGATCGAGGATCTCGCCGTGGCTTCGGGGATTTGGAAGAGAACACCCCACGGCCGAGTAACATGTATTTCTCGGTCGGGGATTAAGTGATGTGACCAGAGACGTGGTCTGGGGACTAGTTTGGCACTTACCCTAAGTTAAGTGATGAAAAGGGAAATGTGCATATGGGTATATATATATATCTTTATCTTGTGATGCGTACATAGGTGACGTAAGATTGAGAAGAGAAACCCTAATAATATTCTAGCCGAAGACTCCTTGAGTGAGTCTTCTGTGGATTAATCTCATTCTTATGAACGAAGATATCACATAAATCCTTATGTCTTTGTGTTTGATTCTTGAAATTTAGCACACATCAATTGCTTCCCTTGTCGAGCGTCATTTTATCCAAGCGTATGGTATTTGAATCCTACCTCTAGAAACTTGACATGTCCCCTACGACTTCCAAGTGATCCACTAGACTGATCCCTAATCACATGAACCCGTAACACTACCTCTTATATAATGATCTCCCTCGCTTTTAGTTTTGCTTCTTTCTTCTTTAGTTTCGTTCACATTTAAGACATCAACCATCCCGCCGTATGACTAGATATAGTAGGGCAAGGTTGAGAGTAGTAGTAGACCTAGGACTGCAAATGAGTCGAGCCGAGTCGAGTTTTACCCCAGCTTGAACTCGGCTCATTAATAAACGAGTCGAGTTCGAGCTCGGCTCGTTTATTAATGAGTCGAGTTCGAGCTCGGGTCGTTTATTAACGAGCCGAGTCGAGTCGAGCTCGAGCTAGCATGTTTAATAAAATCTCGACTTTTATTTGGTACTTCATTTTGTATATCATGATACATATGATTTATTTTGTTAGCTAATCTCATATGATACTTTGTTGGTATCATATATCATTTAGTTAATAAATTTTTAACTACTCCAAATCATGGTATTTCATAGTATCGAAGCAATCTATGATACATAATTTCTTTTTAAAGTAGAAAATAATATATATTTGTTCACATACTCAACGTGCTAAACTTTATATATGGTGAGATATATAATTTAACAACAATTATAAGATATAGATTGATTCGTCCATAAGTCGGTAATCAAGTTGGCTCTCTAGCCATATGTTGAGACATATCATGAGCTCTAAACGAGCCAGCTCACGAGTTTAGCTCAACAAGTGACTCACTCCTACTGTCACCCTAGAAAATGGCCAAGTGAAACCACTTCCTAAGGCGTAGTATAGCGGGTTTGGGTTTTAATGTCAACCCGGGTCCTAGATTTGATGACTACTCGGTGAATTCTTGTTATCTAGCAGTGAAACTTTAGTGCAGGTCCAAATTAACAAACAAACAAAGCAAGTAAATGGTTGTTTTCAGGTTAAGAGAGGTCACCCGGATATGGTTCCCCCTAGACTGCAGTTAAGCCGGATTGCAATTTACCAAGTTCAGTTTTCATGAAAGTTATACTGCAGAAGGTTCTTAAACAGCCTGAAGTCTCGACTAAAGGTCTTCAGACCCTCTCAATCTGAGTCTCCAGCGGGCAACTAACCTCCACCGGAGTAAACAGATTGAGGCCCTAACGAACCAAACCTCCACTACCGAATTGAATTCGGTACAGAATAGCGAATTGGCTCCTCGAGTAAAGTCACCAATTCGCCACCTTCAATTAAGGGTGCTCTATCAACCTAGGCAGATATTCTCATTCTAGGTTAAAGCAGAAACAACAGGAATTTGATCAGGATTCAAGTCATTCAATCATTCAAGCCTCAATCGAATATAATCAACTCATGAAATCTGTACTTGGGTTCATACAATCAGACCTAACATACAAATCTAGGGTTCTCCATACCCAGATGAATGGGAGAACTACTCCATGGAGAAAGAAGCAAAAACAGATTCAGACGCGGAAATCATACTGTGAAGGATGAGTTTCAGCTCCTGGTTGTCAATCGGCACTTCTCCAAGCTCAAGCAGGGCTCCAATGGTGATGAAGATCAAGCTATGGCACTTGGGAACTTTTGTTCGTCGCTTTCTCTCTCTAGGAATCGCTCTATCTCTCTAAAACTCGAATCCCCTTGATCTTTGGCCTTCTTTTCCTTTAAAACCGCTGCCTGTCGCGATACCCGGTGGAAATACCCGGTCGGGTATTTTCGGTCTCGACCGGGTATAGTTGAAACGTGCGTTTTGATGCAGGGAAAAATACCCGGTCTCGGCCAATAATCCCCGGTCGGGGATTTTTGCCTCCAGCCCGGGACCCCTTCTGTTTCTCACGACGCCCAAGCCGAAAATCCCCGGTCATGGCCAGATAATACCCGGTCGGGTATTTCTGCTCATGGCCGGGTATTTTTGCTCTCCAGCACACTTCAACCCAACTTCGCTCCTTTTCGACCCAAAACTCGTTTCCTCGCCTCGATTCCAACGCCGAGTCCTGAAATACGACATAAACACACAACCTCACGTGAAATCGGCTTAAAACACGAGAGTCAACCTCTCAAACGGCTCAAGAATAGGGGTAAAAACATGTGTAAATATTGGTCTATCAACAAGCCACCGAGTCGAGCTAGCTCGCGAGCTTCACGAGCTGAACAAAGCTTAGCTCATGTTCGCCTCGTTTATTAACGAGCCGAGTTTCAAACGAGTTTTTCTCGAATCGAACGCCGAGCCGCTCGTGAGCAGCTCGGCTCATTTGCAGCCCTAAGTAGACCTAGAGGCGCTCCTTGGAATACGAGCGACTTCGCAAATTCGTTTTATACATGGCTCGAGTCTGGAGTTGTTAGTGTTGTAGACGAACCGAGCTATAAGTAGTACAAAGCTCGCCCCGAGGCATCAGTGGTACGAAAAATTTATATCTCAAAATTTATTGAAATTTGATATAGTTTTATAGATCACTACAAATTTGTTCCATTTATGAAAAAAAAAGTTAAAAAATAGAAAAAAATATAAATCTGTTAAGAAAAAAAGAGGAAATTCTTTTAATCTCATCTCCTAGATCAAACTTCAACCGAAATTTTAAAAAACAAATCTAATTATACGTAAACCAAAGTTATGCGCCCTACCTATAACCCGGGAGCATTTCACTTCCAACAGACACTGTCTCTTGATAATCTTGTCATCTCAGTTGCCCACCGAATTAAACCACCTACAGCACAGTTTGTTCTTCAATGCCGAATCAAACCTCGTCACCTTCTGAATCCCCGCTTCCACAATTGCCGGCCAACAAGTACACTCTGACGAGACGACATGCGATCGACCGCCCACCGAAATCTTCTCAACTCCACCTCCCACAATTACCGGCCAGCAGCACCCACTGATATATTCTATCGGCCGACCATGTCGATCCAATTTCACGTCTCCCTGAGAACTCGATCACAAAGCCGGCCACTATATATAAAAGGAAGCCCATGCATTGCAACACCTAAAAAACACCGGCCCAAACAGAGCAACAACGATCACTAATTACATTTCAACGGCCTACACTACAGAGAGATATGGGTTGCTCTCATCTCAGACAGTTATTTCTTGCATCAACAATGGCCGCAGTGATGATGATCTTCGTTGGAACGGCGGCCGCGGCTGTGGGCTACACGATCTGCGGCGGCGTGGACCCGAGATCCGACAAGTACACGTACAATGTGGAGATGTTACTGTCGAGGTTGTCGGCCGCCACGCCGACCAGCCAGGGGATGCTTTACAGGGCGTGGTATCCACAATACAAGCATGGTTATCCCACCGGCACGGCGTCGTGTTACAAGTACAACGCGGAAGCCTGCGCCACGTGTCTCGAGGATGCTCAGTCGAAGCTGGAACAATATTGCACGTCGACGAATACGACTGGTGCATACTACGGAACCAATTGTAACATGGAGTACTGGCCAATTCACGATAGTATATAATTGATTTGTTTTCAATATGTCCCCACCTTCCTTCATGTTCGCTTTTGTAGTGTATTAAGTGGTTCCGCGCTTCTGGGTTCTTTTAATAAAACTTCTGGTCGGAGACGAGATAATTGTTTGTGCCTTAACTTGTGATTGTCTCCTCTCGTCTCTGACTGACTTTGTGCTATTTTGGGGAAGCCGTAAATGTTCTTCAGATGATTTGGAAAAATATCCGTGTCTTTTTTTTTTTCATAATATCTAATATAGAAATAAATATAGTTAAAATCAATTATATCTGAATAATTAATTCATAAAAGAAATATCCGGCCAATATAATCATCATTTTCACAAATAACCACGACGTGTTTTTCCTATTATGAAGGAAACGCACAATATATACTTTCGTTCTCTACAATACTTTTGTTGTCTACAATCTCATATAAGTCTTTTTCAATGTATCCAACTATATAAGCAATCATTAGCAAAAACGGTAGCAATTTGATTTTGAAACTTATTCTTAATGTAGCTCAAAACTAACTTTAGAAGACAGAGAGATCAATTTTTTTTGTTGTATATTTCAATTGAGAATTTTGTTTAGTGTGATAAATCTATTCATGTTAGCTTTTTAACTTGAAATAACTTGTAGTGTATTTGTAAAACACTCTTATTTCACCTACATGTAAGAGTTGGATCCTTGGTTGATATATATATATATATGGTAATGACTGGTGTACGTCAAACGTATAGTATACAATAGGTGATCTAATCGTTAGATGTACTTAGATGAGCTCCGACCAATCTCAACGGTCAATTTTTGTTTTTCATTAAATCAAACTTCGGCTTGGGATTTAGAAAACCGGTGCCTGAATATATATATATGGTGCCGTATTCGGTGCACCCACTTTTTCGGGTGCACTCAGTGCACCCGCCTCATAATTGTCATTCTGACCATGCGATTCATGTCAAAACGGTATCAATTGTTGCTTATGATATTATGAACAAGCAACACATGAATTTGAAAAAAATTCATTCAAAGTTTACTTTAATTCGAAGGATTTAGGATTTAGGGTTAGGGTTTAGGTTTACAATTTGGGATTTTGGGTTGGGATTGAAAATTGAATGTTAAGGTGTTAGGGTAATGAATTTATTTGTTATGATTCTATGTCATATCATCATATTATATTGAGAGTACTAATTAAAGTTCAAAATTTGATGTATTATGGACGCTTTTAGAGTTGGGTGCACTGAGTGCACCCAAAAAAGTGAGTGCACCGAAGTAGCCACCATATATATATATATGGGGAGTTCTACGGTACCCAGGGTGAAATCCGGGGTACCGCATACCTTGAGTACGAAACGTTATCAAGAACTTGAATTGACTGATCTTTCGGACATGATACTATACTTTAACCCTTAAAGATCAAAATCTAGGTCTTAATTTTTTAAATCTTATACCCCAAGATCAATTTAATTAGAAACAATAATCGACGGTTATGATTCGTCCAAATATAGGCAAAAAAATCAATACACCATCTTAGAGTTTATAGTTTATGACTTAGATAATTAGGACGTAGGGTTCACTCATTAAGGGTTAGGGTATAGTATCATGCCCAAAAAATCCTGCTAATTCGAGGTCTAGATGGCGTTTTATTACTCAAGGTATGTGATACCTCAGATTTCACCTGGGGTATCGTAGAAAGCACCATATATATATATATATCCCAAAAAATACCGGTGTCACAGGACACTCCTGAACTCCTTGGCTTTGCCTATGGGCCCGTATGGTACAAAACCCACGACTACAATCAATACAAAACCGTCCACCCTTCATGGCTTCCCACATCGAATGGCTTAGATTATTACGAGAGAGAGAGAGAGAGGAGAAGACTAGTAATTCAGTCACCCCCGATCACATTAATTTGTATGTCTTCTGCCGGTGATGAGCTTCCTTCCTCACTAATGGCGTTTTCAATCTGGTCTAGTTTTCCTAATCCCATATTTCTCTGAATAGGATCCTACAATATTCTTTTTAAATCGAATATCTATAATTTTTGCATACAAAGAACGCATTAATTGTAACCCTACATGCACAATGATATTAATTTTGTTATATTTTGAGCAAAGAAAAATTCCAAAACATGTGTTGTTTGTAGTATTATCATTGTCATATTTATTATATTATCATGATATCGCAGTGACATGATGACCCATTTCCGGAATTTAAACTCAATTTAAAAAATTGTAAGAAATAACTCATTAATTAATATCCCGACAGTGATATCCATTTTGTTATGATTTGTCAAGCATATGACCTCATACCAACATCATATAAGTGTCATAACAATATCATATATATGTCATAACATGTTACCATAGTATGACAATGATATGATATCATCAAATTATTTTGTCGAACATAAGACCTCATGCCAACACCATATCACTATTATACTACCATTATTAATTAAGATCTACACAATGAAATTTATTTTGTTATGTTTTAGCAAATAGAAGACCTCATGCCAACATCATATCAGTCTCATGACTCATATCATGATATTACCACAATGATATACATATATAGTGAAAATATCATATGACACTAATATGATGTCATCAAATTTTTTATTAAATATAAGAACTCATATACCAATATCATATCACTATCATCTAATGACACACATCTATTCCCTTATTTCTAGAGCGTTTAGGATAATTTTCTTGCGTATTAAGCCAACGTTATTCATGGTTGTGCCTATATGTGATGTTTCAGATCCTAGAAAGTAAATGAGAGCCTAGGAGTGGGTTTTGTGATGATTGGATGAAGTTCAGGACTTATGACCAAGGCAGGATAATTTTACGTGTGAATAACATCAGGTGACTGTGCAAACTCTCTCGACGAACCAATTCTTTTGACCTAAAATCAAACTGAAAGCTTTGTGGAGAGAAAACGTGACAAAAGACCGTCCCTGGAGTGATTTGGAGCATCTCTAGTGACATTGGAGCTCGATTTCATCTCTTAGGAGTGGCGGATTACTACCTGGAGCATATTTTCATCGGAGCACGATGATTTCTACTTCATCCATCATGTCTTCTTCTTTCTCCATAAAGTAAACCTCCTCTCCACTTTAGTATGAAGAACCCTACCTTTGTATGTTAGGATAATTGTTGTATGAACCCTTGATTGAGTAGTCATTTCCAGAATTGATTGAGTCCTTATCACATTCCTTCTATATCTGCTTAAACCTAAGAGAGATAAAATCTTATTAGGTTGATTGAGCACCCTAAATTGCAAGTATTGAATTGATTGCACGAAGGTGAATCAATTCATTTCTCTGTAATGGGTTGAAAATCTATTAGTGGAAGTTAATTAATTGAATTGCCTTGGTAGACTGCTTTGCCCTATGCACAAAATGCTACCAAAAGTGTATCAATCGTATAAAATCAATCCTAGTGCGGCTAGAACACACTTCAAGCAATTAAAATAATATGACACTATAAATGGAAAATGTAGTCACTTTAGTTCACAATATGAGGGTCTATAATAGAAATTTCATATGTCATCAACCATACTTATAATGTGTCTGATATTAAAAATTTTGAACTCTTTGATATAGGCCAATCAGGAAATGGAAACTAGCAATGCTTCAAAACAACATACTCTGACCATGATTGCGCAAATATATGATGCTCAAATGAAACAAGTTCTGGACCAAATAGAAAAACTCAAAGGAAAAAGTATTGGAGAAGAAAAACATTGATGGTCACACAAAAAGTGGTATTTGTATATCATAATATGTAGAATGGTTGTATACTTGAGAATAAGAATATATATATATATATATATATATCCTAACCACCATCTACTACTTTTTATCGCTATCTATCATCAGTTACCACCATATACCAGAGTGGTATATATGATCTTGAAAATGTTTTTACATAAATTTTTAGATTACGATGAATTCTTTCATTCTCTGCAAAATTTTCCAAAATTCTAGTTAAAAACGATGGTTGTATAAAGTGGTACCATTTGGAAAATATATCGGAAACTGATTTCTTTTTGTATGTCGGAAACTGATTTCATATGTCATCTATAACCTCAAAATATATCGGAAACTGATTTCTTTTTGTATATCACAATAATCTCATTCAATTTTAGAAAATATATTTAAAAATCGAACTAAAACAAAGAAGATACAAATCGATTAAGAAATAAATAAAAAAGTTACAATCTCTAAATGTAACTTCACTCTAAATAAGAGCAGTGGCGGAGGCAGGGCGCCTTTTGGCCTTGTCCCGGGATAAGGTAAATTTCGGTGGAACAAGAATACGCCATATATATTTATATTGGTGATGGAACACAACACGTATAGGTAGTATTAGAGTACTTTGTCACTACAACACAACTCATTAATTACTTGTCCAAAATTGACATAAAATTAATTCATTATACAATAAACGAAATTCCAATTGCAATAAAGAACTAATCGGGTCTCTTTTCTCCTTATGCCTATTCGATCTTTCCCCAACAACCCTGAAATTGTCTAACGACAACGGCAATCCCACTAGTTTTGATCTACCAATTACAACTGCAAGTGTAAAAAGAACATTTTCAGCTTTGAGTTATATTAAGAACAAGTTTCCAAATCGATTTCGCGACCAGTGTGCTAATACTTGTTTAGTAAGATACATTGAAAGAGACTTATATAATAGTGTAGACAACAAATGTTTTGTTGCGCTTCTTTCACTATATGAAATTCCTTCGTAGTTGTTTCTGAAAAGTATGGTAGTATAATCGGTTATTTTTAATTTATGAATGAATTATTTGGATATAATTATTTTTTATTAAATAATTTTTTTATTAGATACTTATATATTTAAGTTATGAAAAGAGGACATGGGTGGTTTGAGATACTGCCTCCGCCACTGAATAAGAGATAAGAGATAACATGTAGTTATGTTATATACACAAATGTTGAATAATAAAAGTCATCCGCTCTACATATATTTGCCCACCCCGCCGCGAGCATTTCACTTCCAACAGACACTATCACTTATCACTTTGTTTCAGGTGGAATTTCGCGTGATCAATGCACCATGACTTCAAGAAAACGGAAAACGATGTTACTCGGTTCACACCTCTTCAAACACTGTTCGAACGAGGGTGTTCGATGCATACATCCAAGGAACTGGCTACTTTTACCTCTACTCCTATGGAGATTCCTTGAGAGCTCTGCAACTACTGACTACAACTAACAGAGAAGCCTCGTTGGAGGGTCCCTGGTGCTACTGCTACGGTTACTGTTCTAGAGAGAAAATATAAATTTTGACGAGACTTGTTGTGGTATGATTTGTCTGTCCTTCGTCCTGAGTCTTGCTGCCAGTTTTGTTGTGCCTCACCCTCCAACCGCCTTCTCTCTCTCTTCCCAAAAATCAGCTCCACGTAGCATCTGGTAACTTCCCCGAGCGTTCTTTGCAAGTCAAGTGCTGCTTCCGGTAACCACCTCGACACGTCATCATGTCACTTGACCATTGGACGGTCACCGTACACAAAACAAGTTGGATGATATCCATGTTGACTAAGACAACAGTCCATAGATGGTACGCATATTAAATGGTCACCACACCCTAGCATCATCCATTAGGGTTTGGACGGTATCCATTACATTGGACACTACCATCCATTATGGATTCTGGATGGTATCCATGTATTTGGACACTACCATCCATTATGGATTTTGGATGGTATCCATGTATTTGGACACTACCGTCCATTATGGATTTTGGATGGTATCCATGTATTTGGACACTACCGTCCATTATGGATTTTGGATGGTATCCATGTATTTGGACACTACCATCCATTATTCCTATGGCCTGACTTGATAAATTGGGCCATTCATGTACACATGGACCAACTACTTAAATTGGCCAAGCTGTTCACACGAGCAATAATTAATGAAAATTATTTTGGTGTTAAACACACTTTCATATATTTTTGAAACAAAAATAAATCAATATATATCGAAAACTGATTTCATTTTGTAGATCACAACAAACTCATTCCATTTTAGAAAATATATTAATACAAAAAGTGTATAATAATAGAAGTTAATCCACCCTACCTAGATTTGCCAAGCCAGCGAGGATTTCAATTCCAACAGACACTATCACTCGATAAACTCTATCACCTTAGTTGCGCAACGAATCAGTAATTTGCTCTTCAAACGCCGAATTCAACCCCCGTAATCTTCCACCACTGCCGGCCAGCAGTCCCCAGTGACATGCGATGGACCGCCCACGTAATCTTCTGAGCTCCGGCTTCCATTATTGCCGGCCGTGGCAATCAAATTTCATGTCTTCCTCAGATTTGACAAGCTGGCCACTATATAAAAGGAGACCAAAGGAAGGACACCTAAAACACACAGCCTAAAACAAAGGTACAAGAAAGAAAGGAAAAAAATAGTAGCAACTATCATTAAGTGCAAGAACGGCCTACAGATATCATGGGTTGCTCTTATCTCAGTGCATTACTATTTCTCACAGAAACAATAATGGTCGTTGGAATGGCGCCTGCGGCTGTGGGCTACACGAGCTGCGGCGGCGTCGCCCCGAGAAACGACAGCTACCCGTCTAATGTGGAGATGGTACTGTCGCTGTTGGCGACAGCTACGCCGACCAGCTCGGGGATGCTTTACAGGGCATGGTATCCAGATTACAAACCCGGTTACCCCGCGGGAACGGCGTCGTGTTACAAGTACAACGCGGAAGCCTGCAAAACCTGTCTCCAGAATGCTCACTCAGAGCTGAAACAGCATTGCACGGTGGCTCATACGACTGGCGCCTTCTTTGGAGCCAACTGCAACATGGAGTACTGGCCAATTCATGATAGTAACTGATTTGTTGACAAACGAGGACGGCCCAACTCATGATTGTAATTATGAGTTGGGTTTGTGTTTTTTAGTTTAGTTTCTCCATCTTCCAAGTCCTTTTAATAAAACTTCTCGTCGTAGAAGGGATTGTGTAAGATCACCTAATAATTGGTATCTATCTAGCTTGAAGCACCAGGAACTTGTGATTCATGTCAAGAGTTGCGGTTTAGTACCAATTGTTAGAGATAGATTAGGAATAATGTTATATTTTCTTATCTTTTAGTATAGTTCTTAATGTTTCCGTGTCCTTCTAGTATTGTTGTTCTCTTATTTATTGTCCAAGTCTTGTAATCTATATAAACCCTTTTTGTGGTTTCATAATAATACAAGCTACAAGTTACAAGTTACTCTTCGTAAAACTCCTATATATACCATATAGGGTTTGACGATTTAGGGTTGTGTAGCTAGGCTTTGGTGATTTGGGCAGGGTTGGTGTGGCCTGTAGTTGGGCTCGGGCCTAAGTTATTGCGGGAGATGGACTGGCTAGAGAGATGGGATGGGTTGAAGTTGGGCTATCCAATTTTCTCGGTTTTAACCGAATCAGATCGGGATGTGAACATTGCAACCGCAAACTGGATTGGGGTAAATTGCAATTCGAGTTCCAATTACAACCGGGACAATTTAAACTTGCCTGTTTCTAGTTTGACCCGTAAAATCGGGACCGGATTCCCAACCCAACTGGATAGGGGTGTTCAAACGGTGTGGTTACAGTGGTAACCATTTTAAACACTAGTATTTGGCTAATTTGGTTTGGTTAATTTCGATAATTGGTTTGGTTTGGTTAAAAAAATTAGCTTGTTTGGTTCAGGTGGTTTGGTTTGGTTTCAAGCACTCCTAACCAGTTTAACCAAATCAACCAGTTAAGTAATTAGCCATATATCTAATATATATTATATACACAACTTAATACTTTGCATAACCACTCAAGAGTCAAATGTAAGATAATTGTATTTGTTACATGTATTTACGTTAAGGGTTGGCTACAATTATGTGGATTGTTATGTGTTGTTTATTATATAAATTGTGAATTGATGCACTAATTGAAAATTTTTCTCACTTAATGATAATGTGGTGTTATATTGGTTATTTTGGTTAACCAATTAACAAAACCAATAAACTTTAGTTTGGTTAATTTGGTTGTTGTATTAGTTTGGATGGTTTGGTTATGATATTGTATTCCATGGTTAATAGAATTTAGCATTATTTGGTTTGGTTATCACAATGGTGACCATTTGAACACCCCTACAACTGGAGGATCCCAAAATCCATTTAAAGGATTTTTAACAAATACAATCAAAATGATAACTATTTTATTTTGTAATTATTAAAATTTTAAACAATGCACAAATTACATGATTTCATTATCGCATAGCTGACACCCATCACTGTTCGTTAAAAAAATATGCTATTTTTTCTCCACAGGTACTGTTTACAATGGGGTTTTATCCCATGTACCCAATTTTACCATAATCTCATTTTTTCTCCTATTCAGCAGTACTATTCATATGAGTTTTATTCACTACAACCAATTCTACAATAAATCTAAAAATCATATGAAATTGTACGGTAAGTTATTTCTCTACATTCAACTTAACATTATACAAACATTTCGTGGATCGGTTATTAAATATATAATTACTAAATAAAATTCCTTTAGTTTCAATATTTATTATCAAATAATATGAACAATATTTAATTATTCCTTTACTACTAACCAAATTTCTATTATTTTCAACTTGAATATTCAACCAGTCTAATCATATTTTACTTTCTAAATTTTGATTTTATCTTTACACCACACATTATATAATAATGTTCTATAATAGTTCTTTATGTCCTACATTCAATTTTACTATAAGTGCTAGATTGGTAGCTTTGATATAACAGTTTAGTCATATATATTACTTTCGTGTTACTTTCTAAAATTTTATTTTATTATTAGACAACATATTATAAAATAGTTTATGTAACACAATTTTATAACAATTACAAAAATTAAAAATTCATCAATATTGCTTACTATCTATAACTTGAATTTATTATTAGACCACAATTTATATAAAAAATTATGTCATAACTATCTATAATTATTAAACTAAATTATTAGTTTCTTACCGACCGCGCATAGCCAAAAAGAGCTAGTTTTTGTGTATAATTAAAGATCATGCATCCTACCAGACGGTCGACTCCTCTACACCCTATATTAGAGGTGGCAATTAGGATCCAAATCCATGAATCCAATCCATCCATCCACCAAATTATCCACATAATCCAATCCATTTGATCCAAATTTTACTATTAAGTTCTAGATCGGTAGCTTTGATATAACAGTTTAGTCATATATTACTTTCGTGTTACTTTCTAAAATTTATTTTATTATTAGACAACATATTATGAAATAGGGCTGGCAATTCGGTTGTCAGTTAGCGGTTAGCCGCCGGTTATAACCGAAAACTGCCAGAAACCAATTAACCGAAAACCGACAAAAACCGACCTCGGTCGATGTTCGGATGCCCATCAGAGGGCTCCGGCTAGCCGAATAACCGGGAATGATTAACCGCGCCTAACCGGATAACCGACCCTCACCGAAAATCCCCTTCTCCCCATCCCAAAATCGCAGAAACCCTTCACCCCAAATCAAATAACCTAATTCCAATACCCTCCCCCATCCTCCCCGCGAGACCGCCTGCTCCCCCGCCGACGCTGCCATTAACGCGCGACCCTGCTCTCAACCAGCGACCCCGCCTGTTCCACCGTCGTCGTTTCCTCCCCGCGAGTCCGCAACACCGCTTGCTCCACCGTCGCCGCTTCCTCCCGGCAACAGCGCCACTTTACGGCGAGTGCGCCTGCCACAGCTCAAACTATTGCAGTTGGTACCACCCAATTCAACACTTCAAATAATGCAATCACTAGATTTCAAGCAACGGAAGATGACCGAGTCTCATCCTCCTCATCCTCACATGGCCGTCGTTTGTCCATTCTATTGCAGCCGCCGCCGACTAAACAAGTTGAATTTTAAAATTATCCTCTTCCACAGGCGTCCAAGGATAACACAGAAGGGCTTGAAGGACGGTCTTCCCCGCGATATTGCCTCCGCCTACGCCCAAATCTCGTCCCTGATTCATGTCGCATCTCCGCCTCCGCCTCTGTTGTCGACGTCGAACAGAGAGAAGCAGCTTCAGCGAAATCCGGGTAGATTGATGGCGGTTGTGAGGTTGAAGGAAGGAATTGATGGGATTTGAGGGTAGAGAAATAGAGATCGTGAATGGAGAGGGAGGAAGAATGATTTTTTTGGGAGAGGAAAGGGAGCATGAGATGGGAACAGAGGAAGGATCGAGAATGATTTTTTGTGGAGAGGAAGGACGGTTAAACCGACCCAGCACCGAAAACCGACCGGTCGGTGGTCGGATAACCGTGACTCCCTTCACGATCGGTGGTCAGCATTCGTAGGTGGCGGCTCGGTTTAACCGATAATTGAGAAATCGGTTTTCGGTTAAACCGAAACCGATCGACTGCCACCCCTATTATGAAATAGTTTATGTAACACAATTTTATAACAATTACAAAAATTAAAAATTCATCAATATTACTTACTATCTATAACTTGAGTTTATTATTATACCACAATTTATATAAAAAACTATGTCATAACTATCTATAATTATTAAAACTAAATTATTAGTTTCTTACCGACCGCGCATAGCCAAAAAGAGCTAGTTTTTGTGTATAATTAAAGATCATGCATCCTACCAGACGGCCAGACACCTCTACACCCTGTATTAGAGGTGGCAATTAGGATCCAAATCCATGAATCCAATCCAATCCATCAAATTATCCACATAATCCAATCCATTTAAATCCAATCTATTTGATCCAAATCCAATTGGATTGGTGAATTCATGAATCAATCCATGGATCCAAATGAAAAATTACAATCTGGTACCTATATTTTTTATATTTTACATTTTGGTACCTAAAATTTATATTCTTATATGAAAATTTACATTGGAAAATTACATTTTGGTACCTAAAATTTTTCATCATGACATTTTAGTACCTAAACTTTTCAAAAATTACATTTTGGTCCAAGCCTTGGATGTCATTTGGATTCATGAATCAATCCATCAATCCATTTGATCCAATCTATGAATCCACCAATCCATTGGATCAAATCCATTTGATTCATTAATCAACCAATCCAATCCACGAATCCGATTCAATTGCCACCTCTACCCTATATACATTTACAGAAATAAATTATAAGGGTAAGAGCATTCCGTATATTTCACTTCGGCCGATTGCTTGCGAACCGCAACAAGATATATGGCCGAATATGGAACAATAACTTAGACAAATATGTTTTTGTTCAAGACGACTCTAAGTAGTCATTTGGCTTTTATGTTTTCGTTCTATCAAAATCAAACTACTTACCATTCGGCAACGCCATTTCCCAGGGAAAAAAACTGGACGGAGAACCTAATAATCACATGCCGTTACTGTATGTACATATATAAAACGGCAGAGACGTCTTAACACAAAAAGAAAAAAGAAGAACACTTCATTGTCAGTAATTTTATGGACTGCTCGTCGTCATCATCATCATGGAGCAATCTCCCTGCTACTTATTCCCGGCGGCGAGCTGTCACGGCCGTGCTGGTAGCCGCTGGCTATCTAACGATGATCAGCCGGAACGTCGCCGTCGCGAAACCGCCTGCCCTCCACTACTGCTCCAGTCATGCTTCGGAAGATCCGGCGAAGTACTATTCCAACGCGGAGAAGGTGATGAGCAATTTGGTGAAGAGAGCGCCTTATTCGTGGACACACATGTTCAAGGCCTGGTATCCAGACAATGAAGTAGGTTCGGTTGTGGGCGCCGCCACTTGTTACAACAACAACGCCCGCAAATGCAGGGCCTGTCTGGAGGCTCTCAAGGACACGCTGGACGGCTGCAAGGAGTCCATAACCGGCGGATGCTTTAGCGCTGGCTGCAATATGCATTTCTGGATGATCGTTGATTGAATTTGGCGCTTTGGGGGAATGGCTAGCGCCTAGCTGGTCGATCAGCTCGAAAAATTTAAGGGAGGAAGAGATGTAGCTAGGCTTGAGTAAATGTGTGTGTTAGTAATTAAGCCGGATGTGTTGGTTTAGTTGTGTTTTTTTAGATAAGAATGATATAGTTTATTTTTTTAAGAGATTTGAACATGAAACCTTCGGGTTCAAAAAGCTAGTAGTATAACCAAAACAATCAAGAACAGAAAGCTTAAAAGATTTTTTTTTAAAAAAAAACAAAGGGCCACTAGGGCAGTGCATGATCTTCCCTCAAAGATTTTGCTATTTTTTTCTTTCCATATGCTTACAGGCAATGCAGTCAAAAGCGCGATTCTACCTAGAAGCGGAAAAAGGGTAAAATGGTAAAGCGTAGAATTAAAGCATAAAAGCGTAAGTTTTTTATGCATACTGTAAAAGAACAAAAAATATGGGCTAAATTACACGTTTGGTCACTCGAATTATACAAATCTTTCACTTTTGCCACTCAAATTACTTTTCTTTCTTATTCGCCACTAACTTTACGAATCGTTTCACCGTTAGTCACCAGCCGTCCAATTCCGTTAAAATCATCCTACATGGCAGTCAACTAAACCCTTTGACCGTTAGTTTGATGACATGGTAATTAAAAATTAAAAAATATTAATTTTCAAATTAAAAAATATTTCATCTTCCTTTCATTTCTTCCTCCCAGCAACACTTATCCTTGAATCCAATCGAACTCCTGATGGAACATTAATTCACATTCAGACATGAGGCAGGAAAATAGTTGTGTAGCCACGGCGTGTGCTGCTCGAGATGAAAGACCGGACTACTCCAGCTAAGTTGGGAAGGAGAAGTTTAGAAAAGTGATGTACAAGGAGACTTCGAGGATTTGAGGAAGCTGTGGACGGCCGAAGCTTTGAGGAAGCCATGGATGGATCGAGCAGCAAACAAGAAGCAACACCACCACTCTGACTCTGGTATATAGAAAAGAAGGTGATCGAGAAAGTGAGAATGAAAGGAATGGGGAGTAACCCCAGCCACTATATCGCTTTCCTCCTCTCCCCCATACTCTATCTTCCTGCTTCCTCCACCACCGCCAAGGCAACCTCCGCCGGTGGCTCCATGTGGCTGACCAGGATTAAGCTGCTCCGTCGACGGACACCCTCACCCTTGGCCACGTCTACAGGCTCATCACCAATCAAGGTTTCCCATCTTCCTCTGTTTCTTCTCCTTAACAGTGACTTAATTTCATCATTTCCGGCTTATTGTGGTTCTAAATTTAATTTGGTGCTTTCTATTTTCTTAAAACCAATCAGTAGAGGTGATGAAAGGATTGTCGGCGAAGAAGCAGGCAAAGCTTAATAAAAACTATCCTCATTTCCTCAAACAAACAAAAAGGAACAAAATGTATGCTTTGATTCTCAAGTTTCGAAGAAGGAAAGGAAGAGAAGTGGAGGGGGAAATAGGAGCAGTGGAAGTTACAGCAACAATAGTGAAGGGTCATTTTCATATTAATCTTAGCTGGTGGAGCAGGGAGTGGGAGTGGGAGCGGGAGATCATCAAGAACATGGCAACCATCACTTAACAACATCTTGGAATCAGCCGGCAACGGCAACATCTAATCGCCTTCTTCAATTATGTAGTCCCCCCTTTCCCCTCCCCTCCCCTCCCCTCCCTTCTTCATCTCGAAAAGCATCACGCCGCCTCTACACAGTTATTTTCCTGTCTCAGATCTGGATGTGAATTGATGTTCCATTAGGAGTTGGATTTGATTCAATGATAAGTGTTGCTGGGAGGAAGAAATCGAAGGAAGATGAAATATTTTAAAATTAATATTTTTTTATTTTATAATTGCCATGTCATCAAACTAACGGTCAAAGGGTTTAGTTGACTGCCACATAGGATGATTTTAACGGAATTAGACGGTCGGTGACTAACGGTGAAACAATTCGTAAAGTTAGTGGCGAAGAAGAAAGAAAAGTAATTTGGGTGGCAAAAATGAAAGATTTGTATAATTCGAATGACCAAACGTGTAATTTAGCCAAAAAAAAATATGTTAAGTACGACATATACTATGAAAAATATGAGTGCACAAAATTTAGATAAGTTAATAAATACTTGCAATTCATGTCTAAAGTAGAGCAACTTATAGCCTCTTAATAATAAGTTCAAAAAGATAAATCTTATCAAGAAGCCACATTCCCCTCCATGCTAATGAATTTGAGAAGAGCCTAGACGGTTAATTAGATTACTTTATTGAAGTTCAGAATGCATCAAAGTATCTGGTATGTATCTTTTAATCTTAAACGTATCATATTGTAGGTGGTTTATTTTTAAAATATAATTTTTATAATTAATTTCATGAAAAGAATACCCATTCAGTGAAGTAAAAGCGTAAAAACGTAAAGCGTTTTAGTGAATTAGAAGCGTAAAAGCGTAAGTTTTTAAGTTTGAAGCGCAATTTAGTCTGATTTTATACACTAAAGTTTTTACATAGAAACAAAAGCGTTTTGGTGACCTAGAAGCGTAAAACCGTAAGTTTTTAAGTTTTAAAGCGCGATTTTGACTACATTGCTTACAGGAATACAGGCCGATCCGTAACTTCTCCCAGTGTAAGTCGAGGACGAATGATCATAAGGCATCTTCAAATTTACGGCATGATCATCAATGTTAGGGCCTAGCCCGTAACTTGTCAGAGAAGACCGTAATTCTTGGTTTATGGTGTGTAGCTAAAACGACGTTTTGGCAAAAGTTACGGGCAGAGGAAGTACGTTACAACAATAAAATTGATCATAACTAGGGATGGAAATTACAACCCGCCCCGCTAGGTGTTATTGCGACATGACTTGACCTGGCCTGTGATGGGCGGGTAGATTTGAGGCAAAAGAAGACCGTAATTCTTGGTATTATCGCGACCTGACCTGTGATGGGGCAGGACACTGGTATCTACTTCCCACCGCTCTGCCCCGCCGTGTTCTTAGCCTATTCTATCTCATTTTCTAACAGTATCTATTCATATTTCTCTTATTTTTACTTTTCTTCAACTAGTTTGACTTGATTTTTAAACTACTTAGACTCAATTACTCATTCTATTACCACTATTTTCGTACATAAAGTGTTTTTTTCCTTCGTTTTATTCTAAAAAGTAAAAGTTCACATGTATTTTTTTCCAAATTACATGTAACAGTGGGTCGACATGCCCCGCCACAAACCCATGTTCCGCCCCGCCCGCCCCATTGCCATCACTAGTCGTAACTCGCGAATCTCCATAGGATAAAGGGTATAATCGGGAAAATTGCAAGGATCCAATTTTCGACTTGTGAGAAAGAACCTAGAGAGCCAAAGAGAGAGCTAGAGACGAAGAACAACCCTTCAGGAGCTGATTTGAGCCACTAACGACCATTGAAGCTCGATTCCTTCCCCTTGAGTATCAATTGTTTATTTGGAGAAGATTTCACTCGCGTACACAATGATGAACATCATCAGCTTTGTGTTCCTCCCTCTCTCCATGGAGCAAAGCTTCTCTTTCGCTTGGGTATAAATAACCCTACATCTGTATGTTAGAAGGAGTTGTATGAACCCATTTTCATGGCAGTTGATTATTATATCCAATTGTGGCATTTATTATAATTATATGAGTCTTGATCACATTTGTTGATCTAGAATGAAAGTCTCTGAATAGGTGAATAGAACAACTTGAATTGGAGGTAGTGAATAGATTACACGAGAGAGAATTGATTCACTGTTCTGTACTGCAGTTAAAACCTAGTAGAAGAAGTCTTTTCGAATTTCCTTGGTAGTTTATTTCGGTGGATGATAGATGTTGTCGGGTATTCTATTCAAGAGGGTCTAGTCTGCTTTAATCGATATTCCAGACTATCTAAGGATTTTCCGCAGTATAAATATCAACTGAATTAAATTTGGTGAATTACAACTTGACCTAACTACAGACTAGGGGGACACTTACCTGAGTGGTCTTTCTAGAATTGGAAATTAGAATATTTACTTGCTTTCATTTATGCTTTGCATGCAAACCACTTCTCTACACTTTGACCGCTAGTTAATAGATAATTCACTGAGTAGTCCGTATCTAGGACTCGAGTTGATTAGTAAAATTAAACCTACTATACTACATTCATGAATTACGATCACAGTCAGTGGCGGATGGAGGTAAGAAAGGTCCTTGGCAAACAATTGGGCAACAAAACCCTTTATTGAGAGGTTAACAAAACCCTTTATTCAGAGGTTTTATTCGGAATTGGTTGAAAAGAGGTTCTTCCGCTTGCAAGGACTCTTCTGCGTAAGGCCCCCTGCCTTTGTTCGGGCCCTTCTATCTTCGTTTTCTACTTTTTGTTCTCTGTTTGGTTTTCCTTCCCCTCTGCTTGTTCTTTTCTTTCCTTGGTTTGGATGCTTTTGTACTTTGGCCCATCTCACTCCTCGTGGGATCCTTCTTTTGTTCTCTTTTCTGAGTTTTAATAAAGTTCATCATCATTATAAATAAAAAAACTCATTTAAATGTATAGGTTTTAGTATGATAATTTAAGTTTAGGACCCCATAGTCTCAACGATGTTAGCACATCAAGAACCCCGGTTAACTCAAAACTACGTACACAAGCATTAGTGTTAGTAAATTTTTAAGAATCTCGGTAAACTCGATGTCTGGCTACACCACTGATCACACACTTAGGATGTTGGTATTTGCGAATTGCGAGTCAATATGCTTGAAATCCAGCCCCGAAGGATCATACCCTGAAGTATAGGTGAAAGGTATAATATAATTGACGTCGACCGGGTGCATGCGACACCCCAAAAAGATGGTCGAATATATATGGAACAATAATAACCCAAACAAATAACCTCAATATAATCTCTAGACGACTCTGTGCCATCTTTTGGCTTTATTTTTTTATTCCATCAAAATCAAATTACTTCCCTTTCGGCAACGCCATTTGCTGGACGGAGAAGCTAATGATGATCAGATGCCGTAATGTACATATTTATAGCGGCAGAGGCCCCTAACCGAAAAAGAAATAACAAAAGGAAAACATGCAGTTCATAATCAGTAGTAATATGGATCTGCGGAAGGCTGTAATGGCCGTGGTGGTGGTAGTGGCTGGTTACCTAACTGTCGCCGTCGCGCAGCCTGCCCGGCGTTACTGCGCCAGTGTTGTTCCGGAAGATCCGGTGGCGTACTCTTCCAATGCGGAGAAGGTGATGAACATTTTGGTTACAAGAGCGCCTCCACACCCGGCACATATGTTCAAGTCCTGGTATCCGTACAGAAAAGTAGGTTCTGTTGCCGGTGCCGCCATTTGTTACCACAATGACGTCGGCAAATGCAGTGCTTGTCTGAATAGTCTCAAAGCCTCGCTGGACGGCTGCAAGATGTCCACCACCGGCGGGTCCTTTAGCGGTGGCTGCAATATGCAGTTCTGGAAGATCGTTGATTGAATTGCGCTCTTGCGAACGACTGATCCATCAGCTCGAACAGTTCATGTTAGAACGGATAGGGAAAAATCGGCAATGTAAAAAGGTAAAGAACAGACGGATTTACATGGTTCACTAAAACAATATGTGTTGGCCAGTTCATTGACAGGAGAGAGAGACAGAAAACCATTTCATTATACTTGAGCATATACAAATTACAGCAAAACTCGCATAATTACCAATCGATAGTAGATAATTCGATTCAAGTCATATCAACTGGTAGCTGGAATTAATGTCTTGATTGACAATCTTACGTTACGCCCCATTCCATGGATTGGGGTGACTTAAAGCCCAAGTTAAATATCCTCTAGTCAGTTTGATCCAGGGCTTCATATTTGTTTTCTGAACTTTACTGTCATGGAAAAAATACGATCCCATAGGAGTTTGGAATTATCTATGGACTGTCCAGTAGAACGTACGGACTCAGTAGAATGTGACTTCGTGACCAGTACTCCTACGAGAGCGCTAAACATCCCTTAGTATTACTGGAAGTCCAAATGGTCGACTGGATGGTCAAGGGGAGTCCTCGTGGCAAATGGAAGCTCAACAGATTTCTCGTTTTATCAAGCGGTTTTATTCTAATTAATAATATTATTTTATCTTCTCTTTTATTTTATTTTTAAAAAAGATTCTTCACCTCTTTCTTGAAACATTTCGAACCTTTTTTCCAACCAAGATATTATCCACTTTGGACATAGATCTTTATGGTTTTTAATTTACTTGGTATGCATATCAAGTTGACTGCTAATAAGGTCACCCATTCTTGCAGTCTACAGCGAGCACGTTTAACTTTTGAATTCTCACAAAAGAACTTCATTTCACACCAAAGAACGCATCTTGTCGTTTACGATTAATTTCTTACTTATAAACCATGGATCTCTCACGTGCTTTATCAGTGTGCGATTCGCTCAAAGTGTTACATACCCCCCCCCCCCCCTCTTGGGACTCAACGTCCTCGTTGAAGTTTGGCCCACCATCATTCAAGAGGGGCACATAGAGGTTTTGATTCCACTTGTAACATCCCGAACCTTTTTTTTTATCAAGATATTGTCCACTTTAGACAGAGACCCTCACGATTTTTTACTTGGGATGCATATCAAGGTAACTTATCATAAGGTCACTCATCTTTGCAATGCTCAGCAACATTCTGTCAGAATCCTGAGGTTCTCAATTGTGAAACACATGATCACATGATCATGTGCAAACTTCAACCCTTCTAAGTTGCTTTCATTTGTGTTTTCTGGCAAGGAAAATCTGGTGTTTGAACACAATGAATGCACCTTTGACTTCTTGAACAACGATAATTACATGGTTCACTCCTCTCTGAACAATGTTCGAACGAGGGTGTTTGATGTTTTTGATGGTTTTTTTTTTTGGGAACAAGCTAAGTTACGTTACTCTACTCCTATGGACGTTCAATGAGAGCTCCGAAAAACTAAAAGGTAAGTTGCAGAGAAAAGATAAATTTTGACATTGTGCGTCAACGCTTGGTGGTACTCATGCTAACCACACTGACATGACATCATGTTTGATATTTTGATGCTTGGGAGTTGATGGATGCACACTGACCCCCTTGGGGTGGCATCATGCTTGCATGGTCTTGACAAGGTGGTCTACCATGTGATGATATACATGGCTGACACTTAGAAATTTAATGACCTTGTATACTATGTACCATGCATAACTACCCATGAGGCATAACATGTCTGCTACTTGTGATGATATCCTTGCACGACACCCATGGCTTGACCCACTTTGCATGACATCATGCTTGACATAATGCTTGAATTGGGTGACTGACGTTGAAGGTACGCTTGGCGTTTGACCTCTCTTGCTTAGCCAGATTTCATGTATGGGTACCAGAGCAAATTTCATACCACGGGGGTGGAGGCATTGTCCGGCTATGGCCGCAGGCAACCGCTAGGCAGGGACAGGGGGCTTGGCCACTTAGCCCCAAAAACCTAATAAGGCCCAGCTAGCTCATTTAATGATTAATGTTGAGTGTGCCTTATAAATCCATGAAATCAATTATAATTAATCGATGTGGTATGAGATTTATTTTTAGGTGTAAACAATTTGAAATCCATTATTATTCGCCAAAAAAATCCATTATTAAACTTTTTACAACAATTTGTGTTGTTTAAACCATCTGGTTCTTACTAGAATTAATTAATTTACATTTTAACAGGCCTATATGCTTGAAATCCAGCCCGAAGGATAAGATAGACACACAAATAGAAACGCTAGCTGAATTATATATATATATATGAGGATAAGATCATTCCCTGAAGTATAGATGAAAGGTATAATATAATTGACGTCGGCTGTGTGGATGCGAACCACAACAACATGGTAGAATATGGAACAATAACTTAGACAAAAATATGCTTAATTAACACGATCTCCATACGACTCTAAGTCATCATTTGGCTTTATCTTGTTGTTCTATCAAAAAGTAGAACTACTCCACACACTTCCCGTTCGGCAACGCCATTTGCTGGGCAAAAAACTGGACGAAGCAGATGCCCTAATTAATGCACACGTATAAAACGGCCAGTGGCCCCATAACTGTGATTCAACCAACAAACAAGCAGCAGAAAAGCAGTAGTAAAATATGGAGTGTTCACTGCAAAGAGCTGTAATGGCCGTGCTGGTAGTAGCTGGTTATCTGACGACGATCAGCCTAGACGTCGCCGTTGCGCAGACTCCGCAGCAGTACTGCTCTAGCAGTGCGCCGGAAGATCCGGTGAAGTACTATTCCTACGCGGAGAAGGTGATGAACGCTTTGGTGAAGAGGGCGCCTTACACCTCCACGCGTATGTTCAAGGCCTGGTACCCAAACAAAAAGGTTGGCTCCGTTACGGGTGCGGCCACTTGTTACAACAACGACGCCGGCAGATGCAAGGACTGCCTCAAGGCTCTCAAAGCCTCGATGGAGGGCTGCAAGATGTCAATCACCGGCGGATCTTTTGGCACCGGCTGCAATATGCAGTTCTGGAGGGTGGTTGATTGAATAATGTGTGCTTTTATGGAAAAGGTTGGTCGATCGAGGAAGAGATATTATTGTAGCCTTGAGTTGAGCTAAGTTTTTTTGACGAAACCTGATTTCATTACGAAACGAGGAAGAGCTAAGCTGGATGTGCCGGTTTGATCGTATTTTTGGTCACCCGGCCATTTCAGTTTGTGTTTTTTCTTATCTTTTCGTTGTTTCATCTAAGTCATTTTTTTTCCTTCTGGTAGAAAAAATCTTACGTACCCTTCTATAGATTGTGGTGACTTAATATTAAGTCACTTTGATCTAGGGTTTCATATTTATTTTCCAAAATTTACTGTCGTGGAAAGAAGGATAATAATAATAATAATGTTGGTGATGTGTCGATTAGGCACTTTTTAATTAGCTAGATAGACAAAAAAAAAGACTCATTCTCTCCTCACTCCGACAAAGCTTCAACAATTCTTAGTTGTAAAAAGGTACTTTCTAACGGAAGTCTAAGCACCAATTTATAGTACGAGAGAGAGAGCACAATGAGAATTGTTCTCCTAAAGTCAGCCACATCCTTCCATATCTAACTTGAAGTCAGTTTTCATCAGCTTCTAGACGAAGTAGCTTGCTAGAGAAGCTTCCTAAAGAGCTAGGGTTTTGGCGGCGGTATAGCAACTATCAAGGCCGCTACTACTTGTCTTCGTGGGTTGGGTTCCCTGACCCATGAATAACTAAGCCTTGAGAATTGGGCTCGTCTTGTGCACATCTTCCTCAGCGGCGGTTGGACCTGATGATGGGCCGCTGCTGGTTTCTTCGTCGACTTAGGTCAAGTCTTCTTGCTATGTACTTTCTTGCGATTATTAACAACTTCTAGTTGAATTCTCCCTAATTGGACCTCATATTTCTCACTAAAGCTCCATATTTTTCTCTTTATAGGTCCTTAGGTCCTTCTGAATTCTTCAATGCTTGATCCAATCTTCCTTAGGTTGTTTTATATCTTCAAAATTCACTAAAACATACCTAGAGGGCATCTCAAAGAGTACAAAAACATAACTAGGTCTCAAATAGTTGTGATTTAGATAGTAAATACTATTGACATGACTAAGATGTCTTGATAGAAAGGACAAATGTATCAAGAATGCAAGTGATAAACACTATAAATAAAGTGTCATCAGAAATCCCTAAATCCAAGAGAATCAAGATGTCCCAGCTTTTGGTCATTCGTGCTCCCAAAATTGTTGATATTTAGGACCCTTTGAGGGATGCATCGATTCCTCTTCTTCGACGTCTACACAACTCCCGATGATATCCACCCTCATTATCTTCATTCTGCAACTTTCTCTTCTTAGGGGGCTGTTTTGCTCTCTCTGATTTTTCCTTCTCGACTGCAAGGAATTTCTTTCCCCTTTCATTTATTGCACACTTATTTGTAGACAACTTTTCTACAAGACAAAATGCAAACTAAAAATTATGCAATCAATGTATTCGAAAACACATAGAATGAAAAGTAGACACCTCCGGACATAAACAAACAAAGAACGTGGTCCAAACCAAAAACACTATAAAACATACGACAAATATCCTCCAACACTCCAAAAACATGAGAAAGTCCAGAACCTCTAATGCATTCCAAAGCCTGCCATAAAGTAGTCACCTCCAAACGTAAATAAAAAACAACGTAATCCAAACTAGAAACACTATAAAACATACGAAAGACCACAACCTGGAGCATATTTTCATCGGAGCATGATGATTTCTACTTCATCCATCATGTCTTCTTCTTTCTCCATAAAGTAAACCTCCTCTCCACTTTAGTATGAAGAACCCTACCTTTGTATCTTAGGATAATTGTTGTATGAACCCTTGATTGAGTAGTCATTTCCAGAATTGATTGAGTCCTTATCACATTCCTTCTATATCTGCTTAAACCTAAGAGAGATGAAATCTTATTAGGTTGATTGAGCACCCTAAATTGCAAGTATTGAATCGATTGCATGAAGGTGAATCAATTCATTTCTCTGTAATGGGTTGAAAATCTATTAGTGGAAGTTAATTAATTGAATTGACTTGGTAGACTGCTTTGCCCTATGCACAAAATGCTACCAAAAGTGTATCAATCGTATAAAAGCAATCCTAGTGCGGCTAGAACACACTTCAAGCAATCAAAATAATATGACACTATAAATGGAAAATGTATTCACTTTAGTTCACAATATGAGGGTCTAGAATAGAAAATTCATATGTCATCAACCATACTTATAATGTGTCTGATATTAAAATTTTTTAACTCTTTGATATAGGCCATGTAGACACCCCATTTTGTCCGGGTCAATTACTCAACAAAAAATTCTAATTAATCTTTAAATGTCGTAAGATAATTAGATTGGCCACTAGATTGGCCATTGCGAGTCTAAAATATCGACGATTGTATAAATTATTCAAATTCGATTCGAGTGGATTAATAGGACCGATTGGCTTCCAATTTACGCTTTTGGCCCAACACAGAAAATACAGAAGAAGAATAAAGTTTTATTTAAATTATCAATAAATTATACAATTACAATCAGAATACAAATTACAAATAAGAATTACTACATGAAAATTACAATCAATACATGTTTCTTCCATCTCTTTTTGAAGCCAGCAATGGACCTGCCAAACAACAAGAAAGGAGACAGTCTATTCAGACCCAGAACCAAGACAAGTCCAGAAGATCATAGCCCACAGTCAGGCCCAAGAGAGCCCAAGATCTCATGGGTCAGATCCTGACCAGCCCAGAAAAGGCCCAACCCGACGAAATGGTTGAAACAGAATTGGTCCGACCAAACCCAGAAACCACCGCCTCTTTTTTCTATAAAAGCAGGCTCAATTTTCAAGAGAAGGACAGCTTTTCAGGAGGGAAAAGACTTCACTTCTTCCTTTGTCAGTTTTAGTTTCTTCTTCTTCTTAGTCATTTGAGAGTTTCTTTCTTTTCTTAGTCTGTTCACCTGGAAAAATATGGGAAAAACACAAACACAAACACTTTTTCTTTCCTTCTTTATTCTGTCAAATAGAAGTAGAAGGCAAACAGAAGCCTCTGTACTGTAATCAGTAGAACCAGGTTCATATTCCAGTTCTAATGATACATCATCCCTTTACTACTCTTTTATTCTCTTCTCCTACTCGTCCTTTTTTGTCAAACTAACTCTATATTATTGTTATTACCACTGTTACTATCATCATCATCATCTAAATGTCACGATTTCTACATAAGAGTGATTGAAAACTAATCAAAACCCAGATTTACTCTACTAACTTGTCCATCTCATTCAGCTTTATTTTACTTTCAGTTCCAGTATTTACTTATTTCAAGCACAGTTACTTCATTAATTACATTCCCTTCAATAGCCGACTTTATACTTGTGAGTTAGACTTCTTATTACATAGTATTATTGCTTGCCAATTATGCTATTTACTTTTTGTCAGTTTAAAATTCCTTTATTTATGTCTTATTTCAATCCCTTTGTTTTATAGAACTAGAATAGAGCTGATAATCACCAAAAACAGCATCGTCATTTTTCCTAAATACCCCAAAAAAGCACATCCATTTCAACAAAGTCATATTAACACAAAATCCCCAGGTTCAAAATCGTCACAAACATCTTTCCAAGATATCAGATCTGCGAACCATACTCCAATCCACAAACAACATAATTATTTTTTCCAGTTTAACCTCCCCAGCCGTAGTAAACCGAATTTAGGAGAAACTCACCTAGATCAAAGCCATCTCCGAAACCTACAAATCAAACTATCAAAATCAGAAATAGAAACAACCCGAAATCCCTTTAAAACCCACATAAAACCACAAAAATACTCGCAGCAAAAAAGGTCGACAGTCGACTTTTCCCCTCTAGCACAAATATCGGAGAATCTCGCTGGCCGGAGACTTCTTTCTCCCCTCGATCAAACCCAAAAATAAAAATGGGGAGAAGGTTAGAAACATGCTCGCACACCAAAAACCCAGAAAATCGAACATGCAAAACCATAATCCGCCACTTACCATCGATCTAGTCACCGCCGCTGACTCCCTCTTCTTCCCTCGTCCGCCATTAAGCCCAGAAAAAAAGTAAAAAAGGGTGAGAACCCTCACTCCCCCCAATAATCGAAATAAAAAACCAAGGAAAACATGCATGTCGATATTTACCTAGATCGATTCTCCTTTCATGGTCGATTTGGGGGTTTCCGGTCGGAACTGGGTAATCGACGGCGGGTTGGGAAGAAGAGGACCCTCGTTTCTCGTGCTTGTTGTTCTTGTTTCAAAGGAAATGAAAAAAAACGAGAGAGGAAGATGAAGGAGATCCCTATCTGGAGAGGGTCGCACGAAGAAGGAAAGAAGAGATTGAAAGTCGAATTTTTTGTGGCTCGTCGTGTTTTCTTCCAGAGAAGAAAATAGATCGAGAAAAGGAGAGAGAGGAGTTTTGTTTCTTATTTTGGTTATTCTGTTTCAGAGGAAAGGGGTAAAATGAAAGAAAGAAAGATCGAGAAGGTGAGCGGCTAGGGTTTTCACGTTCCATCTGATCCTTTAATCTCGTTTTTTTTCAAATTACCCTTTTTGCCCTCTCTATTTCGTTTAAATTAAACCCTCCTGTCATCTTCGTCTTCAAAAATCGAAACAAACAAAAAAATCAACAGCGTGCGTCAAACCCTAGCCTTTGCTCTGACGTTCCTGAACCAGGATGTTTAGCCATTAGGCTAACTATATCATATTCGTTTTCTTAAAAGACGTTGCTTATATTTATTATGCTCGACTCATGATCAATAGATTTCAATAGTCGTTTTATGAGGAAACTATTTAAAAGGCATCACTCAATTACCAAAATATATTTCCTAAAATAATTCAAATTAACATTTAAATTAAGATCAATAAAATTTGTTGAGATTACTTCATTAATCTTTTCAAAATATTGAACTAACTAAAAACTCTTTCTTTCCTTTATGATGCACGTCAATAGACGTAAACATCTCAACGAAAATTCATTTTTTTTACCTCCATAGTCCAATAAGACTTTAAATTGCATAATTAAAACACCCAACCCTTGGAAACTTATCGATTCAGGTAGTACCGATTTAGGGCGTTGTGGGGCGTGAATACACTTCCCCACACGTAATCGTACTCCCGAATCCAAATCGCTATAATTTCGCAGGCCAACTCCCGGTTTTGACCCTATGGTCGAGACCGATCCAATTAGTGTTCGGCCCACTACTTTTAAGGTCGATGGCGACTCCGAGCAAATTCGCGAGCGATCCCAATTTCGAGGGGCGGTTGTGACAGGCCAAACAGGAAATGGAAACCAGCAATGCTTCAAAACAACATACTCTGACCATAATTGCAAATATATGATGCTCAAATGAAACAAGTTATGGATCAAATAGAAAAACTCAAGGAAAAAGTATTGGAGAAGAAAAACATTGATGGTCACACAAAAGTGGTATTTTTATAGTGGTATTTGTATATCATAACATGTAGAATGGTTGTATGCTTGAGAATAAGAATATATATATACTAACCACCATCTACTACTTTTTATCGCTATCTATCATCAGTTACCACCATATACCAAGGTGGTATATATGATCTTGAAAATGTTTTTACATAAATGTTTAGATTACGATGTATTCTTTCATTCTTTGCAAAATTTTCCAAAATTCTAGTTAAAAACGATGGTTGTATAAAGTGGTACCATTTGGTACCAAGGTTAACCTCAAAATATATCGAAAATTGATTTCTTTTTGTATATCACAATAATCTCATTCCATTTTAGAAAATATATTTAAATATCGTACTAAAACAAAGAAGATACAAATCGATTAAGAAATAAATAAAAAAAGTTACAATCTCTAAATGTAACTTCACTCTAAATAAGAGCAGCGGCGGAAGCAGCGCTTTTTGGCCTTGTCCCGGGACAGGTGTAAATTTCGGTGGAACAAAAAAACGTCATATATATTTATATTGGTGATGGAACACAACACGTATAGGTAGTATTAGAGTACTTTGTCACTACAACACAACTCATTAATTACTTGTCCAAAATTGACATAAAATTAATTTATTATACAATAAACGAAATTCCAGTTGCAATAAAGAACTAATCGGGTCTCTTTTCTCCTTATGCCTATTCGATCTTTCCCCAACAACCCTGAAATTGTCTAGCGACAACGGCAATCCCACTAGTTTTGATCTACCAATTACAACTGCAAGTGTAAAAAGAACATTTTCAGCTTTGAGTTATATTAAGAACAAGTTTCCAAGTCGATTTGGCGACCAGTTTGCTGATACTTGTTTAGTAAGATACATTGAAAGAGACTTATATGATAGTGTAGACAACAAATGTTTTTTGCGCTTCTTTCACTATATGAAATTCCTTCGTAGTTGTTTCTGAAAAGTATGGTAGTATAATTGGTTATTTTTAATTCATGAATGAATTATTTGGATATGATTATTTTTTATTAAATAATTCTTTTATTAGATACTTACATATTTAAGTTATGAAAAGATGACAGGGGTAGTTTGAAATGCTTCCTCCACCACTGAATAAGAGATAAGATGTAGTTATGTTATATACACAAGTGTAGAATAATAAAAGTCATCCGGTCTACATAGATTTGCCAACCCCGCCGCGAGCATTTCACTTCCAACAGACACATGGTAGATGGTACCCAGATTACAAACTCGATCATCTCGCGGGAACGGCGTCGTGTTACAAGTACGTACAACGCGGAAGCCTGCAAAACCTGTCTCCAGAATGCTCACTTCGAGCTGAAACAACATTGCACGGCGGCTCATACGACTGGCACCTTCTATGGAAGCAACTGCAACATGGAGTACTGGCCAATTCATGATATATAGTAACTGATTTATGTTTTGCGGATGACCAGGATGACTAGTTACGAGTTGAGTTTCGAGGTCACTCGACCAATGATTATTACATTTGTTATAAGTAATTAATATTTGAGTATTACTATTTTATGATTATTTTTATTAAAATATATTTATTAATATTTATTATCATATAATAAATCCTATTTTATTATATAATAATTATTTTTTATTGATAAATCTATTTTATAATAATATAATTACTTACTTTTTACTCTATTTGCACCTCTCTATTTTTTCATCCAAACAAAAATTTACCTCTCCATTTGCGCCCATCAAATTACACCTCCAGCAATTTACCCCTCAAATTGCACCTTCCTCGAACTTGCACCACTATTGCCAAACATAGTGATTAAGAAAACGTTGGGGTTCAATTCACACACCTACTTTGCTTTTTTTTTCCTACTACTGCTATGTGGCCCTGCAAGAGACTGATTGTAACATCCCGAACCTTTTCCCGACAAGATACTGTCCGCTTTGGGCCTCTACACCCACACGGATTTCGACTTGGGGTGCAATTCAAGGTGACTTCCCATAAGGTCACCCATCTTTGTTGTGCTCCACACTGAGCACGTTTAACTTCGGAGTTCTCACAAGAACTCCTTCATTACACCCCAAAACGCGTCTTGTCAGTTAAGGCCGGTTTCCTACTTATGAACCATGGATCTCTCTCGTGCTTTGTCGATGTGGGATTTGCCTAAGGTGTTACATACACCCCCCTTGGGACTCAACACCCTCGTTGAGGTTTGCCCCACCATCGTTCAAGAGGGACGCGGAGAGGCTCTGATACCACTTGTAACATCCCGAACCTTTTCCCGACAAGATACTGTCCGCTTTGGGCCTCTACACCCGCACGGATTTCGACTTGGGGTGCAATTCAAGGTGACTTCCCATAAGGTCACCCATCCTTGTTGTGCTCCACACTGAGCACATTTAACTTCGGAGTTCTCACAAGAACTCCTTCATTACACCCCAAAACGCGTCTTGTCAGTTAAGGCCGGTTTCCTACTTATGAACCATGGATCTCTCCCGTGCTTTGTCGATGTGGGATTTGCCTAAGGTGTTACACTGATCATCTTTTATTTTTGAGCTTTTTGCCTTTTTTTGATCGCTGGAGTTATTTCCTTGGGCGGGGGGAAGCTCTCCATTCCTGGTTTTCCTGTAGCTGGATCCTCCGGAACCACAAGAATCCTTAGTTAGAATGGGATTCCAACTCAGCACCTTTTGAGAAGAGTTGCTCTTTGGAGAGCACAGTACGATGAAAGTTGTAAGCTGTGTTCGGGGGGGAGTTATTGTCTATCGTTGGCCTCTATGGTAGAATCAGTCTTTTACATGTCACATATGTTTATATACTTCAAATTTTATTATATTACACAATTTCTTACTCATCATGTTTTATAAATTAGCATTCATATTTTAACTATGTCATGATATATTATAATTATAAACTTTAAGCTAATATTCTAAATAACTAACTAATACAATTCTAATGTATCTTTCTTGTCTTCTCAATTGTCAGGAAATGTGATATGGGTTTCGGTACATAACCCCGACCTGTAAAATCCTGCAAAATCCGGTTGTATCATCGTACCATCGTCATACGATTATATATACGTGTATCATCGTATCAAAATGATAAGATGATACGACCTGATTTTGCATAATTTTCCATGTCGAGGTTTTGTACCATATCCGCTCCTTTTTTTAATATATCAAAGAAAACGCATGAGTTAGGCAAAATAAGGAAATAAGCCATGTAACATATATAGGTTAATTTGTTGTTTAAATTAAGTTATTTGTTTTGAGAGAGAGATATAACGAACATGTTTTTTAAAAAAAATTAGCAGTGTTTTCATAATTTGAAAGTCGCAAAGAGAAATTGCGTACTCTACTTTTGCTTATAAAGGAAAATTACGGTGCATAATTTTGTGCATGCCCTAAACTCGTGAGTAACTCCGAGCTGGATTATATTGTATAATTAGAAGCACTATTAATTTGTCGAATTATGTAGTTGTAAGAAGAAGAAAAAAAGTGACCCCTCATTTTAAAATTCTAGCTCCGTCCCACTTACATAGCTATATCTCTTTTCTTGATTGCTTTTATTTTTCCATGTTTTTGCATGCATGGTGATAGTACCATATTGCATCGGCTGGTTGAACCTAGACAGGAAGAATGGGCAAGTGAAGAAAGAATCAAAACAGAGAAGAAAGTTTTTTTTTTTTAACCTGGGACCTCCATTCATGGCTAGTGGTATTACCACTAGACCAATCCCTTGTTCGTTCAAAACAGTGAAGAAAGTTAAGTGGTGGAGAATAGTATCATGAGATCGAGTACAGAAGAGAAAAGAAAAGTAACTAGGTCTTTCATCTTTCCCTTTCAGCCTTTGCGAATCTACCCCCAGAAACCGTTTTCTGGACAGTAAGCAAGCAAGATGTAAGTGTTGCACAATTTTCTCAGAATCTGTACTTACTAATGGTCCTCTGTGGGAAGGAAATTGGCACCACAAGCCTGAATTGTGACCAGGTTCCCTACATATATACTACTCTATCAATTTTCTACATGGTGAGTTGGGGGGTTTGTGTATATAAAAGAAGAGATTCATTTGATTGTTTAACCAACAAAGACTTGAAGAGAGAAAAATTGAAGCAAAGCTAGCTAAACTACTATGGTCAGCTTTCCCCTTGAGTTCTCCTGATCACTTCATTGTTGGGGGGCTCTTTCAGCATCCTATACTGAAGTGTTTGGGGGAACTCTGGGTGGCATTTGACGCGATAACTCAAGTTGTTGGAAACGTTTCGATGATCATTGTTTTACTGCATTAATTTTTTTTTTCCCCTGTATTATACAACTTCCAGCATGACTTGCATTTACACTAAACAGTCCCATGGCTGGTAATTAATTGGTTTGGTTGGCCAAATCCAGTAATTTGTATGTTGAGAGACAGATTCTGCCTTGCTTGTTCTTATTCATCAGGTCAATTAACCCAAGATTGTAGCAAAAGCTCCCTCCCAGCCACAGCACAAGAATAGGATCTTTTTCTTCTGGAAAGTGGGGAAGAAAAAACTTTGGGTCTTGGTCTTGATACCCATGCTGCAGACATGCAACTTGATTCTTGCGAAGTCTGAAGTTGCAAATTGGTTAAGGTTTGGCGGCGGGATCAAAGTGATTTTCTATAGCAATTAGAGTTTCTGGAAGGCAGTCCCTGATATAAACAGGAGGATTGTATGATTAAAATCAGAAAATGTATAACCATGCATCCTTTATATATGCATGGGGAGTCTGAAAACAACGTGTCCTTGAGAAAAAGTTGAAATGTGAGAAGAAGAATGCAAGAGTTCTTCAAGATGAGCATCATATTCTTCAACATCATAGCTTTGCATAGCGGTGGATCCAGAACATAGTAGAGCACTTGGCCGTATTTCTTTAGAAAATTATATACGTAAAAAAATCATAGTTTTTTTTTACAATATCAATTTTACACATCGATCTTTTAAATTTTAATATAGTGAATTCATCAATAATGGAGTCTACATCCATACCAATATCATACTCTCTTTAAGATAAAATAGTTAACCAATTGGCGAGAAATTTATCGCTCATTTTGTTGCGCAAATAATTTTTCACCTATTTCATTGCTGAAAAGGTTCTCTCCATGCAAGGTTGTCAAACCGGTTTGTGCCAGTGTGTCGGTTTAGCAAGTAGAATGGTGCGAACGGTGGTACATACTGGTTTGTGTCAGTTCATGCCGGTTAATATTACAAATAATTTACAAATACTCATATTTAAACACTACATTTAACGTCAATACCTAAATATTTGTACTTGAATCAAACAAATAACATCAACATTTAACTTTTTAACACATAAAATAAATAATAAATTACTTTTTATCAATTAAATTCACTAAGATAAGATCGTTTGATTTGGAGATTCGTATATCGATTTTACAGGTCATACCGGTAGTGTCATACCGGTTTTATGACCGGTACAGGTTGAATCAGGTTCAACCAGTGGCACGCCGGCCGGTGTGACAACCATGCTCCATTATAACTATTGAAATGAGCAATGTCAATAGAAACAAATCAATCGACTAATCAATATATATTTCTTTTAGTCTTTTACGTTTTAGACTTTTAGACTTTTAGGTTTCATTGTTTGTTTTTCTTTAGACGAGAATCATTGGAGCATTGAATGCAAAAAAAGTGATTGAATGCAAAAATGCAAAAAAAGTGGTAACCGGCTAACCAAAAACTGCAGCTTCGGGCGGTTGGCGGTAGCAAGTCTGACTGTGCCGGCTAACCGACGCTGATAACTGCCGGTTAACCGGCTAACCGGCAATTGAAAACGACGCCACCCCTGCCCTCCTATTCCCTAACCCTAATCGAAGCCAGGCTTCGACCCTCACTCTCTCTTCTCTGCAATCTACATCGCGAAGACGCCGCCGCTCCCTTCTCCCTTCTCCCTCCCCGACTCTGAAGGGCGATGCCGCCGCCGCTCTACGCCGTCGTCAGCCACTCCTCTGCTGTCGAGATCTCCGCCGGCGCCGCGCCACTCCTCTGCTCGCAGCCAGCAACCGCCAGCCAACCCGCCTCCTCTATGGCCTGTGCGAGGGCGACCCCGGTGTCGAAAGCTCCGCGGCGCCGCGCCACTCCTCTGCTCGCAGCCTGCTCGAAGCAGTTCGGAAAGCGGAGCTGCTGCCGAGCTACGAGGTGAAGGGGAGAGGGATCCAAGGGGATGGGTTCTTTGACGCACTAGCGATGCTGGAAAGGAATGGATTTTGGGTGAATGGAGTTATGATCTTCTCGGCGGATGCTTCTGCTGCGGCGGATGTTAATTTCAAGTATGAGAAAAGGGATGTTCCTTTCCCCTTCTTGTCTCCACCAATCTGGATTTTCGTTTACTTCGGTTAACCGAACAACTAACCGGTAACCGACCGGTCGGTTGCCGGCTAACCAAAGTTTTTCGTCGGGCGGTTGGCGGTAGTCACAGTTGTTGTCACGATTAACAGGTAACTGACATTTCGATTATTGGTTATAACCGAACTAACCGAAAATCCAGCCCTAACGGTCAGCGAGCGGAAAGGATGACTGATTTCTCGAGGAAGAAGACGGCAACTAAATGCAGGGTGGTGAATCTGGTGATCAATTACCCATGGTAACAGCCACGGCAAGACAAAAGTAAAAAGATTTACGAGGTGATGAAAAGCCTCCACCAAATCATAGCTACTTGGTGAAAATAATTTAATTTTATTTCGATTAGGGGTCGAGAGAGTGTAATGGGTGGTTATTAGTGACAAAAATTAGAATAATAGTTAATTGACAATAAAATTTATGTCACTTCTAATTGAGAATGACCGACCAATAGATGATGTTTTCAAATCTTGGCAACTCCATATCTCACTAAATACTTTAGTGGGGAAATGTTAATTGAGAATAAAACTTTAAGCACGTATATGCCGCTTTTCATTAGTGAGGAAATGTTAGTAAATACTAAATGGTATAAGATCAATTATTAAATCTTTTTCAACAACTTGAGTTATTGCTACTAAACAGTCTTGACAAAGAACACCATTCAAAAATAAATGTCTAACTAAATCATGAATAATTGTTTAATACATATAGAATGATAGTTTTGATATATATAATATATTTAGTTTATCAAGATTTTGTAAATACAAAGTTATATCATGAATTATATAATAAGCTAATAAAACTGTTTTATCGTATGTATATTTTTCTAAATGGACCCACCCTCGACAAAATCCTGGTTATGCCACTCAACACATACCCTTGATATGAAAACGCTATCTATACCTCAAATTAACAGAGTATTGGGGACAGCTGACGTATGCTATACTCATGCGTTCACACTTGTTATATGTAATTTGATATATTTTGACAAATCAAAACCGCCGATCATTATTTGTTTAGATTAAATGAATTTTATAATTTGATTTAGTGAATTAGGGACTGGTTTCACTCATTAGAGGTTAGGGTATAGTATCGTGTTCCAAACTCTAGTTAATTCGTGGCCTAAATTTTAAAACATGAAGGGCGTACAATAGTGTGAACGCACTCTAGGAGTATAGTATACTCCAGGTGATCTGGCCATTAGATCTACTTCGATGAGCTCCAATCAATCTCAATGATCAATTATTGTTTTCCATTAAATCGAACTTCAGGTTTGAGTTTAGAAAATCAAGGCCTGGATTGTATCCATTAAAGGTTAGGATACAGTATCATAACCCAAACTCGATTAAATTTATGGTCTGGATAAATATATCTCACTTGGAGTATAGCATACTACTAAATTATAAACGTAAACCCTAACCCTAAATCCTAAGTATTTCAAATTAAAGTAAATCTTGAATGAGTTTTTTTGCAAATTCATGTGTTTCTTGTTCAAAACATCATAAGCCACCATTGTCATTCTGACCATGCGATTCATGTCAAAACGGTATCAATTATTGCTTATGATATTATGAACAAGAAGCACATGAATTTGAAAAAAATTCATTCAAAATTTACTTTAATTCGAAGGATTTAGGATTTAGGGATTTAGGGTTAGGGTTTAGGTTTCCAATTTGAGATTTTGGGTTGGGATTCAAAATTGAATGTTAAGGGGTTAGGGTAATGGATTGATTTGTTATGATTCTATGTCATATCATCATATTATATTGAGAGTACTAATTAAAGTTCAAAATTTGATGTATTATGGACGCTTTTAGAGTTGGGTGCACTAAAGTGAGTGCACCGAAGACGCCACCATATATATATATATGGTTTTGTCTTCTATATATGCAATCACTTTTTTTGCATTCAATGCACTCACCTCATGATCGATATTCTGAGCAGGCGATTCGTGTGAAAACGATGTCAATTATCACTTATGTTAAGGTGGACAAGAAAATACATGAATTTCTATAAAAAAAAACATTCAAGATTGACTTTAATTTGAATGACTCAGGGTTGAGGGATTTAGGGTTAGGGTTTAGGTTAACAATTTGGGATTTTGGGTTAAGATTCAAAATTGAAGGTTAATGGATTAGCGTAATGGATTGATTAGTTGTGATTCTATATTATATCATCATACTAGACTAATGCTACCAATTAAAGTTTAAAATTCGATGTATTATGACCACTTTTAGAGTTGTGTGCATTATACTGAAGTATCCACTATATACATATAGTGCATTCTATCATTGAGTAAAATTCAAGGTATGGCATACCCTTAGCAAGAAAATATTATCTAGACATTGAATTAACTAAATTTTGGGGCATGATACTATTACCTAAGTAAATCATAGGTCTTAGATATATTTTGTAGATTAAATCAATCTTATGATTTGGTTTAGATAATTATTCAAGGGGTTTCCAATCAGTTCCACACTACCTGGACTCCCGGAACCTCACTTTATGCTTCTGTTTGTTTTGGAAGATGACTTGAGACTTTTTGGCAAAACTAAACCAATAAGGTTTAATAAAATCCCACACCACCTTGCTATTGTAATGAAACAGAGATGGTCAGATGGGCAATGCATCTCGAGAGTTTCCCATAATCTACATCTTTTACACCGCTTGTTAGATTTTGTCAATGATGACTGTGGAAGGTAAGGAATGGTCGTTTTGAATGTGGACAGAAATGTGGGAAGAAGAATTGGAGATATAAGGGAATATGGTTCCACTCTATGGGAAGAAGAATTGGAGATATAAGGGAATATGGTTCCACTCTACCCTCGTCAAGAGTCATATTCTCTTTCGAACTTCCATTCTGCCCATAATTCTATCTAGATTCACCCTCTTGTGGTAGTTGGTCACTCTATAGGCCTAGAAGGGTAGGTTGGTGAATAACTAGGCCATACTACAGACAGCCTATACATGTATAAATAGATGCTATCATATCTGCCTAACATAAGAAACCAGAACCAAACCCAAGAAGTCAAATGTCTACTGGAGTTCCCTTGACCACTTCATTGGGGGCTCTATACTCTTTTGCCCTACTGAAGTGTTTGGGGGAACTCTAGGGGGCCATTTGACATTCATAGAAACCAGAACCAAACCCAGGAAGTCAACTCTAGGGGGTCATTTGACATTCATAGAAACCAGAACCAAACCCAGGAAGTTAGTAGACAGTCAAATGTCTACTGGAGTTCCCTTGACCACTTCATTGGAGGCTCTATACTCTTTTGCCCTACTGAAGCGTTTGGGGGAACTCTAGGGGCCATTTGACATTCATAAAAACCAGAACCAAACCCAGGAAGTCAAATGTCTACTAGAGTTCCCTTGACCACTTCATTGGAGGCTCTATACTCTTTCGCCCTACTGAAGTGTTTGAGGGAACTCTAGGGGGTCATTTGACATTCATATGCTAGAGAGGTCTCAACAAAGAACAAACATTAGTTTCATCAAATAACCTTGTCGTCTGGTCCTTGAGGTCTCTGTTCGAGTCACTCTTCTGTCTTCTCCCTTCAAGAAGAGTGCAATTGCCCCAAGTTTTCTCATCTCACCCACCTTTTGGCATCAAGTCATGGCACATTATGGAGGCAAGTGATGCCCTTTTCCAACAAACATAACATTTATTTTGAAATTGCTAAGTTTGTATGTCCAAAACATCTCATGCATCACAAGTCACAACAAAAGACAATTTAGAAACAGTTTTTTTTTTAGCATCGGCCTGAGGTTTGTAGCTATTCACCCTAAACATGATAATCACAAACAAAAACACAAAATGCTTCCCACATCAACATCTAATTACATCTACCTCAGAACACGTTCAAATTGACGCCTTTTTCCTTCGTAGCATTCATGCAGAACACAACTCCTTCCAAATCACCTTCTCCACTCGGGTCTAATCATCCTGTCCGAAACTGGCATAAGGGAAATAGCTGACGTTAGAACTTGAAGATGCCATTATTCAGTTTACTATACATTGAAAACAAACTAGAGTGAGCATTTGTACGATAACAATTTTTTGTTGCTAGATGGTTCTTACCACTACCGTCTCTGGAAGTGGTTAGCGATCTATCACTCCTGATAAACCCTTTACTTGCTGAGTGGACAGGTCTATTATGAGCTCGTGGCGACATGGAAGCACACTTCTCATTGATGGAAGATGGCAGTGAATGTCGTCTAGTTGCTGTGCCATTCTTCTCCACTACTACATCTTGTGGGAACATTGGAGATCCTTGAGCTCTCAGCTTAGCCCTTGCAGATTCAGTTGGTGCCATATAACTTGGACGTTTGGGTGTCCCAAGCCCACCATTCTCCTGCTGCTCAATATTGGCTGGCAATGACGCTCTTCTTTCGCTTGTTTTCAGGTTCTCGCTTCCTGCAAGCCCATCATGTGGATCCAACAGTATATTATTATTCTCTTCTAAATTAGCAAGTACCCCGTTCACCTCTGGAGTTGGCATATCCTCCCTAGTCTTCAGTTTTGGAGTCGGGGCTACATCAGCTTCTTCACCTGAAACTGCCACTGGGACATCTCTTGCCACACCAGCAGAAACATGACTGTCCAGCTGCTGCAAAGCCTCAATGGCACAAGTACCAGAAGTCTTCTTTGCACTGAGCTTTGATTTGCTATCCTCAACTCTTTCAACAGCTTTCGTAACAGACCCAGAAGCCTTTCTCAAAGTGTGCTTTACCTTAACTGGTTCTGTTTCTGAATGCTTGTTGTTGGCCACATCTACAATATGGCTAGTGGACTTTCTAGGGTTGTGTTTTGGTTTGTTGGACTCCAAATTCTTCCCATGTATGCCATTGGCAACATTAGGACTAGATGACTTCCGGGTAGCTTGTTTTTGCCTGCCTCGTTGATTTTCAACTCTTTGTACACAGTCTTGCTTAGTTGTGGAGTTTGAATCCAGGTTGATCTTCTGTTGTGAAATATGTTTCCAGAATTCTGACTTTGTCCACCGATCCAGCCATGTCATGGCGGAGTTGGGTTCCCCAGAAGCATACTTGAGGAATAGAGGCATTGCACTAGCTGTTGAAGTTAAAAGCTGTAGAGGAACAGAAGAGTTGAAAACCTAGAAATTAAGTGACTATTACAAAAATCACTTAATACCGTTGGTTAGGGATAATGGAGTTCAGTTCAAATCTCACCTTCCTAACAAAGGCATTCTCAAACTTCTGTCCTAATAATGAGCATTTAGGATGTCCTTGAACAGCATTTGAAGCCTGATACATCATAATCACATGAAGTACTTAACAACAATTGTTAAATAATGCTGTAAAAGTGAGGAAGTCAAATGGCACAGTCATAATCGCATCACTGATAGTCTATAGCAAGAATATCTGAACAAATATAGTCATTGTTGTATTGCCAAGCTACTTAAGGTCCAGAAGTTTGCAATTACTACCAGAAGTTTCGCAAGGCTGATCGTCTTCTGCACTTCGATGCCGAGACTTGAACATCGAACATTTTGACCTCGAACTAGTGCTTGAAACTTTATGATGGCCAAAACAGAATTCAAGGTAGCAACAGCTTGCCTTCTAACCAGTTGGCCACGGATAACTGACTGCAACCTTATTATATGTCCTTGTTCTTCGGATTCATGGGGGGCCTTCAAAAAACCATGAAGGTCAATCGATCAACAACAACCAACCGAAACACAGGTGTTTCTTGAGAAGCTAAGTTTTAGGAAAATGAGGCCAGTAAACTGAATTCATATACTACCTACTATAAGAGGTAAGAAATACATATTGAGAGAAATTGGTTCGCAGTGGCTGGAAGTTGCCTCATTTAAAGAATGAAACTAATCCAAGTAACAAGAAACTGGTAACGGTACCACTGAAGGGACAACCAATAGGTTAAAACACTAAATTGACATAGGCTAGGTGCGTCGACTCAGGGACCGTTAGAACAAATGTCAACAAATAGTTAAGAGTGGAAGTTGAACATATTAGCATAATGAAGACGGAAACTACAGTTACAGAAATGTTAAAACAGCATAACTAAGGGAAACAAAGGGTACCAGATAGCCGCTAACATCTGCCTGTGCCATCACTCCAGTTTGCTCAAGCCTCACTGTCTCAGAAACTTTACTCGAACTAGTTGCTGGGCTCCGATTTTCAACTTCATTTTCACAGACAATAGCAACCTTCTCATCCCGTGATTCGGCAATTGCAGCACCTTCTGAACTCACTCCACTCCCATCTCCAACTCCCGGAACTGATTGTGTAACTGTGTCTGTTGGAGGATTTCCCGTGAAATCTGTTAAAGGTGCTTTCGAGGGAACGAATGCCTCTCCGTTATTTGGTTTCTAAACAGCCATGAACCAAAAGGAGTGTTAGAATTTTGCTCTCTCGAGAAATTCATGAACCATTCCAGATTACTCGAGAACTGGACTTGTTATTCAGTCCCCCAAAAGAAAACATGATCTTACACAATACACAGGGCGAGTAAGGTCACAAGAAACTACTCACCAAAACTTCCTTTTCTTTCGAAAGGCTAGATTTTGATGACTTCTTCCCACGAATTAAGGACTTCAACCACTTCCCTGGAGATTTCCCCATTGCCAAAAGGGTGAATGAGCCAACTCCAGGAGTCTAATCTCTGCAAAATCATCACATCGAAAAACTCAGACATGCTGACATATTGGCATAAACTGCTGATTAGAGAGATGCCAAACTTCGGTTCTCGCCATATAAAGATGCCACCAACTGCCAACAGCAGCTACATGAACCACATACAGAACCCTAGACCCACCAAAACCAAAACTATCCACAAAAGAATTCAATTGCAGCAACCCACATTTACCTTTCCTTCAAATTGAGGTCAATGACTGCAAACACGACTCCAGACTTGCAGAAGAAACCAGGTCACCAAAAGACTAAGAAAGTAGAAGAGAGATCCTGCATGTAAGCCCCAGCAGAGTTAGGAAACGGCTAGATCTGAACTTCCCTTGAAAATGCACCAGCTTTTTAACACTACCAACTTACTAAACACTTCATTAATACCCAACTCATGAGTTCAAGAAGTGGCCACGGCAGGAAATCAGTATATAGAAAACAAACGAACCAGTGAGCTTTTTTAAGAGATCTAGCCTAGCGGTTGGTCATCGAAAAGAGAAGCGAGAAGAATACGAAAAGAAGCCTAGAATAGTAACCCGAGTAGAAGTTTCGGTCTTAGTTTTGCATCAGATGCCGTTTCTTTCAGCAGCAGAAGCAGACAAAAAAGCAAAAGCCTGAAACTTGAGATGAACAGCGCAGCAAAGCTCTTAACTTTATTTGGGTATACAAGAAGAAGGAGACGAAAGGATAGCGACTCGGCAACTGAAGCAGAAAAAGAAAGAAACCAACATCCTGAAGACGGCGCCGTTCGTGGGTCTCTCATTAAATGACTACCAGGATTTAGGGATGGCAATGGGTCGGGTCGGGGGCGGATAGTGCATATCCGTTACCTTACCCAATGTAGTTCGGGTTTTACCCATACCCGTACCCACACAAGAAACAGGTAGAAAATAAAAACTATGCACATACCCATTCGGGTTTCGGGTATCCACGGTTATCCATGGGTAATAATTTCTCCTTATAATTCCAACCAATATGTTAACATTCACACGTATACTCAATTTAGGTAAGAGGAAAAGTACGACAACAATTCACTAGAATGACGAAAATTAATTAAAACAACATAATTTCATGAAAGTATTATATTTATATGCTAAATATAAAATATTCTAAAGAAACATAATGATTTAGTCTAGACAAGATACATATGCATGTGTATAATCGGGCGGGTTCGGGTTGGATAGTGAAATAACCATGTCCACCTATTACCCGCAATATTCGGGTTCGGGTTTTACCCGTACCCACGAAAAATACTTCGGATTCGGGTTTTACCCTACCCGATTAGATCAAATTCGAGTGGATATCCACGGTTACGGATATTTTTGTCATCCCTACCTGGATTATGGAGTTATACAATCAATCAAATTCAATTCCCACTTTCCCAGGGTTACCCTACTACTTAAGGAAGAAAGTTCTTTACTTTACGGCTTGTTTGGTTGGTATGGATTGAGCACAATTTCGTTTCTTATATAATTTTTTTAAGAGTTCATCTAGGAAAATTACCACTTATTTTTTTAGGATTGATTACCAATATAACAGCCAAATCTTTTAAACAAAATAATATCGAAATATTTTGAAATCAATATAATAGTCAAATCAAATCTTTAACTTTTCATTTAGTCAAACATTAGTTGACTCTGACGTGGCAAATTATGTTGACGTATAAAATGACGTACCCAAATAACTGTTTTACAAAACTTTGAATCTTTTTTTTTATGAGAATCAAAAATTATCATTAAGCGCCAGGCCTCCCAAAAACGAGGGGACCTCTCAAAGTACTCAATTACATAGTAAAGTAACCAGCTCAAACCTCTATACAATGTCTATACTCTGTATGAAAAAACTATCAAAATCCAGAGGAGACCTTGTAACCAAACAATCCACCTCAGAACGAATTTTTTGAACCACCTGCCTGGAAGTAGCAATACCCCCCTCACCATACCAACGCCGACATCTCTCCTTCCAGACATGTCCAATGATCAACCTTCAATAGCCTACCCGCTCGAGCAGTGTTGGATCCTCCCTGCCACATTCCCAACGCCCAAGCAAGATGGGAATACCAATCAGAAAAACAAGGAATAGGCATAAAGAAGACTGCATGCAATATGTAAAGGAGGAAGGAACATTGACAGAAAAGATGAACTCTACTCTCAAACCCCCCTGGACAGAGGACATAGCAACCCGCACTTCCTTACCCCACACCAAAAGTTTATCCGCTGTGGTGATTCTGTTGCAAACAATTAGCCAAGCCAGCACACTATATTTAGGAATGGAAGGCTTCCCCCAGACCAGTTCAACCCAGGGTACATGTGGGAATGTCCCCCTGATGCTTAACCATACTCGTTTAACAGAATAACGGGGCATGGGGCTGCCATCCCAAAGGAGAGAAGGACCAACACTCGTTATAAAACACCTAGCAGCAGCTCTCATCTTCAAAATATGCTTCCAGTTCCAAGATCCCACAGAGGTAGCAGAGACATCCCATATGTTCTTGGATTTGAGGAGATACATTTTGATCCACGCAACCCAGAGTGAGCCACTACTTGCTAGTATTGCCCACAAGTGTCTTGTAACACATGCTTTGTTCCATACTCGGAAATCCTTGATTCCCAACCCACCTTCAGATTTCATTAGTATTGCAAAAGACCAGGCAGCTGGAGCTCGCTGCCTTGCCCTCCCTTCACCCACACCCCATAAGAACTTATTACAAATCCTCTCAATATCATCCAAAACAGATGTTGTCAAAGTAAACACACTCATCCAAAACTGCAAGACGCTGGAGATAACAAAAGAAATCAATTGGATTCTACCTGCATAGCTTAAGGTTTTAGCATGCCAGCCTCTAATTCGAGCACTAATCCTGTCAACCAACACCTGACAATCAACTCTGCCCAGCTTCCCTGAGATCAAAGGGACTCCCAGATAGCGGACAGAGAGAGGCAAGTGGGAACCCTATACAGGTCGAGATAAAAACCTTCTCTGCATCAGGGATTCCAGCACATAACAGTTGACTCTTCTCAGGATTACATTTAAGCCCTGAGCATCTATAAAAGTCATCCAGCACCTTGTGAACCCCAGCAACTGCCCTCACAGACCCATTTGTGAAGACAAGTAAATCGTCTGCGAAGCAAAGATGAGTAATCCCCAGCTTCTTACATCTGGGATGATAAGGCACCTGATTATCGATTGCTGCTTTGTGTAACAAGCATGAAAAAACTTCCATCGAAATAGTGAAAAGATAGGGGGACAAAGGATCCCCTTGTCTTAATCCCTTTCCCGCATGAAACAGCCCACAAAGACCCCATTAAAAGCCACTCTAAAGCTAGGAGATGTAACACAAGTACGAATCAGCTCAGTATAGGAATCAGGGAAGCTCATAGCAGTCATTACACGAAACAAAAACCTCCAATCAATTGAATCAAATGCCTTCATTAGGTCAATCTTTACTACACAACGTGAGGTTGTGGATAGTTTGTGATAATCCTTAACTAGCTCAGAAGCCAGTAAGATATTGTCACTGATAATACGTCCCTTCACAAAAGCAGATTGAGAAGAACTAATAATTTGGGGGAGCACTAGAGCCATTCTATTTGCAAGCAGCTTAGCAATTGCCTTATATAGCACGTTACAACATGATATAGGCCGAAAATCCTTCATACGTTCTACATTTTGAAGCTTGGGGATCAAGGTTAAAATGGTAGAGTTTACCTCTTAAGGAAGCAATCTAGTTAGTCACATCCGAGCCAATAATCTCCCAGTCAGCTTTGTAAAAATCAGCAGGATAACCGTCAGGCCCCGGGGCTTTATCCGCTGTCATAGAGAAGAAAACAGCACAAATCTCCTCCCTTGATACTGGCTTAGACAGATTCTCCGCATCCTCCTGTGAAAGCTTGGTCCGAAGTAGACCCTCAAAATAACTGACTGGCAGATCAGCAACCTCAGAGTTAGGCTCACCAAGTAGCTTCCTATAGAAATCAACGGACATATGCCCCATCTGACTTATATCTTAAACTACATGCCCCGCATCATCAATGAGATGGTCAATGGTAAGCTTTTTGTTACGAGCTTTAACATACTTCTCCTTGAGGAGGCTCAGGGGAAGGTCTTGGTTGATCCTAATACTGTCACCCTGGCTCTTGAAAAGGAGCTGGCGGTTAAATGTTCTGAGTTGCAAGTTGCTGAAGAGTCCTTTTATAGGCAGAAGTCGAGGGCATCCTGGATAAATGTTTTGAGTTGCAAGCTGACGCTGTCCAGAATTATTAGGACTATAAACTGCAGTTACCACAATTTCTTCCAAACCAGAAACTACTTTCACATGAAGAAAATGCTCTCCAGACTCCAGCTGAGTGACCTGCAGACCATTCCTCCATAACAACCACACCCTCCCAGAATTCGACTTACTATAATAGTCCAAATACTTTCAATCACCAAACATACCATTTATTATAGAACCAGAGTTTTTAAAGGAGACCCTGGTTTCTTATATTGCTACCAAATCTACTTTATACTTATTAAGCTGACTATATACATACCTATGCTTATCAGAGGTGTTAAACCCCCTGATATTCCAAGATAAGAGAATCATCGACGCTTACCTCGTCCCCTCCCCTTCTTGGAAGGTGCAGGGAATTTAGCAGCACTAGACGATTTACCAACATTCAGACCATACTTCATACTATTACTGGCAATCACCTTAGTACCAGAATTAGGGATGGCAAAAATATCCGTGATCGTGGATATCCACCCGAATCCGACCTAATCGGATAGGGTAAAACCCGAACCCGAAGCATTTTTCGTGGGTACGGGTAAAACCCGAACCCGAATATTGCGGGTAATGGGTGGGCATGGTTATCTCACTATCCAACCCGAACCCGCCCGATTATACACATGCATATGTATTTTGTCTAGAAATAATCATTATGTTTCTCTAGAATATTTTATATTTAGCATACAAATATAATATTTTCATGAAATTATGTTGTTTAAATTAATTTTTGTCATTTTAGTGAATTATTGTCGTACTTTTCCTCTTATGTAATGTGAGTATACGTGTGAATGTTAACATATTAGTTGGAATTATAAGGAGAAATTATTACCCATGGATAACCGTGGATACTCGAAACCCGAACGGGTATGGGCATGGTTTTGATTTTCTACCCGTTTCTCGTGTGGGTACGGGTATGGGTAAAACCCGAACTACATTGGGTAGGGTAACGGATATGCACTATCCGCCCCCGACCCGACCCATTGCCATCCCTAACCAGAATTCTCAATACTTGCAACCAAAGCATCAATCTCCATGTCTTCTGCAGCCTTCCATACCTGTGGACCAACCTCTTTAGAACCACTTGAGGAAGCCTCACCGACCCCCAATTGGAGTGCCTTAGGAATAAGGTGGAACCCTCTCGAAGAAGAGATACCATCAGCAATAACAGCAGTGAGTGGTGAGACTGGCGTGACCACTTGAGGTGCTGGAGCATCAGTAACTATCGCCTTCCCCTTCTGAACCCAGGCAGCTTCCTCCGCCACCCTACAATCAACACCCTTACCTGCCTCATGCCCATAAACCTGACATTGGAGGCAACGTGGTGGGAGGCGAAGATACTCCACTGCCAGGGAAAACGCTTGCTCCCCTTCCGGCTAAACCTTAATCTCCTCCTGAAAACCACAATCCACCCTCAGGTCAACACACAACTTCGCAGATCTAACGTGAGTGCCCCTTTTAGTTGCCTAATCCATCCATAGAGGAACCCCCAACACACTAGCAATCCGACTCAGCCCATCCACAGAATGGTATTCCAGCGGAATCCCCTTAATCCTCACCCAGATAGGTAACGACGAGAGGTGGAAATCCATAGGTTGAATCCCCGGCGTCCAGCGACGAAGAAATAGAGGTATATTCTGACAGTGCCAAGGCCCTCCTTCAAAAACCCAGGTACTCGTTGCCAGATCCAGAAACTGGAACAAAAACATAGAATCGCCGAACCCCGAGACATGAATCGGCCCCTCTCGCCCCCATAGACGAGTTGCCCAGGTCTAAATAGTCTGAAGCGACGGAGGATCTGAGAGAAACTGACCCACTAGGGATTCCCTCCACCGCACCGCTCCAGCTTCGCGTGTCATTCAAGGAAGGAGAAGAGCGCCCCCAGCCACTTCCGGTTGAACAAAGCGAAGGCGACTACCCTCCTCCACACCAAATAACTGAGCCCAGTCATTCGGCCCCCCTTCAGCGGCCGGTGCGGCCATCAACCGCCCGCGACGCTCAGACAACGGAAGAAGAGAGAGAAAGAAAGAAGAGAGAGAATTTTTTTTACCCAAACTTTGAATCTTATGCAAAGAATAGCCAAATTTTTTGTCTTGTGCAAAATAATAGCAAAATCTTTTGAAATACAATTCAATAGTCATTTTTCGAATAGAGTTGATGCCAAAATTAATGAAATTAACATAAATCCAGGTGTTTCAATACCTCAACACAAAATTAATTAAAATTTTTATATAATTTATAACTTTAAAATAAAAAATAAAAACTAAACAAATAATGGTAATAATTGTCGTCATCTTCTGTCTTCTTCGACGATTAATATTTATCTTCATTTCTCCTACGCATAAAATCCTTCGTTTTTCCATCATACAAGAACTCTTCATTTTTCTGCATCCACTGCTTAGTCTCTTCAATTGTGAAATTTGAAAAAAGCCCTCCAGAAAAAAGAAAGAGTATTCTTTTACCTTTTTTTGTTGGAACTTGCAATTGAAGGAAGTAAGCAGTGGTTGAAGGAGAAGTAAGAAGATTATTGTAAAAAAAAGGAAGATAAGGAGGATTCTGGTATGAGAAATGAAGTAAAAAATTTATCATATTATAAGACATAAGAGGATGAACATCTATTTTGCTTTTTTTAGTTTAATTATTTTTTAAAAAGTATTATTTGTAATGTTCTAAATCAAATAAGAATATATTATTTAATTGTGTGATGAGGTATATGATTTTGTCAACTTTGGTGCTTAACTTTGAAAAAAAAATAGATATTAAATAGTAGGGTTAATAGCATTTTGTACCACTCGACTATTGTAAATTAATAAACGTACCTCTATATTTTACACAAACATACCCTTCTAGTATCAAAACGTAACAAATATTTCCTACTGTCTAAATATCCGTTAATCGACGGTTAACAAAGCGGCCATCTTGGCTGAGCGCCACTGTTATGTTATCGTCAGGAGATATCGCTGCTCCGGCCACTAGTGTCTTGTCCTAGGCATCTTGTTTCGCTCGATGCTTTCTTCTCCACCCGTCGAAACCCGGGCGCAACTGATTCAATCGGTGGGGGAGTATTCAAGCGAATCAGGAGGACAAGGGAGACGAACGGATGGATAGTCGAGTGGCGGGAATCGGTTTAGGGAGTCCTTTTAATTATTATTATTATATGGCAAAATTCACTTCCATAGCCATAACTTTGCACTTTGTGACAAATATAGCCAGATTCTGAGAAATACACAAATATAGCCACATTTTATAAACTTGCTTGACAAATATAACCATTTCGGTTAAATAATTTGACGACGTTAATAATTCCGTCAGTTAAATGGATGTCATTCTGATGAGGCTGCCACGTCATGGCCACGTCATGCCCACATAGACCCCCACTGCCACATAATCGCCACATCACATTTTCAAATAAAAAAAAACATAAATACACTTTTGTGGATCATATTTTTCTTCCTCTTCACAAATTTTTAATTAAAAATTTCCTTTGTTCTTCGCCGGTTCCATGGTTGGGTATTGGCAGGAGAACAACCACCGGCACCTACTGGCTGTTGATGGGTTCATCTTCAATCGCCGTCATCTTTGATTCATTACCGCTCTCAATCCCACGATTCATCATCACCAAATGAGAAGAAAGTGTTGCAATTGCATATGGTGCTGGTGGTGAATGTTTCTCAAATCGAGGAGATGGGAACAACAATTTCGCCGCCGCATCGCCTGCGTTACTCCACCAACCAACGGTCAACCCTTTTTTGCAGATCTGACATCACCGGCGGCGCCGACTCATCCTTCTTGCCGATGGTGTTGTTGCAAGATTTATCTCAGCGTCGGGAGGGAGTTTCAGTTCCGCCGCCGCTACCGCCGATGTGGAATCTTCCCAAACCGACAACACCCAACCACTACCTCGTCACCGTACCCACAAGTACAGCTGACACCGACGACGCTTTGTCTCCTCCGGCTGCTTCAACTTTCCAGATCTCGCGAATTCAGAGCTCGGAGCTCTGTCCCTTCAATGGCGATTCCCAGAAATCGGAGGAGCAATCCGCTCGTTCTCTCCCTCATCAGATCCCAGTTGATAAATTAGGTCAGCAAAGATGAGGGTCGTTCTCCCCCTTGCTCGATGTCGCCTTCTTCCTCTACTTCTCTGCTTCAACGACGACGGCGGTGAATTTGGTGATTGGGAATCATCTAGATCTGAAGGTTAGTTTCTGTGGTGGGGCTTGAGGGAGGAGTGTGAGGAGGCGGAGGGCGGCTTTGGCGGCGGTGACAAATACGGCGGAGGAGGAGAGGAAGCTTTTGGAGATCGAGATTTTTGGCAGATTGAAGTTTTGTGCGGTGGTAGATGAAAGGGGTTTGGGGGAGTTGGAGGAAAGATGAAAAAGGGGCGGAGAGATGAAAAAAAATTCTTTTTCTTTTTCATCTTTTTATTTAGCATAATAAATATAAATAATTTTATTTTCCACTATGGCATGCCACGTAGTCCAAATTAAATGCAGTTAAATACGACAGTTTGTCCAGTCAGCAATCGTTATATTTCCGTTACATTAATGGACGGAATGGCTATTTCTGTGTATTTCTCAGAATCTGGCTATATTTGTCACAAAGTGCAAAATTATGGCTATGGAGGTGAATTTTGCCTTATTATATATATATTGAGTTGGGATATAAATAATTAAAACAAAATTAGAGTATACTTGGGGTATTTTGGTCATTTTTCAAATCTTTTAATGGCCAGCTAACAGATAATTAGACGAAAAGATATATTATTTACATTTTAATATTAGAATGTATGTTTGTGCAAAAAATTTAATAGAGGAGTACGTTTGTTAATTTGTAATAATAGAGGGGGACAATATGCTATTAACCCTAAATTATATTTAAAAGATTTGGCTATTAATTATTTTCTTTCACAAAATAAAAGGTTTGTATATTATTTTACACAAGATAAAATGTTTGGCTATTAAACCGTTTTGGTTTTATATTTTTGCTCACATGCCAAAATATACTAAGTCCTAAGAAAGGTCATACCAAGAGATAATGGAAATGCCCCGTGGCCACGAGGACGCATGCCCAAAAATATATTAAGTCTTGAGAAGGAACATATTATGAGATCATTCATATCATAATTCACAATCACGCGACCACGAGCGAGGCAACCATGTGGTCATGAGAAGAGGTCAAGCAGCCGCGAGCGAGGCTGTCATGTGATTGCGAGTGAGACAAACATGTGTGCTACCAAGAGGACCATGGTCGCATCATGAGACGACCACAAGCCCTTCACTAGGATGGCACGACAGAGGAGAGAAGCAAGCTGCATTATGAGATCCATGACAGTTTCAAGACCTCGACAGTTGAGGGAGCAATAACCACTCACCCCCATATTAGAAGACAAGTCATCCAAACGAGGAAGAGATGAGCGGTTCTTTTTGGTAGTTATCAAGTGGAAAGTTCTCTATGATGGTTAGTGGTTACCATCCAATTCTTGGCAAGGATTCTCAAAACAACACAACTTATGACAATGTTAAGTTTTATCATCTTATTCTTTTCTATAAGCAGTCGTGGTTTGGATCTCTTGTTGAACCTGCATGATAGTAGAAGTAATTTAATGTACTATGTTCCCAAAAAATCATAAATTAAACAACCTTATTTTAATTATGTTCAAAGAGGCGTGAACTATGTTTTAGTAATTGTTGCCCAAGGAAGTCAAAGTGGTTTTGAGTAAAATCAACATGAGTTTCGCACTGTAAAACACCATGATCGGTACTTGTCGAATCGTTGAGATCAAATTATATTTTGACTAACACAATGGATTTTGTAATGTCAAAACTACATTCCTAATAGAAGGACTTAGGGATCGTTTGGGTTGATCAATTGGAAAAGAGAAAAATACGTCGATTGTTTCATTTTACAAAATGAGTCATTTAAAACGAGTTTATTTGGATTATCTGCCTCATTCCGAAAAAATTAATTGACTCAAAACGAGTCAATTCGTATTCCCTCATCCAAATTACTTCATCAAAATTTTATACAGCCAAACGGGTCAATTTCACCAATTGTCCCAAAAAGACAACTGCTTTCTATTAAAGTCCGTTGTGTCGATGTGCGGGATAGTCGTGTGGGGACTATTTTGGAAGAGATTGTGCAGATTTTTGGGTTGAACTCGGGCTTCAGTGTGCGATTTGTAGGTCGGTAGGGATGACAATGGCTCAGGTTGGGCGCGGATAGTGCATATCTGTTGACTGTTATCCTATCCAAAGTAGTTCGGGTTTTACCCATACCCATACCCACATAAGAAACTAGTTGAAAATCAAAACCATGTCCATACCCGTTCGGGTTTCGGTTATCTACGGTTATCCATGGATAATAATTTCTCTTTATAACTCCAACCAATATGTTAACATTCACACGTAGTCTCACATTACATAAGAGGAAAAGTACGAAATAATTCACTATAATGAAGAGAATAGGGTAGCTCATTTGGTAACTAGACAGGTCCTATCTTTGTTCTAATCTACGTGTCGTTATTTTGATTTTCAGACCTGGCTGGTTTCGAGGATGTAACTATCTATTTGTTCCAATCAATATAAGATTATTTTTTGTAAATAAATAAAAAATTCTATCAATCCGTTAGAATTCTCAATCAAACCACCCTTAGAATCTAATAGTGTTTTTGGACTCGCAACAAACTAAATCAAGATTATCAATCAACCATTATCCCACTTTAACCACAAACACAATCTACGCACATTAAAAGCAATGACGGTAGTCTCACTCCCACGGCGGCGGATCCTCGACGGCCATTACCTCATTCATTGCATTAAACTCTGGAGCAACTTCACCGTTCTCTGTCGTCCAAAAAAAAAAAGAGCTTCAGCACTCCCCACACCTCCGCCGCAAGATCCGGCCGGCTCTGCCGGTTCAACTCGCAACACCTCAGCGCCATCTTCGCCAGCTCTTCCGCTCGCCGCAGCGGCCATTCCCCGGCCGACGGATCCAGAATCTCTTCCAGGTGCCCGTCGCTCAACGCGCACTGCACCTCCGTCGGCAACCCGACCGCCGGCCTCCCCGTCAGCAGCCGCAGCAGAATCACCCCAAACGAGTACACATCAGACTTCGCCGTCAGCTTCCCGGTGCCGAAAAACTCCGGATCTATGTACGCCAGGGTCCCCTTCGGGTCGGTCCGCCAGAACACGGTCCGATTCGCGCTCGAACCTTCCCTGTTGTGTAGCCAGCGAGCGATCCCGAAGTCGCTCAGCTTGCTGACGAAATTGGCGTCCAGGAGGATGTTGGACGGCTTGACGTCGCCGTGGACTATGCTCTGCGGTTTGCAGGAGTGGAGGAAGATCAGGACGGAGCAGATCTCGGCGGCGATTCGGAGCCGGATTCGCCACGGCAGCGCAGTCGAATCGCCCTTTCGGTTCAACCGGTCTTCCAGGCTTCCGTTGGGTAAGTACTCGTAAATCAGAGCATACGATTCAGGGCAGGCTCCGATCAGAGTCACCAGATTTGGGTGCCTCATTTTGCTCAGGATATCCACCTACGCATTTTTCGTTACATAAAAATTCAATCCCTTGCTAACCCATTGAAAATTCAATCTCTACTCTGAAATTTCACCCAAATTACCTCCTTGTGAAACTCGGCGGGGCCCTGCAAGCCATTTGGGTCGAGCAACTTGATGGCGACCTGGGTGTATCGGAGCTCGGCTTTGTAAATCTTGCCGAATCCGCCTTCTCCGATCTTGACCGAATCGGAAAAGTTGTTGGTGGCTTCTTCGATTTCCGATTCGGTGAACAGAGGCGACAATTGGGTCGTGGGTGGTGGTTCTGCTGCCGAAGTGGAAGCCTGCTCTGCTCTGGCTCTCTTCAGCTCCTCTGCCTCCTTTGTCACGTTATCATGCTCGATCTGCAATTCGTCTCGCTCTTGCTTGTAATGCTTCATAAGTTCCACAGCGGAGATGATCTTCTGCTCCAGCTCTTTCACCATTTGATAGTAATCCGCCATTTGTCTGTCGAGCCTGTTCTTCTGTTCCAAGGCAACCCGAAGTTCCTCCTTCTCTTTTGAGAGGATAGCCTCTGTTTCCTTCCTCCGCTTCAACTCCTCCGAAAGCAGGTTCTCCAGTGCTTTGGCCTGTAAATTGCAAGGTTTCAATTGGTAAGTGAAGGTTGCTTTAGCTTCTAGTTAATTAATCCGGATAGCATTGTAAATCACGCTTTAAAAGTTAAAAGGTTACGTTTTTTAGATTTTAGTTCACCAAAAGGCGATTTTCCGAAATTACCGTTTCTATGGCTTCGGAAGCAACTTTTTCGGCGTTGGCTCGTCGGACGGCTTCATCCAGGGCATCTCTCTTCAAGCTGATGAATTCCTCGAACGCTTCTTTCTCAGCCTTGGCTCGTCTCACTGCGTCGTCCAGCGATTCCCGCCGCGAATTCCCTGATGACAACGTCGACGGATCTCCCACGGCTCGCTTCAGATGGTCACCACCAATCGGTTCATCGTGTTTGGAAATGGAATCCGAGTTCATCAGCTCCATTCCCACCGGCGCTAGGAACCTGGAGAAATTACTATTCGCACCCACGCTGCCGACGGCGATCCCGCCGGAGGAAGACAGCGACAGGACGGAGCTCCGAGGGCTCCTCGACTCGCTCCCGTTGAATTCGGCCGACGTGTCTCGCGGAGTCGATGGATTGCCGTCGTTTTCGTCCGTGATCGTCGTAGTGGAACACGATACTCTGCCGCCTCCACCACCACCACCGTAGCAGCCACCGTTCACCTCGGAGAGCGAGTCTTGTGGTGCGGTGGCCAGCTGTAGCAATCCGCTCCGCCGGTGAACGGCCGACCGAGATCTGAATAGCGTGGTCGGCTGTTCTTGCTGGAAATTGAAGTCGGGCTGGTCGACGAAAGACCTCACGTAATTACCCACATCGGAAATTCCTTCCCTGATACCCACATCAAATGGTTATTGCCGTCAGAAATTATCAATCATGGAAAAATCAAACACATTTCATTCATACAGCCATTTTCACAAATTACACATGCGATTGTTCATATGGCAAACCCAGCTAGCTTGTACCTTATGTTGATCAGGCGGCTTTTGCAGACAAAGCAAATTTGGCAAAGCGCAGGAGCCTGGAGACGCACGGATATCGCCTTCCTCGACTTGACCTCCATCATGTTCCTGCAATTTTTTGTTCAATTTTCCAAACGGGTAAGAATTTCTGCTTACTCTGTTTTTCAGAATGTAGAAAAACATACTCTTACCTTGAATATCTACTATCAGATGCTGCTCCCATAACAAGGTTTCTAACACCATAGCTAGAAATGATCTCCAGAATCCCTTTCGCTATCGAATCGTTCTCGACCATCAATTTCTCAGCTCGAAACTGCAACGCATCAGCAATTGTGGGGAACATTAGTATCACATCATGAAACTGTTGCAGGGGAACATAAAGCCATTGTGACAGCATAACAACTTACCCCCATTTTCTGACATATTGAGATGTAGTCATCCAGAATCTTATGAGCAGCACTCCTTTCCTTCTCGTGGCGCTTCCGGGTTTCCGCCTCTTGAATCCCACCAACTGCATAATTATGATAAAATCTCAGCAAAAGGATGTGAAGATCGAGCGAGGGCTTTTCTTACTTCTGTCCGGTATTCGACTTACAGAGAGGGAGCTTGTTGGATGGTTGGTGAACGAGGATGATGCAAATCTTCTTTCCGGCGGAGTTGTTCTGCAGAGTCCATGTCAGCACCGACTTGCTCTCCTTCACGATCTTACCAACTGCTACATACACCTTCTCATCGGCTTCGATGGCCGCCGGCCGCCGCCGCCGAGTTGCAGCTTCCTCGCGGGCTAGTGATTTGCTTGACATGGTTTTGAGATTCCAATTCAGCTGAAAATGTTGTATGATCTGTCTGCATAATCGGAACATTCTCTGCCTTCAAATACGGCTGGAAGAAGACTTTGGTTAGTTGACTTTGGAAAACTGCCGCCATTAAACTAAAGAATAGAGGACTGGTAATTGGCGCGGGAATGAGGTGGTTGCGGGAAGTCTCCGCCGAGTAGGTATTTCTTCGTTGTACTTTCATTGCATCATCTAGCCATGTACTGAGCAACTAACTTTGGAGGAATCTCTTATCTATGTGTTGAGTGATATTGATAATGGAAACTGTAGGAGAATTTTTCTGATGGATAACCGCGTATGGTTTTTTATTTGGGAAGAGGTCAGTTCCTCCTATCTTGTGAATTTGATAGCCCCTCTCGGCGACCTTGCAGCGGGTCGACTCGACGGGTGTGTAGCCCGTTGTTCTCATCGGGTCAGGATCAAAACAGGCCAACCAGCAGGTCACCCGTGAGTTGACAACCTTGGGCAAGACCTTCCAAATCTGAATAGATACACTTTCACCTGGTCTGATAGTGTATTGTCTGATCTCCACACTTCACCTGGTCTCTTGAATCGTCACATTGGCTAGTTAATAGATAATAGAAATCCTTTACCAGAATGCACGCAAGGCCTCGCCCACCTGAAATCCTTTACCAATATTAATACCTTTAGTTCCTACATTCTCATAGGCTTCCCACCAGGCAGCCAAGGTCAAGAGTCAGAGTAGAGGGAGCAGATCAAGAACCAATGTTATGACAATCCACGCCCAGAATAGACCCAACAGGAAACTTACGCTACATGTATACAAAAAAAAAAAAAAAAATGCGAAGGCAGATAATTTGATTTGATACAACAAACACTGCAATGAGAATGCCAACCGTTCATTCTCGGAAAGCAAGCAAGCAAAACATCCAAGGAGCAACAAAACAACCACACGCTTATGTCAGTCTTTTAATGTTATAACTTGAACTTGGACACTTCATCCATTTTGGAGTTACAAGCCACAGAGTAAACCCTAATCGGCAGTCCAGCTCTGCTCAACAATCTCCCGCACTCTTCGATTGTACTCGCGCTTGTTCTCGCTGAACATCCTTGCGGCTTCTGAATTTGCTGGCGAGTTTGGGTTTGGATCGCAAAGCAAAGACTGCATGCAAGATAATAAAGCTTGTCAGAAGTGAAAGCCAAATAAAATTAAGTATATCATGAATGAATAACTAAAGAACCCCATGCTTAGCACGAAAACGTGAAGCTTTTATGGAGCAATCACACTTGATTTGAGTAAGGAACACCACCCAAGTGATGGGCTGGAGTCAGAAAGAGTGAAACTTGAGAATGGAGCTAGTCTACTTTAGTAGGAAGACGGACATGCCAGTTGAGCAATCTAGTGAGCAAATAGAGCATATCGATGCTGATTAATTCCACTCGTCCTTAACATAACAAAGACAATTAACTATGAAAAAACTGTCTAATTCTCCACATTTCAAGACAACCCACAGCAAATTGAGCTCTCTCAGTAACAAAGAAAGCTGTAAGATGCGATTCAGATGCATGTACCCTCTACTCATATCAAATGACTCAGACACAAACTAAGAGTTGTCACTTGAAAGCTTCTGTTTAGCAACTCCATCTCAAGGTAAACACAAAAGGAACTATAACTGCACTTCGGAAGTTAATTAATCACCTGGATTGATGTGAGTATTGCAGCGACATCATAAATAGGACTCCACTGATTTTGTAGGATGTCCAAGCAAATGCTCCCATCTGCATAGACTGATGTAAAGGGGTAACAGAGAATCAGAAACCTTTGTCAATTTGTCATCTCATTCTTGGGGACATTAGGTATAATAAAGATACATAAGAACTACAGCTACCAGCTAGAGAGAAAATCTAACTTACTATTTGGATGGAACATTCTGGAGACAAACCGCACTGTTGGCGGCTTGTTTGGATAATCCTCAGTGAACTGAAGTGTCAACTTAAACGTACCTGGAGGTTAAAGCAAATACATGTTCACGAGGAAGTTAACTCATACGGAAACTCCAAATAACCAACATTGAGCAAATCACCAAAGCACAACTGTAGAGACATAGTAGATCCCGTCACATTTAGAGAATACATATCACAATATACTTAAATAGCAACCACCTATCTATCACAAATGTCCTTTTACTTCAAAAGCAAGAAAGTAGTTATGGACTGAACTTTACCTCCATCCCATGGGGTGTCATCCGGCCTGCGAGAATGAAATAAATAGAGTAAGGGGCTCGAAAATATGAAAACTAGCAGGTAAAATGTGTTCACAAGGAACAAAACCAAACACCCACATTTCCCCTGAAACTCAGACTCCATTTACCAACTGCAAAGCAGAGAGAAGCACACAACCAAGTTGATTGCTCTATCCACTTACCCAAATATGACAGCATTCCATAGTAGTATATTATTATCTTGGGGAGCACCGCTAATACCAGCAGGAGGGTCCTGCTGCAGCCTCTTGAAGTCCCTCATCAATCTCTTCCTCGAAGGAGTCGTCATCCTAACCAGCCACAAACACCAGCAAGCTGTCAGTAAGCAAGACTGCCTCCTCCATCTCACTTCTCACCGGAATTAAGCACTACCCAGTAAGCAAAATTTCGCATTCTATCACCCCAGTTATCCAACATAGCATACAACGTAATGTTCACCCACACGCTATCCATCCACAGGGTTCACAAAAACAACACGAACCACCAATTTGCAGACCATCGGAAGCAACAATGACAAAGCGGAAACGGAATAGTAACAGAAACCCTAGATCCACAGCTAAAGACTATCGCATCAATCCAGCAAAGACACGTGAATTCAGAAGTCTCCACACCTTGACAAATTTCAAACAATCAACTAGCGAGGGGATCCTTCATGGCCAGAGCCCTAGACCCTAAACGCACATGCTTGAAATCAAAGCAAAAGTAGGAAATTTAAGCAAGCACTCAGCTCACCAATTACGACAGGAGGCCGGCCGATTAGCTTCGATTTGTTGTCCTTTCTTCCCCAAAAAGAACGGCTTGTGTGCTGAATTTCAGGGGAAAACAAACAGGGTGAATGAAGCTAACAGGATGATCGGGTATCAGAGAGAAGGATCCATGAGGATTGAAACCGAAGTCGAGGCAGGAGCGGAAACGTAAAATCGGCGGTGGCTGGATGGCTGGCTCTTAGCTCGGGTCAGCGATCTCTATCTCAGCTCGACCCCTCGCTATTAAGAAATTCTGATATTTGTTCCTTCTTCCTTGCTTTTTTTTTTAATGGTCTATTTCGTTTTTCTTTTCCAATTCGGTCATTCGGGCATCTTTTTTTGTTTTTTATTTTAAATTTTATGAATTTTGGTGCGTCTAATGGCCGCACTCCGCCGAGCATTATAGGGGACCAGATCATGTCAGTAATTGATGGGTCAGTAACCCCTTCCTTTGTCTACACGTGTCAGTCCTTTTTTTTATTTAAATTAAATGTGAAAGGACAGTATAGTAAAATTGTCTTTACCCCTATTTATTGCCAATCCTGACTTTTGACCAGACCACGTCAGCGCCTCCTCTCTCCTCGAAAAACCTTTAATTTTCATTCTCTTAATCTTTAACAGATGATTTCTCACTCATTTTAAGTCAGAATTTAATTTTTTTTGCACAATTAGATCAGATTAATTGTGCTCTTCAAAATGATATCCACTTTGATATTTTTTTGACATAAAAAAATTTGCCAGTTATTACCAGTCATACCATATGGTATTGACTGGTATTAAATAAGATCATACCGTTACCACCCAATACCATATGGTATAGTGTGGTAATATCAATATATATATTTCGTTACCACCCAATACCATATGGTATAGTGTGATAATATCAATATATATTTCGTTACCACCCAATACCATATGGTATAGTGTGGTAATATCAATATATATTTCGTTACCACCCAATACCATGTGGTATAGTTTGGTAATATCAATATATACTTCGTTACCACATAATACTATATGGTATAGTGTGGTAATATCACACAATACCATACAATACCATATGGTATAGTGTGGTAATTTCAATATATAATTCGTTACCACACAATACCATACATTACCATATGGTATAATGTGGTAATGTCAATATATATTTCATTACCACCGAATACCATATAGTATAGAGTTATAATATCAATATATATTATCTAAAAGAAAAAAACAGAAGGAGGTAGAGAGAAAAAAAAAGCGTCTTCTGTAGTCTCTCATTTCCTCTTTCGCAATCAAGAACACCAAAATGCCGAAAAATGAGAAAGATCGAAATTGAGGCCAACGAGATGATGAAGAGAAGAAATGCAATGAAAGAGAGTGGTTGCAATTTTTATTCGTCCTAGAGAATAAATATAAAGAAGAAGAGAAGGGAGCAGATTTAGATCTCAAAAGGAGTTTGAGAGAAAAAAAAGGAAGAGAGAGGATCTGGAAAAGAGATTGGGAGAGAAAAGGGAAGAGAGAAGGAAGAGAGAAAGATAAATGAGAGTTGCAGAGAAATAATGGTTTCTCTTTCCTTCTTTGAAAATGCAGTCATTTAATACGAAATAAAATAAAATAAAGAATTTAATATATAAACGGACAAAAATACCCTTCTCCACTTAGCATCCGGCCCAACCACACGATTGCCTGCCTCCTAGATCTACGGTCACTATTTATTACTGACCTGTCAGTAACCAAGTGGTTACTGAACCTATCTCCTGCCGCATTACAGTGCGTTTGATGTACTAAAGTGGCTTCTGGAATTTTCCGTGATTGAGATTTGAGAATGCTGAATGCCAATTAGGAAACACAGCCACCGTTATTATTTCTGGAACGGCGCCGTTTCTACTTGGAATTGTCTCTCCTTCTTTCCTTCCAAAATCGCACCTTTACCTCTTGCATTTTGTTAACTTAGTGGGATTTTTTCCAGAAATGTAACTATAAATTTGTTTTACAAAAATACCATCCAGTTTAGAAAATTTCTAAAAATACCACATTTTCTCAAAAATCATCACCTAATCCAGTAGTTTATACGAAAATTGCTAGGTGGGGGCGCGATTTCGATGAAAACCGCATGGATAGGTGGCGGTTTTGATGACCGCTTGAAATCGGGGCGGTTTGGTGCAAAACCGTTGCCCCATCCAGCGGTTTGGCCATATTTTTTTTTATCAATCCTAACCTAGGTAGAAACTTCAAACGGACGTTTATTTGTGCTCGGTAATCCGATCGTAGCGATTTGTTTTTTATTCTGCAAGTTATGGTTTTTGTCGAGGAGTGGTTGTCTTTGTCTAGAAGTATATTTTTACTTTTTGTTAAGGAGGAGAGAAATAATTAAAATTTAAATTTTCAAAAATATCAAACACGCATCTTGTTGCTTCTCACGGTCTGATTTAACTTAAAAGCAAACAACGGTGATAAAAATGGTTAGGATGGTGCTGTGCTGAGAGTTAGCACTCTAACTCCGAGAATCCCTCTCCCTCGACTCTCTGCTTCGTTCCGCCGGGCTTCCCGCCAACCGGTTTACTTCCCCTCCTCTTTTCACAGAATGCGTCTACTTTGATTCCCCTCTCCAGGGCCAAATCCTTCACACGTAGCTCCTCAAATCCGGCTTTCACCTCCACACCCACTCGTCCACCTCCCTGACTAACATGTAAATGAAGCTACATTTGCCGCACGACGCAGGCAAAGTGTTCGCTGAAATGCCTCGCCGAAACTTGACCTCGCAGAATGCCGCTAACTCGGGTTTGGCGAACACCGGTCTTCGCAAAAAGGCTTTTTCGTTGTTCCGAGAGGTGGGTTTATTTGGGTTCAGGCCTAATCAGTTACCGTGTCGAGTGTTCTGACTGCTTGCTAGTTGCTACAGTGCGGCGTTGTGCCCGCAGGTGCATAGCTGGGCGGTCAAGTTGGCCTGGAACTCAATGATTTCCAGTCTGATGTTAAATGGTTAAAACCGACACGCCTGCTAAATCGTCTGGACTATTAGAATCCGAAGGATTGTAACCTGATTCAGTAACATGAAATTCCATGATCAGCGGGTTGGATAAGGCTAGTGAAGCTGTTCACTTCTTCAGGAAGACGCAATCTTCTGGTACCAACCTCAGTTTGAAGTCTGTTACCAGTCTACTGCCAGCTTGTGCATCTCTATCCTCCATGCAGCATGGGAAAGAGATTCACGGGCATGCTGATGAATTTATGGCGACTGCACTGATTGACCTGTATATGAAATGCGGCAGTGTTTCTTGGGCAAGTAAGACCTTTGATTGATTTGACCTGAAGCCTATTGATCCAGCATTTTGGAATGTCATGATATCAGGGTAGGGAGCAAATGGGGAGAAACTCGGGATTCAAGTTTTGTAATTTGTATCAGATGCTGAGGGAGAAGGTGAAGCCGAATTCAGGTACTTTTACTTCTATTATGTCACTGTGCAGTCACACTGGTCAAGTTGGCAAAGGAAGGAAGGTTTCCAAGAGCATGACTAAATACTAATGAATATGGCTTGATTTCCAAACCAGAGCATTTTGGTTGCATGATCGACCTTCTGGGTAGAAATGGGATGATGGATGAAGCTAGGAATCTAATGGAGAGTGTACCAGAGCCACACTGGTCAAGTTGACAAAGGATGGTAGGTTTTTAAGAGCATGACTAATAAATATGGTAGGAATCCAATGGAGATTGTACCAGAGCAATCTACTTCAGTATTTGCCTCGTTGCTTACTGCTTCTAGGCACCACTTGCATTTCGACTTGGGAGAACAAGTGGCTATGAAGCTAACAGAGTTGGACCCATATCCAACTCCTTTTGTCTATATACGCTGGTGTTGGAAGGTAAACTGATGCAGAAAGAATCAGAATGATGTTAAACGACAGAAGACAGAAAAAAATTCCCGTATATAGTTTGATGGGAGTCGGATAACGGGATAAGAATGAGAAATACATACACATGCCAATTCACAACATTGCCGGGACTCTACTTTCAGCTTCAACAAACCTACTGCTTATATAAATTCTATCACCAAGGAATGACACAGATAATAAGGTATGGGAGTTAGCACGATGTGCTCTCGGGTAAGATTCCGACGACCTACCGCGCTTTCAGAAAACCCCCATGGCGAGTTTGACAGCAGATGCATTACTTTTCGAGAACTTCTTTGATTGAAGTGTCGAAGTAGACATCGAAAAGGTTTGGCGGCTCGTAAATGAAGCAAGATATCACATCTCGAAGTGTTATCACACCAACAACTCCTTCGTCTTGGTTATCCACAACATAGATCCTGTGGACTGATTTTGAAGCAAGATGGTGGATCACACTGCCGAGAGTGGCATCTGATCTGCATGTTATGGGCGGCATTACTTTGCCATTCTCGTGACTTGAGATCGTCATCATGAAATCCTTTACAGTAAGCTGCCTGGAATAGTTTCAGTAAAGCGGAGATATCAGCAAATGAATGAACCATAGTAAGCGAAATTCCAAGTTTGTCACGCAGTATTATCCTTGATAAACCAACCTGAAATTGGTGAATAGTTCACGTTTCAGCAGCAAGAATCGGATGTCCCTTATGCTTATATTTCCAACGATCTTCCTTTTCGGCCCTTCCACCACCGGAAGACCGCCAATTTCATCATCCCTCATCAGCTTGAAAGCTTCCAGAATCAATTCGTCACTCTGTATGCAGATAACCTGGCCAGGAAGATAACCATACATTTCCATTATTGAAGACTGATGAATAATTTTCCAGGTGGAAGAAGAAATGCTTTATTTGAACTAGCCTTCACCTTGTCCGGAGACATGAAAGGGAGTCCCAGATCCGAAAGGGGACATGCCGCTATGCAATCAAACCAGTCCCTTCCTTTGCATTCCTCCAGGCCCTGCACTACTGCAGATTGTGTGATGAAGTTCTTAACTTCTGGCTTCCCAGGTTCAATTACAGGTACATTTCTCAGCCTATACTTTGAGAGTAAAAGCAAGACACTCAACATTGAACCGTCTGTAGCAACTGGGAGGAATGGAGCCCACCGGTATGAATTTAGGATGGTTTTCACCTGAATATAACACCCACATCCCAACCACGCAACAAGCAAGCATCAGTTAACGGCAGCCTGTTTGAAACAACCTTTGCATGGTTTACAGGTAGGCTCAAAACCACCTTTGCATGGTTCCCAGAAACAAAGGGTAATGAATTTCACTGGAACACAATGATGCTATAGTAATTGGCTTACAGTGGTAGATCTGAAGGGTTCTTCTTCAAGGATAACTTTGTAGAAGTCATTCCCTAAGCTGTCAACTGCTGTAGGGGCATCTTTCCCCACGCCTCTATCGGCCACCACACCACCAGCCACAGCTGCACCTACAGCTGCTGCAGTCAAGCCAGCAATGGCAGCGGGACCGGTCACCCCCAATGCTACTGCTCCAATGGCGCCAACAGCTCCAGCTCCTATGCCAGCAGCGGTGGCGGTGCTGGCTGAGATAGCTACCGCCGCAAGTTCTGCACTCTCCAGCACCCACAGAATGATTGCTGCATAGTCTATGATGCCAAGGTACCTTTCTTTCCAGTCAGGACTGTCCCCTGCGCCTGGGTTCCTAACCGGTGCACTCATGATGTTGCATTCCGATAGAACCTTGACCGCATGGCAGACCGTTGTGTCTGCGTCTATTTCAATGACTTAGGAAAAGAAAAGTATACATGTCAAACCTGCGCAGAGCATAGAAAGAAGCAAGTGAGAAAGTTCTAAGTTGCAGCTACCTTTGCCGCCGGGAACTTTTGGGAAGGAAGAAGCCGGGATCCTAGCAAATGCATCAGTCAGAGTCTCCTGCAAAGAATGTGGTAGTTTCTTCCTGGACTGAATCGTCTCGAAATATGCATCGTAGCGATCGAGTTTGGAAGAGCTGTCTTTGCCATCTTTTGGTTCTGCCATGTTTGTTCCTAGGAAAAGACAGCGAGCAGAAACCAGAATTCAGTTGCTTCTTTCTTATCCAATTCATTCATTCATTCTCTTCCTAACAGGGCAATTGGGTATTATCCTCTTCATCCACAGATGATTCCTCTTTTGATCTAATAAAAATGCAATTCATTGCTTGTTACTCGGGATCGAAAGAACATGATTGATTCGCTTCAGACGTTCCCCATCAATAGATTGGATATGAATCTACACATTCATATAACAGGCAAGCTTTCTGATGATGGAAAAAAGAACATCACTTTCATTCAGGATGTGATATGGGTTCGCTCGGGTGCATTCTTCTTAGATTCACAAAATCGCCATTGATTTTCATGTTTGTTGATTGGGATCCATGTGGTGATTTAGAGAAAACCAGACGATGAAGCGAAATATGTAAAGGAACAAGGCCAACATACCTCGAAAAGTTTGCTTCTTTGGATGTAATTATGAAGGAAGGTGACCTTTCAAAATGAAGTTATTTAGGAAGAACCGGAAGAACTCAAGAAAGGCTATCTTTGATTATTATGTGTGTTTGGGGCGATTGTTGTTGGTGTTCTTTGTGGACGTAGGTTGATTTGTTTGTTTCCGACTCCATTCCATTGTTGCATGTGTTCGGCTTCTGCAACGTGCCTCAGTTTTAGGCCCCGAAAGCAACGTGTCTACACTCTACACAGCCTTTGTTCGATACGCAGCAGCAATTTTAGCTTCCGAAGAAAAAAATTGGATATGGGCTGTTGTGATTGGGCTCAACAGTTTTCTCACAATACAACAGTAACAACATATCGTACTGGGTTCAATTAGAAAATTTTCTATAAGAGTTTAAATGTTGATTAATTTTTAGTAATATGAGATGGTTGAACCACAACTAAACTAAGGATTCAGCATAAAATATTACATCACCTGCTTTTTCGGTACAACCTCCTGTATGAGTATGGGTACACGATCGTTCGCATTTACGAATTCGGACAACAACGATCTTGCAACAAAATTGCTATAGAGTCCATAAATTTCAATCTAATATACATTAGAACGTGAGAAGTTCATATCTTTGCGCTCAAGTATTCAATCGTGACAAACTTATTAACTTTGCATGACTTGTCAAGAACTACAACTTTTATCAAGAGAATAATTTTCATAATATACACTAGGGCTGTCATTTCGGTTGCCAGTTAGCGACTAATCGTTAACCGCCAATTAGCGGCTAACCGGAAAAAAAAAGGTGTCGGTCGATTGTCGGGGGCGGTCAGTGGTTAGGCGGTTAGCCGAAAAACCGACTGTCAGCCCTAATATACTCTGAAAAACATCTCTAAAAGCATCCTCAAAATCCCTAAAATCCAAAATAAATGCTCTCTTTTACTAAATTACTACTTAAGACTTCATACAGTTATTTTACGCTCAATGATCAAGTTGACACAAAAAAAAAACTTCGCATAACTTTTCGAGACGTATACAACTGCAATCTGTAGAATACAGTTTAGTCAACCTTTAACAGAAATACAGAATGGGAGAGATCGACTAGGAAAAAGAGAGTCAAAGAGGCCAAGAAAGAAAATTGAAACTAGTTTGTTAATACTAAATTCTAATTTTGTCTATTTACACCTCGAGTAAGAGCTTACAAGGTTCCCGATTCTGAAAAACAAAGTGCAGTCGCGTACTACTTTGTTAATACCGAATCTACCCCGGGTCACAAAGTGCAGTGGGTTTTAAGTACCTGCCTAGCAAGATCAACTGCTCCACTTTTCATATATATCAAATGTAAATTGTAAGCTGCCTCCCTTCTCAGGTCGCGGTATCCTCCTGCTGCAGCTTCCTCAACAGTAGTGTTGTTGCTGCTGCCTTCTTCCACATCCTCCTCGTTCCGATGCTTGGGAATTGGATAATCCTTCTCGGACATGGAGAGAACCTTTTCATAGTACGCGACTGCCAGAGTCGACATCCCAACTTGCTGATATCCCCTGGCAATGTTATAGAGCGCCTCCTGGCTTTTCCCCCCGGTAAGGTGAAGATTGTTGTGTAGGAATGCCAGGCCCTGTGCAACGCATTGGTGCTTGTTCTGAAGCCTGAACCCGAGTGCCAAGTTGATCAATGCAGTTCCTGAAAAGCAGAAAGAGTTCCATTCAACAGATTGGAGGCAATGCAAGTTGATGACAGAGGGGCAAACCCTAACCAAATCTAACCAGTAAATATCAACATAAATCGAAATCCATCTAACCCGAAATTTGTTTGATCCCCAACGGATTGGTGGATTGGGTCGATGGATTTATGTGAATTACCATTTGGAACTTGAATATATTTGCATTTATATTTTAGATTTTTAGAACCAAGCTTTCATATATATGCACAGAAAGTTTTGCTTCGCAATTACAATTTAATAGCCGAATTGTTTCATTCTTGTATTTTAGTACTTCACCTTCTAATTTTTTTTTACAAAATGGTTAAATTAAGTCCAACATTTTATCAATCAATTCAATCGAGATAACCCACTAATTTCATTTTAAGAGCATGGAGAAATTCATGAACACAATCGACAAATCCAAACACATTTGCCACCTCTATACCAAGTCAAGTAAACTGATGATGCTGAAGAAAAGGCAAGAACTACTTTACCAGCACAGAGATTGACCAGAGGGTTCTCCGGCAATAGTTTATAAGCTTCTAGGTATTCTCTTGAAGCATCCTGATGGAGACTCCCAGCAGTAAATTGATGGCCAGAGATTACAATAGGTGGAACGCAGTCCTTATACTTGGCTCGCATGTACCGCAGGAACTTCCTTGGAAATGTTTTTTCCAATCTGTAGTAAATAGTACCGAAGAGAACGCAACAAAGAGATTAGCTCAAACCCTTTCATGTTTCCAAGCCGATTGGCAGAACTATAGACCTTTGAGCAGGCTTGTTAGTTTTTACCTTGAAGTTATTTTGTAAAAGCAGTTCCAGGCAGCAAAACTGTATGGTCGTTGCTGAACCACTGATTTTACGCAGTCAAGAGAGTGTTTGGGGTCGGCGGTGTAGTAAGATATCTCTGCCAAGAAAAACAAATGAAGATGGATATATATCGGCAAATACGGTTGTTGATCATAGAAGAACGGTGGAATCACTTACGAGCTGCCAGAGACTGAAGCTCCTGTCGCTTTTCAGTAGGTAGTTTGTTTGAAGAAGCCAATTTCCTCGTCAGGCTAATGATTTCCAGTGCTTCCCAGTACCTTTGCAGGGATTGTAAGGCCTTGCACAACTATTGGAGAGTTGCAAGAAAAAGCATACAGTCGATAATCAGACAAATGGTAGCTAATAAGGACTGCAGTTGAAGTACAAGAGAGATAAGTTGTACAAACATCAATAATGAGATTGTGGTGCTCTTCATCCTCCAGTAAATTTGGCAGGGGAGGAGGTTCTCTAACTTCCTGCTCAGTGAGACATTGCATGAAAAAGAAAGCTTTAATAAGTTGGAACAGGTAAGAATGCATGTGAAGTTTTTCATCACAGTTCTATTGCAGAGCCCTTTTTTACCGCAGACTCGTCATCATCAGAAAGATCGCTGTTCCAGTCAATGCCTTCTGCTCTTGCGGCAGCCTTCTGCTCTTCTTTCTTTTTCAACAACCTTCTTGCTCTGGCAGCTTTCAGTCTAGCACAAAGATATCACATCAGTAAACATGTACTGTAAGAAATCTTTACTGGAAAGAGAAAGTACATAGGACGATGATAATAATTTTACATTGATAAGACAAAGAAGCCTGCAGCTCTAGCAAGACGGTCAAGACTCTAATACTCTAATGGAGCGAAGAAGAATCAAAATCCTAAATCAGCATTAACTTAAAAGAAAACCAAATCCAACACAAGTCGAGGAAACAAGTGAAAGCACATTACTGGCCGAGAAATGAAATCAAAAGGGAGAAAAATGAAATCAAATGGACTTATTCTCACAGGACTTGTTTAGGGCAATTTAAGATTCTACAGCGTCCCGCATGAAGAAAACTATGTCTTAAACCAGAAAACTGAAGGCTTAAAACCACAGCCAAGTGAGTGCTCACCGATCTGATCGAGAAGCGAGAGGTCTGACGCCATCAAAAACATCATTGGTTCCCCCAACTTCAAGAATTTTAACTCTCTTACGTAGAATACTTGTTGTCAGCCTTTTCTTTGCCTAAATTGTATCACAAGTCATTAGGCTGCTGAGAGAACATGATTCAATTATCTGTATAACAACTCAGGGAGTGTCTAACTTAACTAACAAAAAGGGTCCTGGTTGGACATTTGTTATCCACAAACACAGTAATTGCACATACAAGCCTATGGCCATTAACAAAACAATTACCTTTTGTGGAAAAGTCTTGCCATAAAGTGAGTCACGAACCAAAGGGAGCAATATATTGACAAATGCCTTAAGCATCCCCTTAGCTCTATATATGTGGCAGAGTTTCAATTGGATTTGGACATTAGAATACCATTGCTTCGGTTTCTCAGGGTTGCAATTAACTGCTGCAACCGAAAGATAAGTGAGAAAGCAAGAGCAGGCAAATTCTCTAATTGGGCTAAATGAATAGGAACTTTACCAGAAGAATTTTCAGGAGGAGATAGCAAAGTAATAGCATCATCTTCTTTAGAATCCTCTAGGAGCAGAGTAGCCAAAGCCAATCTAGCATCAATACTGTCTGAGAGCTTGGGCAAAGCTGAAGGAAGGGCTTGTTAGGAATATAACTTAATTCGACAGCAAAAGCAAACTCCAATTATGTTAAGAATCATTTTAAGAAATTAGAAATAATAATGGTTATGGTTTTCCTATAATTATATTCTCAAACAAAATTATTACACAGCTCTAAGCTAGGCCAAGTATTTTGCATCACATCCAATAAAGATACATTGAATCAAATTTGAAATTATCTCTTCCTTTCCTCAATGTGGAAGAAAAATGAAACAGAAAGGTTTTTCTCACAAGTAAACAAAATGCAAATTTACGACAATACGACATGCATATATTAAGTTCAAGGTTCAATTGCATACGACAGTAAAAATATAGAAGCTTTTTGTCCAAGCTAATGTAGATTAACCAAGGGTTAACAATATAGATCACTGTTCTACTCCATCTAGCACCAGACTTTCCTTCTCCAGTAACTAAGTACTTTATCTTTGAAAAAGAGACCATATTGTTGTTTTCTTGTTGTTGAAACCTTGAAATTCAATCAACATGTACGACAGCAAGACAACCGACAGCCAAGAACCAGATCTATATTAGTTATTTCAAAAGAATTTGATTAGTCATGCAAAACCACAATGAGACTTGTACTTACCTTTGTAGAAATACTTAATTGCCTCCACTCTATTGTTCAAGGATAAGTGACATTGGGCAATTTTGAAATGTATGCAACCGTCCTACCAAATAAAAGTCAACATCAGCAAAATAACAGACGTTTGAACACTGCTCAGAGAGAAAAGTAAACAATGCTTCAAAGCACTCTCACGTTGACATGTTTGCCATTTATATCTAGCATTTGATAATACTTCAACGCAGAGTGGAAATGGCCAAGACTTGTGAAAGCATCAGCAACTTCAGTGATCAGGTCCGAACAAGCAGCAACATTCTCCTTTTGCAAACTACAGAAGAAAGACTAAACCCCACAGGAGAAGCATTAGGGACAAGTAAAACAAAACAAATCCTCTAGTCCTAAAGTAAATCATGTCCTGCGCGCATGTAAAATGAACCACATTTTTAAGCATAATTCTAAATAATGTCCAATGGTTCAATATCAGATTAGCTTATCTAGTAGTCCAAACTGTGTTGGGTTTCCCAAACTCATCTTAGAGAGAGAAACACTTGTATGTCAACCTTCTGTTTTACCTAAATCCTAACAATGTACTTTTACACCAAACAAGAAAAACATTTCTCAAACTACAGTCACTAGATAATATCTTGACTTGAATCTGAATATATATCCCACAATGGTAGAGACAAGGCAAGTCAAACCGTATAAGATTTAGCTCACTATTTATTTTGTAACATCTTCTGCATGGGGGCAGGGTTAAAAAAGGATATAGTACAGTGAATTCAAGGCTTCATACCTCTGCTTTGTCGATATCTCCAAGATGGGCATGGCAAATTCCTGCTTTGATTCTCAAAGGGAAAGGCACTTCCTTTCCCAGATAGTAAACCTGTTGCGCATGCTCAATATGCTTGAGAGCACTATCATAGTTCCTTGTTTCCATCAGTATGGCAACAAGAATATTTATCACACAATAATCAACTTCAGAGGGATGATCCTTCAGATAGCACTCTAAAATACTCACACTTCGCTCCATCTGGCCACATTTGGAGTACAACTGAAAAATAACATTAGTAGGGCCTTGTAAGAATTCTTGTATAGATAGATTTCAGATCTCAAAACGCATTTAATTGCCTTGAATAAATTAGAATACATGCAAAATGGCAAGATAGTAAACAACATTCAGAATATGAAACAGAGGAAATTGATGTAACAAAACACTAGTCCTTCATAAGACCTTAACAAAACAGCTATTAGATCCCCCACTTTTGTTTTCCCAATTCCAACATGGCTCATGAGGCAAGAATTGGTTCTTTCCACTTGGAATGTGAAAGAGCAGGATGGAACAAAAAACAGAGCACCAAAATGAAACAAATTTCTTAAAAAATAAATATAAAAGCAAACCTCAACGGCTGTCATTAGAACTCTCAAGTCATTTGGGCAAATTTGTAGAAGTTGTTCATGTGTCTCGGCAGCTTTCGCATAATTTCCAAGCTCAAAATAAAGATTTGTAAGGCTAGACCTCAAAGAAATATTACTGGGGTCAGCCCGTACAGCTCTAGAAAGGCACATCACCGCACGAGCTAAGTCTCCTTGTTCTCTGCATTTCATTGCCAAAACATGAGACTTCCCATCTTTCTCCCATTTAATTTTCTAGTTGGTTAAGAAAGAGACATACTTGTGCCAGGTAAAAAGAACCTCCCAAAAAGAAGGATCTTTGGGCTTTGTGAGTGCTGCTAGCGTATAAAATCCCCTAGCCTTCTGAGAATTGCCAAGCCTATCATAGATAAGCCCAAGTGTATGATATGCATCAGGTACAACTGGTGCCAGCCTAAGAACCTCTTTTAGAATAGCTATGCCCTGAAACCAAATATTCACGGAACTTCAAAATCATATAACTAAAAGATTAGCCAACTCACAGTCAAAACCAGAACGAACAACAATAAAAAATAAAGGTCTCACATCCCCGCTCCTTCCATGGAGAAGAACACATGGTAACAGCGTTTGAACAAAAGAGATTATGTTCAGCCTCACCCTCCATGCTCTCTTATTTAAAAGAGCTCACTTACTGGGATACAGACCAATGAACATCCACAAAGTTCCTAAGGACAAAATTGAGCTCCAGCCTCCAGTAAATCCAAAATGTTACCTCATCATATCATATTTTCTTATTGCAGCACCAAGCAATAACGAGGATAAAGGGCTAAGATGTACTAGTGGATGGCCAGCCAAGCACTAGAAATTGTGGGGTGGGGGGGATTTTAGGAAAAAAGAAGGAAGGGGTTCATTGGATAGTATACCTCTTCATAACGCCGATGCACATAATGAAGAGTAGCATCAGCAAGCATATTTGAAATTTCTTCGCTAAGTTTATTTTTGGATCCCTTGCGCCTACCATTCTTCTTCCGCTGAGCAAGGTAGATATACAAGAGCAATGAAGAAGTCACATGTCATAGTAATTTCGAAGGACAGCCAACCAGATCATAGGAAGTTGCTTGCCAAAGAAAGAGTGACTATTTAAAATATGGTTCATATTAAAACAAGTGTGTTCACACGTAATCTATCACAATGAGAGAGATTTGCACATCAATGGCTGAAAGAATGTATTCATCAAGGTTGAAATGGATTTTTGTCTCAAACGCATTATAGACAAAACAATGAATCGGTGATCAGCCATGTGTTTGTTTTATCATATTGATAAAACTCTATACTCTGAAGCTTTACTGAGAGCTCCAAAAACCGATGAAACAAAAAAAAAAAAAAAAAAAAGAGTCGACAAAAGGCATACTTTCCGTGACTTCCTCCTCCGCGAACTGCCAAACGTTGCCTCCAAGTCTTCCAAGGTAGCCTCAGGAGCATCCTCTAGCCTAGCCTTCTTTGTGGACCCTTCACTACCTTAATTGAAGCAACTCAAGAATCAAGTTCTGGATATAAGTTCACAACAGCACACTAAATTACCATCTACTAAAGGATCATGAAAAAGGTCTCGGAAATATGTACAAAGAAAGCACTTACCAGCATAGCAAAATTGAAGAACTCTTAACGTTTCAAAAACAATTATGGAGTATATTCCGGGCATAATTAAGCCAATTCTCAGTTGGGCCATTAAGAAGTACACCATTCAGCCAGAAGAAAGGAGTAAATTTCATCTTTCAATATTGTTACTTTAACTAGGGACTCGAACCTCAGTTCAAAACCAACATCAAATAGAGTACTAACCCTTTAGAATCAGCAAGTGCTCGACGCTTCTTCTCTGCTAGAGCTTCATATGCAAGAGACAGGGAATGCTGAAAAAATTCCATACCAGGACCATCACCTTCCATTGAAACCAAGGGTGCGGCTTCCGGTCCTTGCTCTGCCCCTTCCACTTCATTGCCATCCCCATCTCTCTCATCTTCTGCATCGTCGTCTTCGTCATCTTCACCATCTTCCAATGCCAAGTCCAACGCTTTGTCCAATTCATCTTCACCAACCTGCAACGCATACTCCAAATCTTTGTCCAGCTCATCCACTTCACTTCCTTCTCCTAAGAGGCTCCCCATTTGAAGCCGCTCTGTACTTGCAAGAACAAAGCTATTTTTTATGGAGAATTCGAATGGGCGCCAAAGTCAAGTCCTCTTCAGCATTCCCCAGCGGCTGGAACTGTGATGCAGAGCAAGGTTCAAAAAGGCGCTAGACGTAAGTCGAGCGCTTGGTTGCTTACTTGCGCCTAGTCTGATTAAGCGTAGTATAGGTGTGCCTAGGCGTTTAGAGTTAAAATGGAAAAAATCTCAAATATTTTTTGATTTCTAGAATATTTCATATGATCACAAGTTCATATAAATTAGAAACAACTAGTTTTTAATGGTTTAACCTAGCAAATAACAAGCAAGTAGTGACTATTTACTAGAATCGCACGTTTATAAAATGTCAAAAGCAATGGAATGGAGACAATGGTCTCCGTGATGGAATTTCATAAGCTATCCAGACCATAACTAATCAAATAATAGAGATTAGAAGCACTTCACAAGGGGAAAAAAAGACTAACATTGCAATTCCATATGTGCAATTTGTACAAGTAGAATTCTAGAACGATACCGAGTTGCTTAAAGAGATAAACAGCAGCGGAGAACAAAAAATAATCGAGAGTCTAGATCAGAACTAATAACGGCACCTATAGAGCGGCGAGCTTCTCCCTGCGGCGGCGAGCGACGGGCTTCCTCCTGCTGCGGCCGAGCTGTTGGCTTCTTCATGCGGCGGCCAACTGGTGAGCAATAGAAGGATCGATTAGCAGCTACGGCATCCGAGCAGGTGAGAAGGAAGGGCTTCTAGTTCTAAGTTCTAACCTAAAGTCTCTTTTGAGGAGAAGTTCTAACCTAAAGTCGAATGATAGAGAAAGAGGTGATTTTGCTGCGTTAGGATCTGGTACTCTCGCCAAAAGTCCAAAATACAGGGAGGGGAGAACAGCGACCAAAACTAGGAATGGCAACAAAACCCGAACCCACGGGTATTCACCCGACCCAATCCGGTCAACGCGGGTAAAATCCGTGTTGACGGGTTTTGGCCCGGGTTTGGGTTTAAACTCGTTCACTATTCATCGGGTTGGGTTGGGTTTGGGTTTAGGTAAACCCGACCCATGGGTACCCGCCCACACCCATATAATTAATTTTCGCGACATATTTAATATTCTAAACAACTAATCTTATTTATGCTTGTGGCGACATGCCTAATTTTTTCTTTCTAGTTATGTAGTATGAAGTTGATGTTATCGAGTGGAGAGTGAAAAACTTAATTGAAAGGAAGAAGCTTTCAATTAATCATGTTATTTATGGATAATTTGTGATTTGCTTCAATTTTCTTGAGTTTTCTAGATTGGTGTTGAACAATTTGTATAGTTAATTTGTGATTTGCTTGAATTTTCTAGAATGGTGTTTTATATATGGATAATTTGTATTGGGAGATTGATATTTGACTTTAATTTTGATAGGAATTTGTTATTGTGAATTTTTTACGACAAAAACCCGTGGGTACCCATGAACCCGCGGATACCCAGCGGGTTGGGTTGGGTTTGAGTTTTTCAAACCCAGTAGATTTTACCCCGGGTTTTTTTATGGATAAACCCATGGGTTTGGGTTTGGCAAAACCCGACCCAACCCGACCCATTGCCATCCCTAACCAAAACGGAGAATGGAGACAGCGGCCAAAACGCAGAAACGTCAAGTTCTTTGGCCAGCGCCTAGGCCCTCTTCATCTCGCCTAGGCCCCGCTTAATCTAGAATTAGGCGGGATTAAGGTTGTCAAACCAGTTTGACAGGGAATTTGAGGTTTAATGATTTAATCTGATTAAGCCAGTTTTGAAAAAATATATATAACATCATACAACCTCAAATTCTCAATACAACCTAAATTTATATAAATTATCAATCCTCACATTAAAACAATTAATTAAGCAATTTACACAACAAAACATAATCAACTCCATCTATAACTATAACCATTTATGTGGAGATGAAAAAAGTACCATTTGTTAAAAAAAATCATCTATCAACCTGTCGCATTAATTAATCATTATTCACGTGGATAATTACTGAGGAAATTGGAAATAAGAGCTCGTCAAAACACCGTCTCCGTTTGTCGAGTCAGAGTTAATGCTAATACCGTTAAAGAATTGAACGTAAGTGGCTATTAAGTGATATTCTCCAAATTTGGCTATTATTGCCACAAACGCGAAAGTTTTGACTATACAAGTGTATTTTGCCTTTATCAAACGATTTCATATAAACCATGGATACTTAAAAAAACCATTTTATTATATTAAAAATACATTTTATCATTGGAGCAGGGCCTTCAAAATTGATTGAACGGATCCTGTAAATATCCAATCAAGGTTGTCAATCTGTGGGTTAACCCGGACCCGGTCGAGTTAGTGGGTTAAGGGTTAACGGGTCACCCATTTTAGCCCGGAAATATAGGAAAGAGTCATTATATTGTACTTATTATGATAAATTATATCAAATTTCATCTAAAATATGAGTAATAACATATAACATTGCACCAAAGTAACATGTCGTACTTAGATTTAACATATAGTGAAAATTCACACACACACTTATATAACATCAATATTCAAATGTTCAACTAAGGATTCCAAAGATTGGGTTAGGTGAAAAGAAAAATAGGCACATTTCGCAAACCAAAGAAAAAAGGACACAATTTGATCTCCAACCCGATACTTTGTAGCAGTCGACTCGGCGGGTGCGTGTGGCCCGTTTTTCTCAACGGGGCAGAGTCAAACTGGGTAGTCCCGCGAGTTGACCCACGGGTTGACAACCTTGTATCCAATACATATAACAAGAATTAAGTTTTTTGTGCAGTGGCAAGATACTCTTATGCCACCTTGAGTTTGATCCATTATATAAGTATAGATAAAGATTTCATTGTTTTTTATACCAAAACTGTCTCTTGTGAGTTGTGACAGAGGCGAAAAGCCTCTGCCTCCGCCTGTTGTCTCAGCTCTCAGCTGTCCTGTTTGAGGTTGATACGAGTGCGGTTGTATAGGAGGTGAATGCTGGAGAACAACATGAAAGAAGCAAAACAAGGAAATTAAGGAAAGCTGTTTCAGTCTACAATCAACCCTACAAACAAATCATTCCCAACTTGTTTCCGGTCGGGTGGGTCACGACTCTTCCAATATCTGACCTCTAGAGGGTCAGGTCAAACCCCAGCAGCAGCAGCAGCCTAAAAAGTTAAAATATGCTTGAACAGCCACCTAACCTAAAGAGACCAACATTCCACTGTAGCTGCCTGGAAACTCTCTCATTCAACAGTTAGCTTGAAGAAAAGCACTACACACTGCAATACACATAAATCAAGTCCCCACGAAATAGAAAGAACAACGGAAGAAGCAAAATTTTTGTTGACCTTCACCAATGACCAATATGATAACAAGAGGATGATTGCATCCCCAATCGGGAAAAGACTACACGAAAGGGTATATGACATGTCGCAGGTCCCGCAAGTTGTTACTAGAATTGGCTTGACTAGTAAACTACTTGCTCCATTCGTAGTCTGCTCCAAACTTCGGGCTGGCGTTGTTTGGTTTGGTCGAGTCGCCTGGTTTTAGTGAATTTGTGAATGCATGCCAGCCTATCAGGTACGGCAAGATGTACTGCAAAGAAGACAGAGAAAAAAGAATAAGAAACTCTATAATATTTTCGCTAAGAGCAATTCAACAGAGCAATCAATGTCAACCCATCTTCAGTCACGTTGACACCAAGGAATTTGGAAAATGTTGCGATTTTTCTGCATCTTATAACTTCTTCGTGATGCCAGTATGACTAGACAATGTATTAGAGAGGTTCTAGGGCTAAGTAGTGGAGTTTATCGTTGAACAACTGTCGCTTGACCTCCCAGATGGTATATGCTAACTTCTGTAATGTGTTCATTGAAAAGGAGACAAGATAGGAAACCTCATACAGAAATTATGTTCATAGGACCATCTCAAAGAGAGAGAGAGCGAGAGTTTGACGTACATTGAAAGCTGCGACAAGGACAGTGTACTCTGCCCTTGTAACTGGAATGTAAATGCTCTCGTCCATGTTCAAGAGTCTGTTCTGGACACCTATAAGATATCATGAAATGTAACGTCAGGCAACCAAGCTGACTACAATGAAACACAATGAGTTAAGGGAAGAGAAAATTACTTAGGTTAAAGAAGTGGCCTGAACCATCTGGGAGTGGTTCTACCTTCAATACCTTCCTGATCTTACCTTCATCGCTGCAAAGGACCAATTTCAGTTAGATTCTTCAAATCAAGGGTTCTACCATAGTTCAAATTTCAATAGTACCTATGTCAATAAAGTTAATGTCATCATTCAATGTTCTAAATAGTGTCTGAAGAGTTTGGCATTACCTTTTCCCCATATTAGGATCATGGAAAAATTCACAGGAGTCTTTCGCACCGAGACTCACTACAGTTCCAATTTCTGCAACCGACAAGGAAAATACCTAAAGGCATGGAAAATCAAACATCAGTCTAAGAGTGCAAACTGCAAAGGCATGTATAGTCCCAAAGCAAAGAAACTACAGTAGTTTCTCTCAAACAGAAGTAAGAGATCTTATGTTCCAGAAAGACAGAAGTTTGACTAGACTTTGGATTGAAGCACATACAATCATGTAGATATAGCCGACACCTACAAGACCCATAATCACCCTCACTTAAACCTAACTGGAAAGAAGTTCAACTTGTACTTGATATGAATGCATTGCCACAAGTAAAGGGAGCTTTATGAAAAGCAATAAGGCTTTATATTGCTTCCACAGTTTGTAGAATGAAATGTAGATACTGCATTGCTTGTACAAATAAGCAATTTGAAGACAGTACATATCAGAGTCCATTCAATCCCCAGGGATCATATTCATTCCCGTTTCACAAGCTTATAGATCCGAAAACCTGATCATCTAAGTAATCAAATACTCCGTTTAATACTCCCCCAAAACAATTACCTGCTTTCTTCCCCAATCATACTGGCGAACTCCAGCTGCAGGAGCGAATTGCAACAGCACAAAACCTTCCCTGACAAGCTTGAATGCTCCCGACTGGAAATGGCAATATGAAACAGCGCTCAAGGAAAGAAAACACTCCCCATCACAAAAGAATAATACTCTCAGATAGCTAGTTAACTTATACACGATTTAATACTCTTTTCCAGAACAAGCATGAAGCAAAACGCTTACGTCTAGTGCTGTGAATTCCGGTGCTCGAGGCTCCACCGTAAGTGCAGCCTTCCCTTTGTATATCGAATGTCCCACATAAACCCTAGCAGGCGATTCCCCAGCTATAACCCAATGTGAAAAAGAATAAGGAATCAGATATCACAGGATAGCAGGATTAAAGGGTATATTAACCAATGTGCTTGCGCTCATATGACAACTGGCTTTTCTTTTATGTCATGGAAAACAAAGGTAGAAACTTTACCGCTAGCTCGAACCCAATTCAATCTATATAACTTTGTTCGCATATTGAAATGAAATAAGCTCCTACTTTACGATGATATCAAGAAGCAACCCAGTAACAAATACATAAAAGAAAGAACAAAGCAAGCATTGTTTTGATGTACCATTTGAAGCGCCCTGGGACCGCGAAGCAAAAGAACTATTCCCTGAAGTAGTCCCGGAACTGTTGCTGAAGTTCTGCTGGTCGAAATACGACTGGCGGCACTTCACGGCGAGCTTCCCGCCCTTACTGGCTTTTCTAGCGAAAGAAAGGTCGCATCTTTTGGCAGGAATGGGAAAGCTTCCGTGAGACTGTGATGAGGAGAGAGAATGCTGAGGGGGAATTTTAGGGTTTTGGGTACTCAATTGAGAAGGAGCTAGCGAGTTCAGCTGCAACATTTTTGCCTCCGCCACTGTTACTCCTTCCTCTGCCCGACTCCGTCTCTATCCCTTCCAGAGGACCGGGCTATCTTACTCCATTCTTGTATAAGCCACCAGAACGCAGGTTCCCCATGTCGTTTCCAACCTATGATTACGTGGAAGCCTACGTGGTAAATCCTTAGACACGTGTAAACGGGTTTATCTGAACAGCAAAATGCAAGGTGCAGCGGGATGAGATCGGTTCAACTTCGTCACTCTGTCTAAAGTCTAAACTAATCATAATTATGCAGTAAATTTAAATTAATATTTAGAGTTCTCATTAATGAGAGTTTTTAATGTGTGCTTGAAAACTGAGAGTTTTTTTTTTCACCCAGCCCCAAGTCCCAACCGTCGCCAGAGCCCGGACCTAGAGAGAAAATCACTGCGGCAAAGAGAGTGCTTTGTATTACAAAATCAGGGTTCAAGAAGGCATACTTCCGCGTATACCTAGACATTGGATAGTGAAAAAAACGTCGCGCCTATGTCCTAGGTGGACAATTAGGCGCTCGTAACGTCTAAGCGATGCTTAGGCAAAACTAAACACGATTTATTGATGTGAGGTATGATTAATCAAAGTGAAGCGTGTTGCACTAGTAGACCAAAGACTAAAGAGAAAGTTTTGTTGCTAATCTTCCCAAAACGACGATAGCTCTTGCTGCCCTATATTCAATGCATCCTTGATCCTTCACTCATTCCTCGATTTGAAATTGCAATTCTCGATCTGTGTTGTGCCTCATCCGACCAATTGTCAAATACAAGAGAGTGGGTGGGGACTGCAGGTCCCAATTATGACGCCATTCGCCAAGCTATGAGCTTACAGCACTCGTGGATTTCAACTGATCGAAGCTTGGAGGCCAGAACCCCTACAGGAAAAAGATTCAGGCTCCGGACAGTCGGCTAATTTCAGTAGCACAAGAGAAGGGATCAGTGAGCGCATCCTCTCAGCGTGTTGGCTTCAGCTTCAAGCAACTATGCAACAGCACTTGTGCCAATTCCAGGGCAAGCAACCCACTCCTTGGAAACGAAGACAGTTGGAAACTTCCAAGGAGTCTGACGACAGAACTGGCATCCCTGCAAATTGTACTGCCTGCAGCTTCCGAAAGGGACTCTAGACTATCACAGTAACGGATGGAGAACGTCCTTAGTTTGCGAAACGAATGCAGTGGAACGATCGTGCGTGAGCGAGTTGGACTCACAAAGTGTGCAGGCATATCCGAGCTGATCGAAAGACTATAAATGTGGACGATCGTCTTCCCACCTAGTAACAATTTCGTAGACCGACAGTCTTGCTATACTGAGGCTCTCTATTCTCCCACTTATGGATATGCTACATTACGCCACACAAGTTGTCTTAACCTATTTGTATACTAAATACGCTTTGGCTAGAATGCAAAATGATACTCTTGTGTAGTAGATGCACTAGGATGACTCCCAGATCTTGTAATCCCTTCCCTCGAGAGCAGGTGACCATTTCCGTGGGCCATTAGGGGGTTCGAAATGGCCAGGACCAATCTTCACTGCCACTTTCTCGTCGATGATGGCTGCGTACACATCTCTTGCTGCCTTCGAAATTTGTACCTAAAATATGCAAAAGCCAAAGCGGTCAGTGCTATTTTGAAGTTGAGCTTTTGTGTTGTTTCATTGACGATAGACCATTGTCGAATATGACTCCATGTCGTCATGCCATTATGTCTTCGATAATGTAGGAATGCTGAAAGCAGGGAGTTTCGAGGTACTTACTATGCTGCGACAATGGAGTTTGTGGCGGTTTCTGAAAGCGAGGAGAGCAGCAATTTCAGACCGATAATTAGAGGAGTAGACGTGGTCAAAGAATACAGCAGGTGTTCCTGGATGAGTCAGGATGTACGCATATCCTTGCATTTCTTTGCCACCTGGGAATCTCCAGTGACCCTAGAGAAATTCAGCAGCATTGTGATATAAAGTGAGCATGAAATAGAAGCTGGAATTGTTTTTTTTTTCCCCTTGTCCTAAGCAAATCAAATGATGCCTTGCAGACTACCAATTGCTTCCCCAGTCATTCGCGTCTGAGATAAGGCATTAAGTTATTATATACCTGAGTTGAGCCAGTGTCATGATTCTCCACAAATGTAACAGCACGTGATGGCCACCATCCAACAACTCCTGGAGGTTTTCCCTTCTCATCTGCCAAACGCCAATACTCGCATCTTTCCAGTGCCTGCATGAAATAGATCTCCCTTTTAAGCTTACATAGTCTGCAATAGTAACGGTAAAGCCAGAAGTAAAGCATATTAAAAAGCCAAGCTTTCATCATATATTCCTTTTTTCAGCTGAAGTAAGATATATAGGAATATGATGATATGCTACACAAACATATACATACAAATATGGTGATATGCTAGACAAACATATAAATATAAGTTACTCCTAGTGGCTAAGGCATTATGGACGTTATCCAGTGTGGAGATGTAAAATATGTTCTTTTTGGTGAAACCAGCGGCACTTGTCAATTGCCACTCTGCAGTAAATGTGCTCACATCATTATGACCAGGAATGATTGAGTACTTACCGCATGAAGCACCCCTTTTGTGGTGACATCAAACGCACCAGCAGATCCACTTGTTGCATTTATCCAATCAATAATTCTTTGTCGATGTGCATCCTGATTGTGATCCATTTCACCATAAGTATAACTGAGGGAATCCCAATACTCGCCAACTGCAAAATAAGGACTGGTTGCATCCATGTAATCCTTTACATAGCCGCCCCAAAATCCTCTGACAAAATCAAGCCGCCAACCATCATAACCAATTTCTTCTCTGCACATCAAAGGGAACTGGTAGACTTAGCAGTGTCAAGAAACATGATGATGATGATCATCATCATCATCAATAGGAGAGTGCAGGCATGATATTTTCGGTTCTTAAAGCAAAGTTAAAAGGAAATTGAATATTCATTCACCTTAGCCAGCGCATCCATTCTTTGATATCCTTCCTCACAAAATCCTGCGAGTGATCAATGTTTGGGGCAGCATGAAAATTGTCCCCGCTGCTCTTGTTTCCTCTACCCTGTATGAAGGAAACAGGGATTTACATCTTAGAGCAAATAGGTCAGGCACATATATCCTGCATTGCATCTCATTTACAAGTTGGATCGAAAGCATCAAGTGGAAATTACAGGTCGTAAGCTCAATATTATCCTTCCATTGCATGTACATTAATTCCATTTGCTAAAATTCGGAACATAAATCGCCAAAGTTAAAATAAAATATTGATGCAGTATTTGGCCAGCTCTGTAGCCCTTTATTCTCCTAATTAAAACGCTGCTGAAAGGGTATTGCAGAAGGAGAGTAGTGGACTATAGGTTATCATACAACTTTAAGTACCTGGAAATGTGGATCATCAGCAACAACTGCTCGATCATCCCAATTTAAGCGACCACCAAAGATGTTCCATATTCCATTTTGGTTCTGATACTGAGCACATCGGTGGTTTAGGACAGCATCTCCAAGAACTTTGATGCCCAATTCATGAAGCTTTCCCACAAGTTCCTTCAGCTCATAAATGTTTCCATATCTGCTGACATACAATTTTTGGAAACTAATTGGTTTGCTATGGAGATTCAGACAATCTTGTTGAACATTTTCTAGTTAAAAATAAAACACATGCTCTGAATAGAGATAGTAGCATCTTTCCGATAAATAATTCAGAACAAAAATTCGTAGAATAGAATATGGGATACAGATCATTCGTCTGGCTCCATGTTTAAGCACCCTTGTCAAGGAAAATAAAATAGACTGTCTCATTTAAAGCTTGTCAAATTATGTTAAAAAGGGAGCAAGAGTTTAAGTCCAATTCCAAAGAACTATCAATTCCAATGATCTATTGCATGAAGAGTACGACAATTCATTTAAATAGTTCATGGGAGGTACCTGGAGTTCAAATTATACAGATCCTTTGGCATGTAGCCTTCCGGCGACACTGACTCTGTAGGTGGAGGCAACCACACAACCGTGAAACCAAGTGAAGCTATGTCTTCTGCCTTCTCTTTGAGCTCCATATACCATCTTCCAGACTTATGGGATTCCCAATTGAAGCCCTGAAGCACTATTTCATAACCACTCCCTGTACCGGAGCTCTTTTTAGGAGGTGCTTGCTCCAGCTCTTCTTCCAAAACAACCTCTTCTTTGAAAGTTGGTATGGAGCTTCTGAAGATGCTGTAGGCTTCAGCAGCCAATTTCTCAATCTCCTGAAGTATGCTTTCTTGTGCTTCTTTAGTTTTCACCTTTCGACTGTTGTCGGAAGAAATTCCACTCACCAAGTTCCTTATTTCTTTAATTATCTCATTAGTGAAGGCAGTATCAGAACCTTGATTTTGATCTAGAGCCTTCACAGAGGCTGGTGCATCTTTAAAGTGTTCCTGACCAGACTCAGAAAGCAAGATACTTGAATTTGAGAGCGGGACGTAAAAGTCATTTCCCTTACATTTCAACCAAGTATTATCATTTAGCTTGAGTACAAAAAGAAAGCCTGCAAGACCCTCTTCCAAGGTAAATAACCCCGAACATCCACGCCCATCCTCCTTCGGCTGAAGAGTAGGACAACAAGTTTCAGAAAACAAAATAGAAGGACATTGTCAATAGTTATTATGAATTCCTAAACCATCGATCAAATTTAATTTCCTGAAAATAGAATGTTAATGGATCTGTGGAAGCCAAATGTTCCGAGAAAGTGAAACTAGTTATGCTACGAAATTTCAGTTTTCTGTCTCGTGTCATAGTCATACAAAACCATATTCAGATCCTCGCCACGTTAAGAGGAAAAAGAGAAGTGCTTTTGTCTCAGTAATGGCTGACACAAGTGCAAATGTTCTTAGGTAATGCAGAATATTACTTATTGACTTATCTTTTGGTGAAACAGATATCTTTAATCATGCAAACACATGGACAGATCTTTAATCTGTGCAATCACCACCTATACTCTATTCGTACCTGCAACAAA